GCCATCTTGAAGCCGCTCTCCAGACAATCTAGGGAATTTCAGGGTGTGGGTGTGGTAGATTCCCATGTATACAATTATTTTCTCTTAGGGGCTTTGTAATAATAATAATAATAAATTTTATTTACCGTATTTTTCGCCCTATAGGATGCACTTTTTCCGCTCCAAAAATGAAGGGGAAATGTGTGTGCGTCCTCTGGGGCGAATGCAGGCTTCAGGACGCTATCCGCAAGCCTTGTGAGCCTGGTGGGAGTTCTCGTGGGCTCGCAAGGCTTGTGGGCAGCAGCCTGTTCTGGGGGCTGGGGGGAAATAATTTTTTTTATCCCCCCCCCCAAAAAATGAGGTGCGCCCTATAGGGCGAAAAATACGGTATATCCCGCCCTCCGAAGCCAGGCTCAGGGCAGCTAACAACAATAAAATAGTACAACATTCTAAAATCATTCATTCTAAAATTAATTCAAATCAAATTGATGGCAACCATTGGGCTAGAGTTCTGTGAAGATTGCCAAAGGAGGGAGTCAGGCTGTGCCCTGGCCAAAGGCCTGGCGGAACAGCTCTGTCTTGCAGGCCCAGCTCTGTCCCGCAGGACCCTAGTCTCTTGTGACAGAGCGTTCCACCAGTTTGGAGCCACTGCCCTGGCTCTAGTTGAGGCCAGCCTAACCTCTCTGTGGCCTGGGACCTTCAAGATGTTTTTGTTTCAAGACCGCAAGTTCCTCTGTGGGACATACCAGGAGAGGCAGTCACGTAGGTACGAGTGTCCTAGGCCGTATAGGGCTTTAAAGGTTAAAACCAGCACCTTAAACCTGATCCCGTACTCCACCGGGAGCCAGTGCAGCTGGTATAGCACCGGGTGAATGTGATCTCACAGCGAGGACCCCGTAAGGAGTCTCGCCGCGGCATTCTGCAACCACTGGAGTTTCTGGGTCAGTCTCAAGGGCAGCCCCACGTACAGCGAGTTACAATAATCCAGTCTGGAGGTGACCGTCGTGTGGATCACAGTGGCTAGGTCAGGGCGAGAGAGGTAAGGAGCCAACTGCTTAGCTTGGCGGAAATGAAAAAATTCCACCTTTGTTATAGCTGCAATCTGCGCCTCCATGGAAAGGGAGGTGTCGAAGATTACACCCAAACTCTTAACGGATGGTGCTGGCACTAATTGCACCCCCGCAAGAGGTGGGAGTTGCCCCTCCAATCCCATATCGTCCCGTCCCAGCCAGAGGACCTCTGTCTTCGAAGGATTTAACTTCAACCGGCTCCCACCTAACCATCCAGCCACAGCTTCCAAGCATCTGATCAGTGTGTCTGGGGCCGAGTCAGGGTGGCCATCCATCAACAGATAGAGTTGGGTGTCATCGGCATACTGATGGCAACCCAGCCCAAAACTCCAGACAAGCTGGGCGAGGGGGCGCATAAAGATGTTGAAAAGCATCGGGGAGAGTATCGCACCCTGAGGTACTCCACACACCGGGGAGTGGCGCGATGACAGTCCCCCCCCCCCAAGTGCCACCCTCTGTCCCCGACCAGAGAGAAATGAGCACAGCCATTGAAGGACTGTGCCCTGGATCCCCACGTCAGCAAGGCGGTGGTCCAGGAGTTCGTGATCGACCATGTCGAAGGCTGCTGACAGATCTAGAAGAATCAGCAGCCCCGACCCGTCTCGATCCAGCTGCCTGTGGAGATCATCTGTTACGGCGACCAGAGCCGTCTCGGTCCCATGACCAGCGCGGAAGCCGGACTGGAACGGACTGTAGTTAATAGACAGGTCCATGCAGATCTGTCTGCAATGAGCAGGAACCAAGCGGTCACAGATCCATAAGGGTCTTTATGGGAGAAGGATCGTGAGAGAACTGCTTCCCATGGGACCAGGCAGGTTCCAACTCAAGGAGCTGGTTTGCCTACCTCACATTATCCATTAAAACTTCCAGTCCTGACTCGCATTATTCCAGTCTGAGAATAATAAATTTATTTTATTATTTATACCCCGCCCATCTGGCTTGGTTTCCCCAGCCACTCTGGGCAGCTTACAGCACATAAAAAAACACAGTAAAACGTCAGACATTAAGAACTTCCCGATACAGGGCTGTCTTCAGATGTCTCCAGAATGTTCTGTGGTGGTTTATCTGTTTGACAGCTGATGGGAGGGCGTTCCACAGGAACCTACAATGAATTCATTCTCATCTCATGCATGCGCAGTAGACATTGTAGTTCCCATGTCTAGTGACCCAACGGCACATCAAGGTAGCTCTCTCTCTCTCACACGCAAACACAGAGCACTTTGCCAGCTTTGATTAAAAGCTCACCTGCCCAACTCACAATTCAAGTGGCAGCATTAAGATCTTGGGACTATTTGCCCCACCCTCCCAAGACATTGGCGTGGGCTGTCCCTTCTCTCTGTCCCCTTCCCGCAATGGAACTTGTTCCCAAATTAATATGCTTAGAGCCACAGCCTTAAAGGAAATCCAGGTACTTCAAGCTGCTTCACAGAGGTCTGTCCCTCACTGGACGACGGCAGCGTCTCATGGAGGCTTGTGATGAATCAGCCGCCACAAGAGCCACTTGCACACCACCCCCGACGCCATGCTTCCCTGTGGAGTCAGTTTGCGTGTTAAGCTGCCAGACATCGAGCACTGAGGAAGTGTGCGATGGACACGCGTGTGTGCAAACAGCCCTTGAGACAATGACCGAGCCAGCTCTTGGCTTCAGCAGGACTGCCAGATAAGCTTTTGCTGAGAAATGCTCCTGGGGGACAAAGCCAAACTTCCCCCAAAAAGGCAGAGCTTCAAGGCCACCCTGCCTAGAAAGCCCACAATCTGGCCTGCAGGAGGCATCGCCAGGTAAGGAAGCTCAAGGTAGAAATCCCTATGATCAGACACCTAGGTTTCATTAATTGGTTACTCAGGAGGAAAGCTTCTCTGCCAAGACAGCGTAAAGGCTGTCATTTGACACAACGGCTTGCTCCCAGATTCAGTACTGCAAATGCATATATTATATCTACCCAGGTTTTAAACATTCTTTCATATGATGGATCATGGGGTCAACTAAATCTGTTCTGACTAGAAAACCCATATGCTTTGTCCCCACTCTCACTTATTCCCCCCCTCCATAGACTAGAACCCCCAGCCAATCAGAATCTTATTTCTCAGACCTTTCAAAATGATCCAGTCTCTACCCATAAATATTAAAAGCATTCACCTCTCTTTAGGTCCTTTCCCACTCATTCATCAGTTATAGGTGGGTGTGAGACAATGGTGTTAGATCAAGGACTGCGTGTTATCAGTGAGGCTGGCGATTTTGTCCAAACTCACTAAAAATAAGCACCATGATGGAGAGTTGGACGCTTCTCTTTACATCGAGGCTAAGAGCTGGAAATGGAGCAGTTTGTGGGGACGATGGAGTTAGGATTCATTCCTCGGTTTTCAAAGTAGTCTGAGGCTCACTTCTCTCCAGCTCTCACTGGAAATGGTTCATTAAAGGAGCAGCTGCCGAGCATTCCTTTTAAAATAAAGAAATTAATTTCCTCTACACGAAAGAGGCTCTCTGCTCCAGCTAACTTCCCAGCTCCATATCAGCAGAGATCTGGACACATTGTCTGAATTTCCTGGAAAGGAAACACACCCATTTGCAGACGGAAAAGTGAAAACGAAGCCAACTCTCCCTGGGGCGGTGGCCATGGCTGCTTCTGGGAGTCCTGTCGTGGATCTCTGCGAGGAAGCCACTTGCTCCATCTGCCTGGAGTGTTTCAGGGATCCAGTGATCATCCCGGAATGCGGGCACAACTTCTGCCGATCCTGCCTGACCCAGTATTGGGGGAAATCTGAGGGAGAGGCTTCCTGCCCTCAGTGCAGGAAAAGGGTGGAGCAAAGCAGCATCAGGCGAAACCTGCAGCTGGCAAATGTTGTGGAAATAACTAAGAAATTCAGCCTTCTGGGCAGAAAAGAGGAGGCAGAAGGAAAGGGGAGAGTTTGTGAGAAGCACCAGGAGCCCCTGAAGCTCTTCTGCAAGGAGGATGAAGCCCCCATCTGTCTGGTTTGTGACAAATCCAAGGAGCACAAAAGCCACAAGGCGGTTCCTATAGAGGAGGCATCCCTGGAGTACAAGGTAGGAAAACACTCTAGATCAGTGGCGTAGCATTCCTTGCTGGTGCCCGGGGCATGCCGCACCCCATGGGGACAAGTTGTGCCAGTGGAGCGACCCCCAGTAACTGGGGCTAGGGGGGGGGCATTGCACCGCCTGCTCAGCCATGCAGTGGGGAGCTCGGCCAGCCAACGTGGCTGATGCTGCCTTGCTCTGAGGGGTGCAAGTCTCCCAGTGCACTGCAAACCCAGCACCGCTTTGTGAGATTTGCAATAGCTGTGTGCGGCTGGCAGGGTGCCAGCCTGTTAGTCCTTCAGATGGAAGACGTTGCGCGAAGGACGCAACAGCTCACAACAGGTGCCCCCCAGGCTGGCCCATGCTATGCCTCTGCTCTGGATTTGCTTGGGGGATGGAATAGCTGTAGGAAAGCCAGGCTTGCAAGATCATAGAGTTGGAAGGGACCCAAGGGTCATCTAGTCCAACCCCCTGCAAGGCAGGAATGATGCCAAGGTACTCTTGAAATAATGTCTTCTCCCCACCCCCTCTGTCAGGAGCCTTTGTGCAGCCTTGTGAAACTTCTGAAAACACTAGTTGATAAACGTTTCATCATCTTTCGAGGGATTAATTTCCCTCTATGTCCCCCTGCAGCATATTGGAGTCACTCCCCACAGTTCTTCCTCTGGAAGCAGCTCCCAGTGAAGGCTCCTAGAACTGGAAGGTGGGGCAAGGCAGGGGGCAGGAATGAAGGGGAACCTCCGGAAGGACCCGGGAATGTGGGGCAGGGAGCAAGCATATGATTCAGTTGCCTGATAGGGGCGGGTCCAAGATGGCGACGGCTTAGCAAGCAGGCTTCGGAGCTCCGCAGATAACAGGACTGTAATTAGCATTGACTGCCACCCAGGGAAGTAATTTTTCCTTTTTTACTTCTCTACTTTTTAACTTACTGAGAGTCTAACAGCACCTCCTTGTCTATGCTATGAGAAACATCCTGGGCAAGTTCTGTGAAGCATTTTGGGCAGGCCGCCAGCTGCTAGCTATTAACCACCAACTCCCTTCTATACTTTGTCCCTGAAACTCCTGGCATTCCCCACACAGAGAAGCTCTTAAATTGAACAAACTGAGCACTTTCTATTCTTTTCTCTCTTTTTTGGTTGGGGAAACCTCTCCTTGTTTACTCCCCACGGTGACGCTATGCCTGCTAGTAAACGCCACAGGGACCCAGAGGATGTAGCTCTCTCACCGGTTCCCAAACAATCTAAAATAGAGGACTTTTTTAACAAATCTGCTTTTACAGTTCCAACAAAAAACCGGTTTTCTCCTCTTGAAGATGATTGTGAGTGTGGGGAGAGTATTCAAGGTGAGAGCGTGGAACTGGATCCAGCAATGGGGCAAGCTGATCCTGTGCTCCTCAGAGAGGAAGGAATAACAAGTAGGGAGATCACCCAATTAACTCTAATTGCAAGAACGGTTGAGCATATCTTCCAGTTGCCTGATATTACTAAAACGCTCGAAAAAGCAAGCCAGCTGGGATTTTCTTTTCTTTTCAGGATCAGATCAGCAGATGCCTAGACAACGTGAGGAAGGAGAGAAAGAAAATTCTGATGTTTAAAGCAGATGCAAGAAAGGAAAGCCAAGACCTGCTTGTAAGCATCACTGTTATTTGAAGGTGAAAAAGTGCTGTAGTCTTAAATCTCTCTAAAATGTCAGACATGCCCTTCCAAGTGAATTCTGGTATCTGGCCTCTTCATTCTTCAACATTATGCCTGATAGTGGCCTGCGGTTCTCCTCCTCTTTCTCTTTTTGCTGCTGCAGAAGCAAATGAAAGCAGAGAAGGGGAAGTTAGTGGCTGAGATCAGGCGAATGCACCAGTTTCTGGAAGAACAAGAGAAGCTTCTTCTGGCCCAGATGGAAGAGGTGGAGAAGGAGATTGCAGCCCAAAGGGAGGAGCAGCTGGCCAGACTCTCCAGGGAACTCTCCTCTCTTGACAGCCTCATCCAGGAGATGGAGGATGTGATGGGACGATGAGCTGCTTGTGTGTAAAATCCTAGTCCCTCAGAGTTTGGTCAAGTTTGCAAACCTCTGTCTGTAACGGAGCCCCTTAAACATGGCTCCGTCAGTCGCTGGCAGATTCCGACAGTGGTTGCTTGGAATCGCTTCCAACATAAAAGCTCCTTAACGGAAACACGTCTTCTGGACTCTCTGCGTGACAGTTTCCGGCGAGGAGTGGGTGTCCCTACAGGAGGTCCTGAAACCTCCCCACTGTTTTCGCTGGAAGTGTCTCTGAGCCATCCCTCCAGCTCCCTTTCCCTCAGCTCAGCTCCTCTCCCCCTACTGGTTCCCTCTTCAGCTGCTGAGTCTCTCCCAACCTGTGTGAGCCCTTTCACTTCCCTTCCTTCCGATGGCAGTTCCCTGACAGAGGAGAAGCTTCAGGAACCAGCGAGTGAACTCCTGCAGGTGAGGCCTCATCCTGATGTGAGAGAGTGGAGTGGGCTGCTTCAGACTGCAAGCATTTCTTAGCCCTTCCCCACATAAAAATAATGTTGTAAGAGAAACAAGCAGTACATAGGAGCCCACTCTGAGGGGATGAGATCCCTTGGACACCCCAATAAAATATTTGAGGGGGCCAGCCCCCCCAATAATTGACATTTCTGTTGAAATGGGGTGTGTGTACTGCATATTGTGATTGATTATGTGGGGCGTAGCTTACCTGCCCACCCCCCAATATTTTCTTCAAGTTGTCACTAGATCAAACCACGGGCCCTTTCCTTTCTGCTTCCTGTTCTCGCATTGGCCAACCAGAGGTCTCACGGAAGCCCACAAGCCAATAGGGCTCTGTATTCAATTAACCTTTACTCAGAGTAGACTATCTTAGGTTCATTAATTTCAGTGTGTCTGAGTAAAAGCTAGTTGAATACAACCGATACTGCCTCCAACGCAGCTTCTTTAATATTTGCATATATCAGCTTCGTCTTTATAAGAGGGGCAAGGTGTGGAAAGCTTGAAACTAGAAACCAAGAAAGCAGAAACCAGGGACTTTCCTGGATTTACAAAAGCCATCCCGGCAGCTCTGTATAGGGAAGTTTTTAAATGTTTCATGTTTTACTATGTTTTTATATATGTTGGAAGCCACCCAGAGTGGCAGGGGCAACCCAGTCGGATGGGCGGGGTATAAATAATAAAATATTTATTTATTATTTACCTTCAGTCTCATATTCATATATTTCCTTCAGTATATTTTGGAAGCAAGTGAGTGTCAGTTTTCCTTCAACTTGTTAGGTGCTCTCTAGATGATCCCTTTTGCCATAGGAAAAAACCTGCTCCCAAGTCTCCAGGATAAACGTATATCCATCATGCCTTTATTGTCAGGATGAGACGCCTGCCTTGTCAGAAAGCTCCTTGCATTGGAAGAATGGAGGCGTGACTTTGTTCTTCTCCTCCCAGGTCTCAGGAGAAGGAGAACTTAGAGGATCCTCCTGTGGCTTTTCCTCCTGCCCTGAAGTGGAGGATCTGGGACTTCTGCGATATTAATCCCTTCCTGGAGCGAGTCATGGAAAAATTCAGAGGTAATAAAGAAGGGCTGAAAGGATTGTTTAATGGATGTTTAGAAGTGTTCATGACAGGCTCCAAGTCATATGAATTATTAGCCATGCCAGGAAAAATGGAAGTTTATTTATTCTCTTTCAATATCTAGAGGCCATACTTTCACATGCGAAGACTCAGAGCTTATGCTGCTTTCTTTACGCAATCACAGCTTTACGCGGATCGCTATAAAATAGAGAGCGGGCAAGAAATTATCGTTTACTGGGCTTCGCCTCTGCCTTGTTTATTGGGCTCTGAGAGGCTCCATCAAGATCTTATGGGAACATGCCAAATCTCAGATGGAGTACAACCCTCACATAAGTTGCGAGTTGTCTGTAAAAAGTTGTACTTGACCTCTTCACATCTCTCAGCCAGGCCTTAGGTGCTTTCACGCATCTCACCCATTTCCCAAGTATCTTCACCTACACCCCGCGACGGGGTGAGCTCCTGTTGTTTGGTCCCCGCTCCTGCCAACCTAGCAGTTTGTAAGCACGTCAAAAGTGCAAGTAGATAAATAGGTACAGCTCCAGTGGGAAGGTAAACGGCGTTTCCATGCGCTGCTCTGGTTCGCCAGAAGTGGCTTTGTCATGCTGGCCACATGACCCGGCTCCCTCGGCCAATAAAGCGAGATGAGCGCCGCAACCCCAGAGTCGGCCACGACTGGACCTAATGGTCAGGGGTCCCTTTACCTTTACCTTTAAACTACAGCCGTACCTTGGATCTCAAATGCCTTTGCTCCCAAACAAATCGACTCCCGACTCCTGCAGCCAATGAGAAACTGTGCTTTGGTTTCTGAACGTTTTGGAAGTTGAATGGACTTCCGGAACGGATTCCATTTAACTTCCAAGGTATGACTGTACAATCTCATGAGTTCGTATTGTCATTACTAGATGAGTTATCAAGACAGGTCTTTAAGCAGAGGCTTGACAACCATATGTCAGGAATGCTCTGATGGTGTTTCCTGCTTGGCAGGGGGTTGGACTCGATGGCCCTTGTGGTCTCTTCCAACTCTATGATTCTATGATTCTATGATTCTATGATTCTATGACAGTGGCAAGATGCTAAATCTCTGTTCTCTTTTCTCTTGCAGACACACTGAGATCTGGACTTCAGCAGCGAAAAGGTAAATGTCAGGGTTTAAAGGAGGAACAGTTTCAGGAGTAATGGAATCTGCTTCTCAAAAGACCAGGCTACTGTGGATCTTCTGTCCATCACCCACCCCAGTCCAGTCCCCCTTTGCACTTTTCATGTCTCCTTTACAGTTTTTTGTCACTTTCAGGAAGTGATAAATTGTACTTAAGGTGTTTTACTCTCCCAATTTTCTTGTCAGTGAGAAGTTCACAGAGGTTTCCTTTTGAAGGATATCATTGGAGGTTTATGACATTTCATCCTTTTTGAGTTTTTTATTTACCAGTATCAATAGATTGACAGAGCTTAAACATTCACAACAGGCAAGTCCACAGATTGGCATCAGAGAGAGGCAGCCAGGACCAAGACGACAACAACAACAACAACAACAACAACAACAATAATAATAATAATTTATTATTATTTATACCCCGCCCATCTGGCTGGGCCTCCCCAGCCACTCTGGGCGGCTTCCATAAAAACCAAAAATACAGTAAAATATCACACGTTAAAAACTTCCCTGAACAGGGCTGCCTTAAGATGTCTTCTGAATGTCAGGTAGTTGTTTATCGCTTGACATCTGCTGGAAGGGCGTTCCACAGGGCGGGCGCCACTACCGAGAAGGCCCTCTGCCTGGTTCCCTGTAGCTTTGCTTCTCGCAATGAGGGAACCACCAGAAGGCCCTCGGCGCTGGACCTCAGCGTCCGGGCAGAATGATGGGGGTGGAGATGCTCCTTCAGGTATACTGGACCGAGGCCGTTTAGGGCTTTAAAGGTCAGCACCAACACTTTGAATTGTGCTCGGAAACGTACTGGGAGCCAATGTAGGTCTTTCAAGACTGGTGTTATATGGTTTCGGTGGCCGCCCCCAGTCACCAGTCTAGCTGCCGCATTCTGGATTAGTTGTAGTTTCCGAGTCACCTTCAAAGGTAGCCCCACGTAGAGTGCATTGCAGTAGTCCAAGCGGGAGATAACCAGAGCATGCACCACTCTGGCGAGACAGTCCGCAGGCAGATAGGGTCTCAGCCTACGTACCAGATGGAGCTGGTAAACAGCTGCCCTGGACACAGATTTGACCTGTGCTTCCATGGACAGCTGTGAGTCCAAAATGACTCCCAGGCTGCGCACCTGGTCCTTCAGGGGCACAGTTACCCCATTCAGGATCAGGGAATCCTCCACATCTGCCCACCTCCTGTCCCCCAAAAACAGTACTTCTGTCTTGTCAGGATTCAACCTCAATCTGTTAGCCGCCATCCATCCTCCAACCGCCTCCAGACACTCACACAGGACCTTCACCGCCCTCACTGGTTCTGATTTAAAAAAGCGGTAGAGCTGGGTATCATCCGCATACTGATGAACACCCAGCCCAAACCTCCTGATGATCTCTCCCAGCAGCTGCATGTAAATGTTGAAAAGCATGGGGGAGAGGACAGAACCCTGAGGCACCCCACAGGTGAGAGCCCAGGGGTCTGAACACACATCCCCCACCACCACTTTCTGAACACGGCCCAGGAGGAAGGAGCGAGACCACTGTATGACAGTGCCTCCAGCTCCCAGCCCATGCAGACGGTCCAGAAGGATGTTATGGTCGATGGTATCAAACGCTGCTGAGAGATCCAGCAGAACTATGAAACAGCTCTCACCTTTGTCCCTAGCCCACCGGAGATCATCAATCAGTGTGACCAAGGCAGTTTCAGTCCCATGATGAGGCCTGAATCCCGACTGGAAGGGATCCAAATGGTCCGCTTCTTCCAGGCGTGCCTGGAGTTGTTCAGCAACCGCTCGCTCAATCACCTTGCCCAAGAATGGAAGATTTGAGACTGGGCGATAGTTGGCCATCGTGGCCGCATCTAAAGATGTTTTTTTAGAAGCAGTTTAATAACCGCCTCTTTCAGCGGGTCTGGGAAGGCTCCCTCACGGAGGGAAGCATTCACCACCCCACGAAGCCCATCGCCCAGTCCTTCCCAGCTAGCTTTTATAAGCCAGGATGGGCAAGGATCCAGGAGACAGGTGGTTGGTTTCACTCGTCCAAGCACCCTGTCCACATCCTCGGAGGTAACAGATTGGAATTGATCCCACTCAACTTGACTCGACCATGACATGTTCTCAGCCAATAGAGCCCAAACTCCACTCCCTCTTTCTCCTCCTTTGCTATACACTCAAACATTAATTTTTATTCTTGACAGACTCCTGATAACATCGTCTTTAGCTAGTACTTTTTTTTTTCTTGGTGGGGGGACATGCCTCCAGATACCTTCTAGCTATTTTTTTGCTATTTAGCCAGAAATCTCTGCGACAACAATAACAAGAGACCTGGCAACTGTGGCGTTCGTACGGAGCCCCCGGTCGTCTCACGGACTATTGACCCGTACACCACTAATCCGCTGCCACCAACCAGGTCCTCCCTGGTAAAATCACTTCAGTCTCAGTCAGCTTTTCAATTAATAAAGAAGAGTGTATTGTTTTTCAGACACAAACAAAACTTTTACAGCATTCCAAACGTTGTTGCTCTTTACTTTCTTATTTTCCTCTCTCTATCTCTTCTACCTCCCAACACTCAAGAACCCACAGCCCTAACTGTCTCTCTATTACCAACTGCCTTTCCCAACCAGACAACCCACGAAAACCCACCCACTACCCACCAACAACTCCCAACGAACTCCTCCCAGAACTGGTTTTATAAACCCACTGACTCCACCCCCCTGGGTCCTGTCTGTGCAACCTATTTAACTATTACCCCTCCAGCACTCTCTTATATATGTTAACGTCACAGTAACTTTCCTAAGCCGATTTTTACGTATATGAGGAACAGAGAAGAGAAAGATGAGTCATATAGCCTATCTGGTGTGGGGAGCCAGGATGGCGTCTTTGCATTGAAGGTGAGGGTGGGAACAGCACCTCCTAGGTGTTACCGGGTTTGGCTTTAATAAAGTAATTTAAATACAGTCATACCTTGGGTTACAGATGCTTCAGGTTGTGCATTTTCGGGTTGCACACTGCACCGAACCCAAAAGTACCAGAACGGATTACTCCGGGTTTCGGCGCTCGCGCATGTGCAGAACCACTAAGTCACACTTTGCGCATGCGCAGAAGCGCCGAATTGCAACCCCCATGTGCACAGACGCGGCGCTGCAGGTTGCGAACACTGCAGGTTGCGAATGTGCCTCCCACATGGATCACGTTCGCAACCCGAGCGTCCACTGTAGTTAAAGAGACTTCTACTGTATCTCTCCCTTTATCCTGGGAGCCCGGGGGGGTTGCATTAAAACAAGTCATAGCAAAAGGAAACAATATCAACAATGTAATAGATGTCAATTTAAAATATAGAACTATCAATTTTCTGCTTCACTCTAAACAAACCAATTTAAGTTTGTTCTTGGTTGACCGCTCACGTCAATAATTCCAAGCAGAACATTTTAGACAGGGAGTATCAATCAGAGGACAGAAATACATTTTTATGTATTGTTCTTTTTATAAACTACCTGGAAAGATGGGGCATAACATGCTTTAAATATGTAACTGAAAATTGAGAGCTCCTGCTCTCAGTTTTACCTGGCATGTCCAGCATGGTCTGTCATGTGATGTGAGGTAAAAGATTAAGATGTGAATGAGAGTCCCTGCTTTGACTCTCTTCTGCCATGAACTGTGGGGGGTGGGGGTGTCCTTAGACAAGCCACTGCCTCTCAGCCTCAGTCCTCCCATATGAAAAATGGGCATGCTAAGCTTGACTTAACTTACAGGGTCAGGTTCTATATAGATAATGTGTGAACCCTTGAAAGAACTGCAAATATTTCAAGAATCATTAAGAACTTGATGAACATCCCTCTCTCTCGAATACAGAGCCATGGAGTCCCTGTTCATTTCAGAGGGGATGCTGTTTCTGTCACGTGCCTAAGGAAAAGTCAGCTTCCCCGTTGATGTCGTTTCTCTTCTCTTTCCTCCTCTGCCCCCACAGAAAACATAACTTTGGATCCAGACACAGCACATCCCCTCCTCACCCTGTCTGAGGATCGAAAGAGTGTGAGAGATGGAGAAGTGCGTCAAGCCCTGCCAGACAACCCTGAAAGATTTGACAGATATACCTATGTGCTGGGATGTGAGGGTTTCACATCAGGCAGACATTTCTGGGAAGTTGTTGTGAGAAGAGGGGAGGAATGGGGGGTGGGGGTGGCCAGAAAGTCTGTGAAGAGGAAGGGTCTTTTCTCTTTTGGTCCTGGGGAAGGCATCTGGTGTTTGGGGAAGTGGGGCGGTGGGTATCAGAACTTTGTTCCAAGACAGGAGCCAAAGTGGATCCGAGTGACCCTGAACTGTGAAGGGGGACGGGTGTCCTTTTACGATGCAGATACAGCAGTCCTCCTCCACTCATTCTCAGCAGCCTCCTTCTCAGGAGAGACCCTCCAGCCCTTCTTTTATGTGGCTGCCAAAGGCCACCTTACAATCTCTGAGTGTAGAGACAGACTAGCTTCTCAGTTCGCCGCTTTTCCGTGCCAGCAGTCCTAAATCAGCAAAGCGATGCGCAACATCAAACTGCTTCAAGAGCTTTGACCCAGACAACAAAGGCAGTAACTCACAGAGGCAATTAAGTACAGACAGAAATATTTCACTACCGGGTCATAAAAGCTTAATGGCTCCCATTTACAGAGTTCGTCTCACTAAGAGTTTCTTCCTTAGAGTTTCCCAAGCTTTGCTTTTTGCGACCCACAATGCCCTGCTCTTCCCTCTCTGTCAGCTTGCCAGATAAATGCATACTAAACACACTTTTCATACAGCTGCTGTAAGAACAGAAGCAGCTCCTCTCACAGATGCGGCCTTGACAAAAGATAAACATCCAGCTTTCTGACCGCTTCTAGCAGTTTTCGGAACCTTCTGGAATCTTCAAGATCATTCAGTTAGTTCTGGAAAGAATGAACGCTCACCCTCACCCCAACCACTCATCACCATGATGACATTTCAGTCGTCTCAACCAAAATCCATTTCCTTCAATTTATGTGGCAATTCGGCAAAATCTCTCTATTCAACGAGATCCAAAATTTGCGCACGACTCACCTATGCATTCGCAGCCTTGGGCAATTTGTTGAAACAAACAAACAAAAAATAGAAAGAAGGGGGGAGACTGCAGGGCGGGGCGAGTCACTGTCAAAAGGGGCTGTGTAACATGCCTGAACTAATGTGGAAATATGTTTCATGTGTTAACATCTTTGATTTTATTAAGGATACTGCTACTATTTGCTTATTATTTGTTATTTCAGACTCAATAGTATAATGGCCCCATCTATCCCACATGACACTTCCCCCAAGGATATAAACGGGTGAGTGATATCCCATCTGATCCCCACAGCAATAGGGCTGCCACTGCCCCCAGTTTGTTACTTAAACATTTCAATTCATGTCAAGCGGATGGGGTGTCACACATCATCATAATTTATTATTTATACCCTGCCATTTGGCTGGGTTTCCTCAGCCACTCTGGGCGGCTTCCAACAAAACACTAAAATACAATAACCTAGTAAACCTTAAAAGCTTTCCTAAACAGGGCTGCCTTCAGATGTCTTCTAAAAGTCTGAGAGTTGTTTATTTCCTTGACATCTGAAGGGAGGGCATTCCACAGGGCGGGTGCCACTACCGAGAAGGCCCTCTGCCTGGTTCCCTGTAAATTCTCGTAGTGAGGGAACCGCCAGAAGGCCCTCGGCGCTGGACCATATGGGGGGGCACTTCATTTCCACATTTTTGCCACCCAAATGAAGGAGGAGGAGGAAGAAGAAGAAGAAGAAGAGTTTGGACTTGATATCCCACCTTTCACTCCCCTTAAGGAGTCTCAAAATTAAAGCTACAGCCCCGGGCCCACCTCTCTGGGAGTAAGTCCCTTTGAACTTAATGGGATTTACTTCTGAGTAGACATAGGAGTGCCTATGTTTTTATAGATAGACGAAAATGATTAGCTCACAGATTTTGGTGATTCTCCTCTTCACACAGCACTTCCTGTGGTGGTGGCCACTGACTCGCACGCCCTCTTAAAGGAGGGTTTGAGACCCAAAGCCCTTTCCTGTTCACCTCCACAGCTTCAGCTTATTCAGAGGTAGACTGCCTCTGCGCCAGGAGGTTCCTCATAGCATGATGTTGTTTTTCTGGCAGCCCCAGAAACACTTCCCCTCTGACCTGACCTGCTGCTGCCACAGGGCCTGTGCAGATAACACATATCTTCATGATTAACATAAGCTTAATGGATATAAGTAAAACAATGTCTACATGGAGATAAACTGCTCCCCCACTACTTTTTGTGTGTCCTCCCAGAACTTTTCCCGCATGGTCTGAGGATATCCCACCTCCAAAAGCTTTCAGAAGTCTCCCCAGGGACACCGCAGCCCTTTCTTAAGCTCTGGACCCTTCTGCAAAAGGAAACAGAATCTACAAGGATCCAGAATCTGAGTCTCAATGCAGTTTCTGGTGGATTTATAATGGCCTTAATTGTTTTCTCTTCATTTCTACACTTAAAAATATACCCAAATTAAGGGAAAATAAAACCCTCACTTCAGCATGGATCAAATGAAATTTGTAAAAGCATCAACACTGAACAACATAATCTATTTGTAATACAGTGGTACCTCAGGCTAAGTACATAATTCGTTCCAGAGGTGCGTACTTAACCTGAAACTGTTCTTAACCTGAAGCACCACTTTAGCTAATGGGGCCTCCTGCTGCTGCCGCACCGCCAGAGCTCGATTTCTGTTCTCATCCTGAAGCAAAGTTCTTAACCTGAAGCACTATTTCTGGGTTAGCGGAGTCTGTAACCTGAAGCGTATGTAACCTGAAGCGTATGTAACCTGAGGTACCACTGTATATTTTTATTAGGAATATTGATCAACCACCAACAATAATAACTTTAGCAGTATCTAAAAATATTACAAGTAGGGAGGGAGAGAGAGAACATTCTTCTGCACCCCACCTCCCCCCAAAAAACAAATGCTGGCCGTGAGTTAGCTCAGCCTTCTGGGACAGCTTGTAAAAAAATATTTTTAAAGTTTTAAAAATCCATCTGAGAGAATGGACAGGCTGGAGATGGGACCAGAGGAAGGATAGGACTGGGAAGGAGTTGGAGCTGAGGATCAGCTTAAAAATCCCCCAGCTTCCTTCACATTTTCTCTGTGGTTGTGAATGCGTGTCAAATTGCCCAGTGGGAATGTGCAGAGCAGTGGGAGGTTGGGCTGTGTTGCTTTGGGACTTTGAACATTGTTCCCTGCTGCTGGAAAAAGGCACGTGAGTTTGAGTTATTCCATCACTAGCTTTCGAAGGAGAAACTCTCCCGTATCTCCACCTTTCAAAGGAAAATGGTTCCTTAACTTAGCAGCAACAAATTATTCACATTCTTTATTTTTTAAAAAACAAAACATTCCCATTCAAAGAGACTCTGTGTCACAGCTGAATCCACAGCAGAGATTGAAATAACCTCATCTGAATTCTCATCTCTGTGTCCCAGTTTAAACCCCCCCACTTCAGACAGCAGTGATCTCGAGCCATCGGGTCTGAATCTCCTGGAAAGGAAACACGCCCATTTGCAGACGCAAAAGAGAGAAAACTAAACCATCTCTCTCTTCCTGGCGAGGCAGCCATGGCAGGGAGTCCGGCGCAGGATCTCTGTGACGAAGCCATTTGTTCCATCTGCCTAGAGTATTTCCAGGATCCAGTCATCATCCCGGAGTGTGGGCACAACTTCTGCAGATCCTGCCTGAGCCAGTGGTGGGAGAAATCTGAGGCGGAGGCTTCCTGCCCCCAGTGCAGAGAACAAATTAAGCAGAGGAACTTCATCCCGAATCAGCCACTGGCAACTGTTTTGGAAACGCTGAGAGCCAAAGAACTCAGTCTTCAGGGCTGGGAAACGGTAGGAGGAAAGGAGAGAAGGTGTGAGACACACCAGGAGCCCCTGAAACTCTTCTGCAAGGACCACAAAAGGCCCATCTGTCTGGTGTGTGACAGATCCAAGGAACATGAAAACCACAAGGTGATTCCTCTGGAGGAGGCTTCCCAGGAGTACAAGGTAGGAAATCACTCTGGATCATGATTTTGTCGACAAGGGAAATAGCTGTAGACATGTAGGACCAGTGCTTTTTTTCCTGGGGGACGCAGGGGGACGCATACCACTAAACATTTTGTGAATCTTTGTAATTTTGTCCATTTACTGTATTTATTTTCCCCAGTTTGAACTATAAAATCATGATTTTCGTGAGTCAAAATGAGAGTACCCCTAAACATATATTTTAGGGGGGGGAGCACTGAGTAGGACATACAACAAATTTCCCCCCACATTACCAAAAGCGATTTCTCCAGGAGGAATTCCTGTGCAGCGTTGTAAAATCCTGCATGCCTGTTGAATTTAACTTTTTTTAAAAAAAATAATAATTATCCTCTCTACGAGAGTGCACAAATCCTCATTTGAAATCTAAAAAAGTGATTTAAAAGTTGATTATTGCTTGATGCTTTAACTCGTATAATAGATCCATTGTTCTGAGACTTTGATTAAAGCAAAACAAATTTTGGGACCTCAATACATGGAAAATGTACCCCAAAAAAGTACTGTGGTACCTCTGGTTACGCACTTAATTCGTTCCGGAGGTCCGTTCTTAACCTGAAACTGTTCTTAACCTAAGGTTACCAGGTGTCCCTGTTTACCGGGGACAGTCCCCGGATTTACAAACCAGTCCCCTGACAAAATCCTATCATTCCTACTGAAGTGGAAAACTGTCCCCGGATTAATTGGAAAAAATCTGGTAACCTTATCTTAACCTGAGGCGCGCTTTCGCTAATGGGGCCTCCCGCTGCCACCGCAATACCGGCGCGCGATTTCCGCTCACATCCCGGTGCAAAGTTCGCTACCAGGAGACCTAGTTCCGGGCTAACGAAGCTCGTTACCCGAAGCGTTCGTAAGGAGGACAGTACGTAACCCAAGGTTCAACTGTATAGATGAAAGCAACCAAAGCAATCTCCCAGGGAAAATAAGAAGAGGGGGTTTGGGGGTTACGTTGCAACAACAAAAAAAGGACACTAAAGCAGGATGAAGGCAACACAAAGTGACTTTGCAAAAAGTCATGCTGTCTCAGTTTGGAGAAACCAGCTTGGACCTCTTAACACATTGGAGTTCACATAGTAGACTGAGAGAACAATAGGCTTGCATTCCTTCTTCCTAAGATGAGCGGAAGTGACTTCGCTAAGCCTGACAGGACAGCTTACTCTATGGCAGGGGTAGGCAACCTAAGGCCCGGGGGCCGGATGCAGCCCAATCGCCTTCTCAATCCGGCCCGCAGACAGTCCAGGAATCAGCGTGTTTTTACATGAGTAGAATGTGTCCTTTTATTTAAAATGCATCTCTGAGTTATTTGTGGGGCATAGAAATTCGCCCATTTCCCCCCCAAAAAATTATAGTCCAGCCCCCCACATGGTCTGAGGGACCTTGGACCGGCCCCCTGCTGAAAAAGGTTGCTAACCCCAGCTCTGTGGCATTAACCCCTTCATGCATTGCTTAGATTTAAGCGGGTTGATTATATGAGGCTCGTTATGGCACAAAAAAATGTGTAGGCAACTGAACAACCAGCCAAGTACTACCCCACAGTGCCCCTCTGCATGTGGGCTGGAGCAACTCCACTAGTAAGTGGGGCACACGATAGAGGTTTATGATAGGGTTGCCATATTTCAAGAAGTAAAAATCCAGACACAAAAAGTTGCTGAGCAAAACCCAGACATTCCGCCCTTGGAATCCTGGACATGTCTGGGGGGAAACAGAGATATGGCAACCCTGTTAGTTTCTGTTTGCCACTGTGCAGCTGCTTAGAGTCACAAAACTCTGTTTACATTCCAGAGACTTTCCAGGCTGTTGGAAGTCTCACGGAAGACAGGAGACGGATGTGATGTTTACTGGTTTCCTGTTCCTTTGTTTTCAGTTGCTCTCTGCTCTCACAGAGAGAGGATGTGTTTTTTGTCTACGTAGTTAGGAAAATAAAACTCTTTGCAATGTAACCATAAATCTCATCACTTCCATGTGCTGCTTTGATTCTCTGCTGGATGGGAATGTGCCTGAGGCCTCATCAAAGGCTCAGATCATTAACTATCGGAGGCGATTCCGAAGGACTCGGCCAGAGGAAGATGAGCTTTATCAGCTTGGCCGAGCGGAGATCCCGACAAATCCTAGTTTGTGGGATTGTGTGAGATGTGTCAAAAGTGGAGGGGTGGGTTAAATAGAAAACCTCAAGTTTCTCTGCTCAAACATGAGATGATTACAGTGGTACCTCAGGTTAAGTACTTAATTCGTTCCGGAGGTCCGTACTTAACCTGAAACTTAACCTGAAGCACCACTTTAGCTGAAGCACCTTCTTAACCTGAAGCACCACTTTAGCTAATGGGGCCTCCTGTTGCCACCGTGCCGCCGGAGCATGATTTCTGTTCTCATCCTGAAGCAATGTTCTTAACCTGAAGCACTATTTCTGGGTTAGTAGAGTCTGTAACCTGAAGCGTATGTAACCTGAAATGTCTGTAACCTGAGATACCACTGTATTCATAATCTGGACATGGGAAGGAGCTCTCTGTCTGCCCCATCTCGAGAGGTGTTGAAGCCATATTGAATCTAGTAGCCTCCTCACCCCACTTCTGTGTTACAGTGGGGGAAAGAGGGCACCTCGGAGACCTTAGCAAAAAACACCCTGGAATGACAGAGCAAGCATATCGATCAACTTGCCTGTTCCATGTATACTAAAACAATTAGTAAATAAAAGTGGGAGCCAGACTGGAATTTTGTTTTCTCTTCAGGATCAGATCAGCAGCTGCTTAGACAATCTGAGGAAGAAGAAAGAGAAAACACTGGCATTTAAAGCGGACGTAGAAAAAGAAAGTCAAGACCTGCTTGTAAGTTACTGTTCCTGGGAAGTGAAAAAGTGCTATTGTCTAAAAAAGGGGGGTTGCCAATCCTTTTGGACCAGTGGGCGCATTTCAACTTTGGGGCGAGTGCTGGGGGCACTCTTCACAAAATGGATGCCATGGGGAGTGTGGCTTCACTCAAAATGAGAGAGACGTATCCCATAATTCTTTCTAAATGAACATTTATTTAACTCCATTATTTCTTTGCTGTTTCACATTTCCTATCACTTGTGGAAAAGGTCTCCTTTTTCTTTCTGACATCTCCAACACGTGGCAGGGGTGGGATAATTTGTATTTATTTTGTTTATCTTTACTGGCATGGTGTACCACCTGCTCATTATTTTATAGCAATTTTCTGTTATCCCTGAATTCAAAGTAAACCTATATTCAGTTAACAATAACTTCTCCCACACTTCCAATTTCCCCCAATGTTCTGGGATATTAAACCATAAAATTCTTCTGGGTCCGTACTGTATTTCAAGAAAGACTGATAACTTTTTACCAAAATGTTCACCAAATTTTCTCAAATTTGTTCAGCTTGATTAGGAGTTTTAATATAGCCTTGCAATTTAGAACAGATTCAAAAGCATTCAGACCATAAAGGATTGCTTCCCACCGTCCATCCCTTAATCTCTAAATATGAAATCATGTGGTCCTTGCCTAATTAAGGCCCAAATGCTAAACATATACTTTTCCTACATTTTAAACTTGGAAACATCCTATTCTATTATGTTTATTATTGATCCCAAGGGAGAAAATTTAGAGCTGGGCAGGCTTTTATATCAGTCCCATAACCTTACCAAATTAGAAAATAAACAATTTTCCAGCAAAAATGGTCTGTTGTATGTTCCCCATAATATTCTATTTAATGGTACTTCAATCAAATTTGGCTCATGTTTAGCTGTCTCCTCATAGACATTCATAATCCATTCTACTACTCAATTTATTACAGCTGAAAAATACAAATCTGTTATATTTGGAAGTTGCAAACCTCTCTTCTTAGTATCACATATAGCTCTGGCTTTCAGTCTCGGCTGGTTATTTTGACATTTAAATTTTGGTATCAGTTGCTGCCATTTATTCAGTACTGAAGACAATATTCTAACAGGTAGATGTTGTGAGAGAAAGTTACTTTTAGGCCGATCCTTCTGAAATCTGACTTCTGGACGTTGCAAAGCCAGACTGTATTTCTGATATTGTCCTCCTGTCTCTTCCTTCCACTTCCTTATCGCAGAAACAAATAGAAGCAGAGAAGGGAAAGATGGTGGTTGAGTTCAAACGACTGCGCCAGTTTCTGGAAGAACAAGAGAAGTCTCTGCTGGCCCAGATGGCAGAAGTGGAGAAGGAGATTGCAAAGAACAGGGAGGAGCACCTGGCCAGACTCTCTGGGGAACTCTCCTCTCTTGAAAGCCTCATCCGTGAGATGGAGGAGAAGCGTTGGCAGCCAGCGAATGAACAACTGCAGGTGAGGCCTCCTTCTGACGCTGGGAGATCACTTCTGAATTCTGCCCCACATTTTTAAATGTTGATGAGAAGAAGAAGCTGAGTAGCGCACCTTGGCTACTTCCTCCCTGCTACTTGGTTTTTAACTTCCGGGAACTTTTGTGTTGTTCTACAGGGGAGCAGTCATATATGAGGGGCTGTTGCAGACTTAAGAACTCCCTCCCCAGAGAAGCCAGGCTGGCTCCTTCCTTTCTGTCCTTCCAGTAATAATAATAATAATAATAATAATAATAATAATTATTATTATTATTATTATTATTTATTATTATTATTATTTACACCCTCCCCATCTGGCTGGGTATCCCCAGCCACTCTGGGCGGCTGCCAACATAATGTTAAACATTAAAAACTTCCCTAAACAGGGCTGCCTTCAGATGTCTTTTAAAAGTCAGTTACTTATTTACTTGACATCTGATGGGAGGGAGTTCCACAGGGAGGGTGCCACTACCAAGAAGGCCTTATGTCTGGTTCCCTTTAACCAGTGGCAGAGGATGGGGTGTGTGGTGGGTGCGGCTCGTCCTGGGTGTCATCCCGGGGGGGGGGTTACATCACAGCGCTGCTACCTCCGGGACGCTTGCTGTGGGCGGCGCCCCCGGTATGCCAGCCCCGCCCCCACGGGCACACAGCAGCTAGCTCCGCCTCTGCCTGTAACCTCACTTTTTGCAGTGAGGGAACTGCCAGAAGGCCCTCGGCGCTGGACCTCAGTGTCCGGGTAGAACGATGGGGGTGGAGACGCTCCTTCAGGTATACTGGACCGAGGCCGTTTAGGGATTTAAAGGTCAGCAACAACACTTTGAATTGTGCTCGGAAACGTACTGGGAGCCAAGGTAGGCCTTTCAGGACTGGTGTTATATGGTCTCGGTGGCCACTCCCAGTCACTTCCAGGTGAAAACCCTTTTATTCCAACAGGCTTTTGGGAACTGACTGCTTATAATGCTTGCGAACATGATCCCTAGCTTGTGAGCATGGCACCAGCATTCTGTGGGGCATGCTGACATCATGCGCGCATGTTGCGAGGCATGCAAGCACGGCATGTTGACGTAGTTTGGCCCAGCATGCATGGTCCTTTATGGCCCATAGCTCTGGCTGGGTGACTACAAACTGCATTTCATGAATGCTAGGACGCCAAGACACTTAGAAGTTAGGTCATTCTAGGGAACTGAGACATCCTGTTTAGCAACTAGATGGGGAGGAGGATGTTTGGATAAGTCCAAATAATTCAGAAAAAGTGAGCACTAGGGCTTGAACGAAGCATTCTGTATCAATGAAATTATTTGTTTCCATTACAATCTTGAATCTGTGGTTCTTTGATATTGCGTATGCCTCAGTTTGACTCAATTAGAATCAAGTTTCTCTGCGTGTTTTAGAGGGGAGTGTTTTGCTTTGTGTTTTGCCAAAAGATAGATACGCCTCTCTGTCTCTCTGTCTCTCTCTCCCTCCCTCCTTCATTCAGACCCACACAGTATTCTGCAGAGAAGTGACCCAAATGACTTCTTTCTTTCCCTCTAGGATATTGGAAGCTTCTTACAGAGGTAAGCAGAAAATAAAAGAAAATGATCCTCTCACTATTGAGAGTAATTAATATTTAAATATTAGGGTAATTAATTTTTAAATATTCCCTTAGAGAAATTAATCTTCAACTATACAACATGTTTCAGACTCCTGCAACCTCTTTCTCATCTACAAAATATGCAATCACATTTTATGATGATGAAATACCCCGTCACCCATACCATTAATTATGGAAATACTGTACGCCACATGATTTACAAGTATTATTTCATTTTAAAATATCATAATAATGTCTTAAAAGAGAGGGCAAGTTTTCACTGGGTAAGCCTTCCTTACCCTCATATAGTCTGTGCATTTGTTGTTTAGTCGTGTCCAACTCTTTGTGACCCCCTGGACCAGAGCACGCCAGGCACTCCTGTCTTCCACTGCCTCCCGCAGTTTGGTCAAACTCATGCTGGTAGCTTCGAGAACACTATCCAACCATCTCGTCCTCTGTCGTCCCCTTCTCCTTGTGCCCTCCATCTTTCCCAACATCAGGGTCTTTTCCAGGGAGTCTTCTCTTCTCATGAGGTGGCCCAAGTATTGGAGCCTCAGCTTCACGATCTGCCCTTCCAGTGAGCACTCAGGGCTGTGCATATATATAAACACACACACTATTTTTCTCTTTTTAAATGATTAATTTTAATTGGGCCTAATCCTAAAATCTCTTACTGCCTTGGAAGCAGAGGTGGCCCAATATGTTTTGTTGCCTGAGGCGAACCAAAACATAGCACCCTCCTCTTTGCCAAGAAAAAAGGGGTGACATCAGGAACAAGAGCAGAAGGAAGATCAACATTGAGATCTGCTGCCCCTGTGGATTCTGCCACCTGAGGCAGTCGCCTCACTTTGCCTCATGGGTGGGCTGGCCCTGATTGGAAGGAAGGTGGTTGATGTTGTTCTTCTCCATCAGGTCTCAAGCAAAGGAGAAGTTGGAAAACCTTCCTGCGCCTTTCCCCTCTGCACTGAAGTGGAAGATCTGGGATTTCTGCGATATAAATCCCTTTCTGGAAGGTGCCATGAAGCAGTTCAGAGGTACTAAGAATGGCTTCAATGGTTTTATAGTGGGCATTAAAAAAATATATGTTCGTGGAAAGCTCCAGGTCACTTGTAATATTAGCTGGGCCAGGAAGATGGAAGATGGGACGGCCAGCTGAAAAAGCAGCAATTTTATTTCATCATGAAAAGGGGAGTGATCAACCTGCAAACTACAAACTACCCAGCATTGCTGAACAGTGCAAGCCTTGCACTGTCAGAAAACATTGTTCCATCTGCTTCAGTATTGTCTACACTGACTTGCAGTTCATTCCCCTGGTTCAGGAAGGCTGAGCTTCCTTGGAGTGGCTGTTTCAGCAATGAAGCTGCTCTGACCAAGAACTTCTATTCACCCCTTCCCGTCTCTCAAACAGGCCTTGATTCACGCAGGTGCTTTAATACACCTCACAGCCTCTCATACTGCTAGCCAAGAGCTGGAGAGCCCCAGAGCTCATGCCTGGGCTGCAGTCTATTCAATTCCTGGGCACCCAAGAGGGTGGCAGGAGGTGACTAAGATCCAGTCAGTAACTCTGGCAAGTGAGATCTCTGATCCTGGGGCAGGGGTGTCTGGATCTGACAGCTCCTCAAGGCTGCTGGTGATGGAAAGATCTGTTGGATGGGAGGCAGTTTTTCTCTAAGGAGACACCATGTCCTTATTCTGGACATTGACACTAATACATCCCCCCTACTTATCCAAGCTGTAGTGGTGTGAAAGCCAACATGGTGGCTTCCAGATGTTTTTGACAACAACTCCCATCAGCCTCAGCCAGCATGGCCAGTGCTTAAGGATTATGGGACTTGTAGTCTGGAGGACACCTCTGGTTGCCTGACCTCTGATATAATGTTATGAGTTCGTATTGTTGTTACCAGATTGTTATAAGGACACTGGTGTGGCGCTAAGTCTCTGCTCCCTTTTCTTGTCTAGACTCTCTGGGATCAGGACTTCAGCTGAGAAAAGGTATGTCATTTCAGGGTCTGCTGGAAGCACAATTCCTGGGAGAGAGGGGCTTTTTTCTCCAAGTGACCAGGCCATTGGGCCTACTCTGTCCATGTCAGTTCTCCCTGGCTAGCACTTTCTATGTCTGCCATACATGTTTCTGCCGCTTCCAATGAGCTATAACTTTTACCTGAGATTTCACATTCACTCTCTTCTGTGGGCAGTGATAATTTCCAAGTTGCTCAAGGAGGCAATACAGACAGGTTGAACATGGGTGTTGGCACACGGCTTAAACACAAGCAGACAAGTCCGCTGCCCCACATCCGATCTCCAGCAAGAGGCAGTCAACAGCATGAAATGCTGTAAGCATACAGAACCCAGACTCAGAGCATTGAATGTCTGCCTCTGCCTCAAACTTCAGTTTTTCTTCATGGAGAGATACCTAGACGATATCCTTAACTAAGTGTGTGGGGTGGAGGGACTCATGCCCCCATTTCTGGACCTTCCCAATAATTTTAGCCATTTAGCCAGGAATCTCTCCGACCAAAATGATACTGTGCCAATTAGGCCTGTGAAGGGAGAGCCAACCAGCCCATAATCCAGGCATCAAAAAACCAAATAGAAGGACAAGTTTTCAACTAGTACCTAAAACTATACTACATGGACAGACCCTCCAAGTGCCCCTATTTTCCAGGGCCACCTATGATTTTGAGAAGCCATCCCGATTTCTGATTTGATCCCGGAATGTCCCGCTTTTCCTTAGGACCTCCCTATTTTCATTGGAGAAATGTTGGAGGGTATGGAGTTATCCAAACCCTGAGCCGTCTGAAGGCAATCCTGTATAGGGAAGATTTTTTAAAATGTTTAATGTTTTGTTATGTTTTTGTGTATGTTGGAAGCTTCCCAGCATAGCTGGGGCAAGCCAATAAGATGTGTGGGGTATAAATAGTAAAATTATCATTAAAGAATGGGACGTCCCTGTTTTCATCGGAGAAATGTTGGAATGCACTGGGCTACTATTACTGAGAAAACAATCGTTCAGTATTTAATAATGTTAAAGTCACAGACATGTCACTTAATAAAAGCCGTGCCCCTTAGTCCAGCCATTTATTGGCCTGGTCTTTGTTGAAATCTTGGCTAAATGTTTTAGCTATGGATCACTGGGTAGCCTTTAGACAAGCCACTCTGAAATATGGAGATAATAATAATCCTGATTTGCCTTATAGAGTTGCTGTAAACATTATAATTATATAATGCATGTGCAATGCTTTAAATACTTGAAAGCGTGGCACACATGTGAATACCTGAAGGAGCGTCTCCACCCCCATTGTTTTGCCCGGACACTGAGGTCCAGCGCCGAGGGCCTTCTGGCGGTTCCCTCACTGAGAGAAGCCAAGTTACAGGGAACCAGGCAGAGGGCCTTCTCGGTAGTGGCACCCTCCCTGTGGAATGCCCTCCCACCAGATGTCAAACAGAACAACAACTACCAGACTTTTAGAAGACATCTGAGGGCAGCCCTGTTTAGGGAAGCTTTTAATGTTTAATAGGCTGTTGTATTTTAGTGTTTTGTTGGAAGCCGCCCAGAGTGGCTGGGGAAACCCAACCAGATGGGCAGGGTATAAATAAATAAATAAATAATAATAATAATAATAATAATAATAATAATAATCTTTATTATAAACCAAAGGAAGCATCCCAGTCCAGGATGAGGTCCTGTTGATTTCAGAGGGCGTTGTTTTTCCGTATTACGTGTCTAGAGAAAAGTCAAGCCTCCCAGCTGACCTTGTTCGTCTTCTCTTTCCTCATCTGCCCCCACAGAAAATGTAACTTTGGATCCCGACACAGCAAATCCCTGGCTCCTCTTGTCTGAGGATCATAAGAGTGTGAGGCGAGGAGGAGAACGTCAAGTTCTGCCCGACAGACCTGAGAGATTTAACAACTATTACTACGTATTGGGTCGTGAGGGGTTCACAGCAGGCAGGCATTTCTGGGAAGTCACCGTGGGGAGCGATGAGGGGTGGGCTGTGGGGGTTGCCAAAAGTTCTGTCAAGAGGAAGCAGGTGATCACTGCTGGTCCCGAAGAAGGGGTCTGGGATCTGGGGAAGTGGGGAGGCGCATACAGGGCTGCCTGTCTCGGTTCACGGACGGTTTTGCCCCTGAGTTGCGAACCCAGGAGGATCCGAGTGACCCTGAACTGTGAAGGGAGGCGGATGGCCTTTTACGATGCCGATAGAGCAGCCCGCCTCTGCACGTTCTCAGCAGCCTCCTTCTCAGGAGAGACCCTCCAGCCCTTGTTTTCTGTGTTCAGTAAGGGCCATCTAAACCTGGCTGCCTAAGGGTGGAGGCAGACAAGACGGGGGAACCCCCTGCTGTCGCCCTACAGTGCTGCCTTCTTCCCAGGAATGAGCTCAGAGGTTACTCAGAGGAGAAGCCATATTTGTAGAACAGTGGCTGGCTGGCTCTTTCACCTCTTGTCCTGCTTAGGCCAGGTGTCTAGGAAGCACTGTCAGAAAGCCTGTAGACCCTGTCCCATGCTTCAGTCAGTGTTTCCTCAGGAGTCTGTGGCCTGGGTTGGTTATGAAACTCAGATGTAAGAAAGAAATTCCTGTGTCCGCTTAGGTCTTTCACTAACCTTCCCAAGATGGTCACGTTCGCCTTGTAGGTGATGCTGGAAGCCAGGATGGTGCTGATCTAAGGAACTCTAGGGGATGGTGGTACATATCTATGTATACAATTATTTCCATTGAAGTAATCTGCAGCTAACAGTTGGGCAGATCCATCTATAGATTTTTAGAGAGCACCTCTGCTTGTACTTTTGTGTGTCTGGACATATTTGGGGTTTTTCGTGTGTTAACCCCAGTGTGGTGTAGTGGTTAAGTGCGATAGACTCGTCAGAGATCACAAAGAAAGGAATATATGATAACAACAAGAAGATGAGGAAAATAACAAAGAGACTGTCTGGACAGAACTGGATAGAACTGTTCAATTCAAGCAGCTGCAGCAAGAGTGAAGTTTGGATCCCTTTCGGAGCTTGAAGTATGGGTACCCCCAACAAAAATTTAAAAAAATTTGGCTGTATAATTTGGAACTAATCTGATTTGGAATTAATGTGATTTGATTGGCCTTTTAATAAAAATTATATATATTTTTAAAAAGAGTGATAGACTCGTAATCTGGGGAACCGGGTTTGCGTCTCCGCTCCTCCACATGCAGCTGCTGGGTGACCTTGGGCTGGTCACACTTCTCTGAAGTCTCTCGGCCCCACTCACCTCACAGATTGTTTGTTGTGGGGGAGTAAGGGAAAGGAGATTGTTAGCCGCTTTGAGACTCGTTCAGGTAGTGATAAAGCGGGATATCAAATCCAAACTCTTCTTCTTCTTCTTTTATCAAAGATTTTGCTTCCTGTTGCTCTTTTGTCATTGGCACCTCAAAAATCGTAACAGCCTCTCGCCACCAAGGAAACACAACGAGCGAATAGTAAGAGAACCTACACAAGGAACACTGACGCAAAACCCCACACATACACTAAGTAGAAGAATAGAAACATAAACACCCTACTCACCATTCCCCCTGTTATAAGAATAATAACGGGCCAGTATCCGTTGTTTGCTACACTGATGCTTACTCACCATTTTACTGTACCCTCAATTGTATGTGTCCTTATATGCTACACTGATATGATTTGGTTCACAATGTACTGTATCAAATGTACGTAGACTATGTTCCCCTTCTGCTCTTCCGTAACATTCTCTTTCGTTGCATCGTTGACTCTAAAAGCTCAGCTTACTGCTGTCTTACTGCTGTAACAATATACTGCATTTATTTGCATACATATTGCCGAATTTGTCACATATCCGTACTATGTAAAAATGGCCGCCTAATCATGCCAAAGGCATGGGTTCCCTTTCACCAATGCACGCATTGGGGAGCAAATAAATTACCGCATTTTTCGCTCCATAAGACGCACAGACATTTCCTCTTACTTTTAAGGAGGAAAAAAGTGTGTCTTATGGAGTGAAAAATACAGTAGCTGACAGCCTCCTTAGACAGCGCCTCGTCTGACGTCTTCTGTTTTTTCTAACTTCTCATTGTTCTGTATTGAAAATCAAAGGTATAAATGTAATAGTTTTCTTTTGTTCTGAATTCTCCTCCATCGCCTGCTACGTGACTGGGAACCCTGTTGCCAACAGTCATTCTTTTAATAAAAGATCAGGCTTACAGCCGCTTTGCTTTAATTATTCTGGTCTGGTCTCTGTTCTTCACATCCCGACAGAGAAGAACCTCAATTTCTGCTCTCTTCAGAGAGTCCAATTCTGATAAAGGAACTTGGACTTATTTTGTGGGACCCCTTCAGTTATTTACGACACCCCTCTCCCCCTCCTTTCTTCTAACCTAACATTGTGTGTAACACTAACTTGTCTCACATCAAATGAAACAGAATGGTAGAAAACACAACCTGAAAAATGAGACAACGCACGTGTTTCTGTACACTAAGAAATCTTTAATAAAAATATAAAAAAAGAAAAGTGTAACAGCCTCATACACCACATAATCCTGCCTCCAGGAACTGCAGTGACATAGGCAAGGTATGAGATCCCATGTAATCCTCACAGCAACCCAGTGAGGTAAGACAGGCTCAGTGGAGAGGTGCTGACTTACCCAGGCCTCGCAGAAAAACCCACAGTCCCTTGCTATCAGGAATGCTGACAAGGCAGCGTTGGCTGGCATGGAGAGAGGCCTTCACTTGAATGTACCACAAATCCCTCAGACCTTCCCACTCGACAGGAAGTGTGAGGAGAGGGGCTTCAAGTCCCTAAATGGGATTTGTGTTACCTCAACTTTTGGCCAACCACCTTTCCCAAACTAGCTGTTCTCTATGAAGAGGGAGAAAAAAGCAATACTTTCCTTATTTTATTTTATTTTGCTGGGGGGGGGGGGGATGTGAGAATTCCTGCTCCGTGATTGCAGTCATGGGATTTTTGTCTATCACATGACGGTGTATGTTTTGACTCCACAAAGTGGGAAGTGACGGAGACAGGATGTTTGTGTTACTGTGTTCCGTGAAGTGGGACTATTGTCCTTTGTTCTTTTTCTCTTTGCTGCCCGATGCTAGAGAGAGAGGGAGCCATGTTGCAGTGCTCCTATATGTAAATAAAGTAGATTAGCCAAAATGCTGAGTTGCTGAGGTCTGTCACGCAAGCTGTGAAGACTCTGCGGATCCCTAAGTGTACCGATGTCTGTTGCCATCGGTCGCTGTGATGTCCAGGCAGAAGAAAGCTTTTGAAGCTCCCGAACGAAAGACCAGGAGGGAGGGAACATGCCAGTCGGGCATGTGTCTGCCAGGGTCCTACTAGAGAGTAGGACGAGCTCCTGACAGGGAATACATCATCCATACCATAAAGATCCCTCATTGATAAGATGACTGCTGATGTTCCTTCCACCTCCATGATTCTATCACCATTGAATCAACAAACTATGAGCAGTGTTTTAACGCAAGTGGAAAGCATTTGGTAAGAGGAGCTCATCAAGATGAGTGGGATGTAATCCACTGAGAGCAGTCAAGTACAACATTCCTTGTTTTGCTAGAGTGGACATGCAAGGGAATGTTCGGTCCAGCCAGTCCAAACTTCCTGTTCCTCCTGGTCTGGAGCATCCTTCCTTGCATGTGACTAGTGGGTGGGCGTGACCTTTCCAGACCTCGTAAAAGGACAAGGCATGCTGCCACTCTCTCTTTCCATCTTCCTTTCATCCTGCGAACTTCCCAGACTGCTAACTGCAGTCACTAGGTCAACTCACATATGGGGTAGACCTGTTTCTATATGTTTGTAACTTTAAGCCTAAAGCCTGCCTTCAGAGATCACACTGTGCTCTGCCTGATCGTGAGTAAACTTTCTTTTTATTGTTTATGAATAAGACTGTGGTGTCTTTATTCTTTTAGGAGGGATTCAAGGGGTCTTACCAGGAAAATATTAGAACACATTTCAATCTGGACAAGCCAGATTGAATTGCGTATTGTCTTAAGAAACTCACACATGTTTGCAACTAGTTTTCTGCTGTGTAAAGGGGAATGCACTCTGCTAAGTAAAGGAACTTGCTAGCACATGTTAGGAAGGATACTACCAGTAATAAACAATATATCCTCTCCTGCCACCCTGAACATTCCCACAAGATGCTTATGGCAGGGCTGGGTCGAAGGTAGATCTACTGACGGATCTCCAGTGACTGCAGAATATCACCTGCGGTTTCCAGCTGTCAACTGTCTTAACACAGCAACAACTCAAGAGTTCGCCATCACTGCAAAAGCTGCTGGAGTAAGGAAACCAGGCGTGAATTAATGTGTGCATCTCTTGAGCTTGGCTCTGGTGCTGATCACAAATTCCTAGGCTGAGCGCATGCTCAGAGGCACCCTGTTCCTCAAGAGACCACCTTGGCTGTGAGTCCTGGAAAACCTGCTGTTCCCTGTCTTGCAGGCCTTTTCCCACCTGGCCCGGGAGTCCTGGATGCTTTAGTTGATATTCCTGCACTACAGGGGGTTGGACTAGATGACCCTCAGGGTCCCTCCCAACTCTACAAGGGCAGGGATCTTGGATGTCTTTAGTGCAGTCTCAGGTTGTTTAGCCTGAGCTTCCACAGCCACTGCCCGCCAGGAACCCCTATGGGCAGGATTGGCAGCAACAGCGGCAGGTATGTTCTAGAGTAATATTTTATTTTATTGCTAATCATGCTGCTTTAAATGTGCATTTCATATTTGACTTCCTTTAGTAACGCTTTCTTTTGAAATGTTTAATTTTTGCGTTAACTTTGCTGCATTAAGTACGCTCTGTAATCGACCTTTGCAATGTTTTCTTTTGACATCTTTAAGAGGATATTTTAGTTGCCTGCTAATCATGCTGCTTTCAATGTATACTCTCTCCGTGTGTGTGTGTGTGCGCGCGCGCGCGCGGAGCATACAGATGGGAGGAGCTTAAGAGGCTCAGATTGATTCACTGACTTTCAGTGCGATTTGAGGATGTTGTGAAGTTCATAACAATACAAAAAATTCACTTGTCTCCAGCTGTCATCGGAAAATGCCTGCCTAAATGAACAGCCAGCCACGAACGATTTCCCTGTTGTTGTTGTTTTTTAAAAAAACCCATTGTTAGAGACTCAGGAAAGATCTTGCGTCACCTCCTTCCTGCAAAGGAAACACGCCCAGTTGCTGGCAGACAAGAAAGAAAGCGAAAGCAACTTTCTTCCAGGCGAAGCTGCAGCCATGGCTGCTTCTGGGGGTCCCGTGCAAAATCTCTTCGAGGAAGCCACTTGCTCCATCTGCCTGGAGTATTTCAAGGATCCAGTGATCATCCCGGAGTGCGGGCACAACTTCTGCCGAGCCTGCCTGATCCAATATTGGGGGAAATCCGAAGGAGAGGCTTCCTGCCCAGAGTGCAGGAAAACAGTTCAGCAGAGGAACCTCATCCCCAATCGGTCGCTGGCAAATGTTGCAGAAAAAGCCAAGATGCTCCGTGGGGATTTCTGTGGAAGAAAGCGGGCGGAGGGAAAGGAAAGAGTCTGCGAGAAGCACCAGGAGCCCCTGAAGCTCTTCTGCAAGGAGGACCAAAGCCCCATCTGTCTGGTGTGTGAAAGATCCAAGGAGCACAAAAGCCACGAGGTGGTTCCTCTAGAGGAGGCGTCCCAGGAGTACATGGTAGGAAACGGCAATGGGTCTTGATGGGGGAGGGCAGGGCTGGGTGACACGAGAGAGCAAAAATTGTGGGAAATGTTTATAATCTATTATGATTCAATTTGTAAATGTTTCTGCTTTCATCCAAGGAGAAAGACCCCCCAAAACACAAACACACACAGGTTATAGTATTTATTGTATTTTAGTGTTTTGTTAGAAGCCGCCCAGAGTGGCTGGGGAAACCCAGCCAGATGGGCGGGGTATAAATAATAAATTATTATTATATTATTATTCTCTGCTCTAATGTCGAACAGCTCTTCAAAACCTGGAACTTGAGTTGGTCTGAAGCAGTCTCTCAAGGGGATGGAGGGAGTTATGTTAAACCCATATTGGATTTGGTTGTCTTATTCAATCCACTGGGATAAATAAGTGGGAATCTCCACAAAAGACCCTGGAATGCAGGACAGCCATATTGTTCAACTTCCCTCTTGCATGCATCCTAAAACCCAGCAGGAAAAGAAAATAGAACCAGACTGGAATTTTGTTTTGTCTTCAGAACCAGATCTGTAGGTTCTTAGGCCATCTGAGGAAGGAGAGGGAGAAGATCATGGCATTTAAAATGGACGCTGAAGAGGAAAGCCAAGACCTGCTCGTAAGTGTCAACATCCCTGGGAAGCCCAAAAGTATTATTACAAGCACCCCACTCTCTGAGCGGTGAAAGCACCTCCCTCCGGTTCAGTTTGATTCCCCCCCCCTTGGTATTTGTGATACATGGTTTTATTTACACATCTGTAGGCTGAGCATAATGGGACGCGGGTGGCGCTGTGGGTTAAACCACAGAGCCTAGGACTTGCCGATCAGAAGGTCGGTGGTTCGAATCCCCGCAAAGGGGTGAGCTCCCGTTGCTCAGTCCCAGCTCCTGCCAACCTAGCAGTTCGAAAGCACCTCAAAGTTCAAGTAGATAAATAGGTACCGCTCCGGCGGGAAGGTAGACGGCGTTTCCGTGCGCTGCTCTGGATCGCCAGAAGCGGCTTAGTCATGCTGGCCACATGACCCGGAAGCTGTACACTGGCTCCCTCGGCCAATAAAGCGAGATGAGTGCCGCAACCCCAGAGTCGTCCGCGACTGGACCTAACGGTCAGGGGTCCCTTTACCTTTAGGCTGAGCATAAGATAGAAGGGCTCATGGTCACAGCACCAATGGATCTTGCTCCCCTCTTAAGTTTCAAAGGGGACCCCAGATTCGTAGCTTTAGTTTCAGCACAGAAAGCAAGGCAGACATCTCCTGACTTCCCACCTGCACTAGCTAGTTGTTTTCATGGTAGCATGGTACCTGTACTTCACCAACTCCTTAAACATGTAAAAAGAATGCTTAGCAGGCTGGGCTGGGGATATTAACTAAACAGACACCAGACTAATCACTTCAAGAGTTCCTTCTACTACAGACCCCCATCTTATGTTATAAAAACGTAGACATGGAAGAGGACAGCACACACCCCCTCCCCCGATAATCTGGGTTGCCCCAGCCACTCTGGATGGCTTCCAACAAATTATGAGGTATCCAAACCACCATCAGTTCTACAACAGACCTGTAACCAAGAATCAATATCTGGAAAAATGAAATGCAGAAATATATGTTTTTCTACTACAGTGGTACCTCGGGTTACATACGCTTCAGGTTACATATGCTTCAGGTTACATACGCTTCAGGTTACAGACTCTGCTAACCCAGGAATAGTGCTTCAGGTTAAGAACTTTGCTTCAGGATGAGAACAGAAATCGTGCTGCTGCGGCGCAGCAGCAGGAGGCCCCATTAGCTAAAGTGGTGCTTCAGGTTAAGAACAGTTTCAGGTTAAGTACGGACCTCCGGAACGAATTAAGTACTTAACCCGAGGTACCACTGTATTTGGAGTGTCCAGAACTCCCACCAAAAAAAAGTTCACAAAAGAGCATTCCAAAGTGGTGGGTGGGTATATGCAAGGTTTTGTGAACATTGATGTGATGTCTCCAAAATGTCAAAAGAGCCCTTTTAAGGGAATTCTCTTAACTGACCTGAGGCTGCAAAGTCAGGCTATATTCAGTCCCGCTGTTGGCCTACTTCTTGCAGAATCAAATGGAAGCAGAGATGGAAAAGACAGTGGCTGAGTTCAGACGTCTACACCGGTTTTTGGAAGAACAAGAAAAGCGTCTTCTATTACAGATGGCAGAGGTGGAGAAGGAGATCGCCAAGAAAAGGGAGGAGCACCTGGCCAGACTCTCCAGGGAACTCTCCTCTCTTGAAAGCCTCATCCAGGAGGTGGAGGAGAAACTTCAGGAACCAGCGAGTGAACTCCTGCAGGTCAGGCCTGGTCCTGCTTCTGAGCTTCCTAACTAGCTGTTGGTGGGATGCTGAGTCCGAGGGCCCTTGCTTGCCAGTTCACAGATGGGATGGGCTTTCCATCACTTGGCATCCTTCTCATCTTGAAGGTTGATGTTTAGAGGTTAATGAAAAAGCAGAAGGGTCCGTCTTCCTGGGCCAGCTCATAATCAGTATAAAAGTATTGAGAGAATAATCCTCTCCCTTTTCCCACCCTGTCTTTCTCTCCCTCCTTCTGTCACTCTGAATTGCCTCCACTGAATTCAATCTCTTCTTTCCTTCCAGGACATTGGAAGCTTCTTGTGGAGGTAAGCACACAAAAAGCACTTCAGGTTGGTCGGAAAACTCATTGCACTTGTTGAAAAACTGTTATTCCTCCCCCATTCTCTCTTTTAAAATGGTTCACGTTAAAAGATTCTAGTCCTCGGTGTCTAAAGACCCTATGTTTCATTCACTTCCAAAAAATGAAATAACATCTATTTTTACATTATAGCATAATCCTTTTGCTTCTATATATAATAAGTCCTTGCCTTTGGGGCTGCATCATAATTTGTACACTACAGTGGAACCTTGGCTACCAAACGATCAAAAACCGAAAGTGACTGTTCTGGTTTTCGAACGTTATTTGGAAGCCAAACATCTACTGCGGCTTCTGATTGGGTGTAGGAAGCTCCTGCAGCCAATCAGAAGCTGCACCTTCGTTCCTGAACTGTTTTGGGAGTCGAACGGACTCCCAGAACGGATTACGTTTGGGAACCAAGGTTCCACTGTAGATCTGCAAGCCACCTGCCTGCTGCTTTTCATCATGTGCTAAAAACCCTGATCTCAGCTCACTATGATGTGCAGATGAGCTGACATCAAGATGAGGCACCTGGCTTTTCAGAAAGCTCTTTGCGTTAGAGGGATGGTGAGTTGACCTTGTTCTTCTCCCATAGGTATCAGGAGAAGTTTGATGATCCTCCTGTGGCTTTTCCTCCTGCCCTGAAGTGGAGGATCTGGGACTTCTGCGATATAAATCCCTTTCTGGAGGGTGTCATGAAGCAGTTCAGAGGTACCAAGAATGGTTTCCGTGGTTTATAGTGGGCATTTAAGAAAAAATGTTCAAAACAGATTGGTTATCTAAAATGATGGAATACTTCCATATTGCTGAACTAACAGGGAGGATAAGAGGAGATATGGTACAAAAAGTGAATAAGGAGTGGGCTATCTTTAAGGAATACATCAAAATTTATGTGGGAAAAGTAGGATTTCTGACAGATATTGAGTGAATCCAGAAAATGATTAGAGTGAAAGGCAAATAAAGTCAAGATAGAAGAGATTAAAGAAATAATGAAACGTGTTTAAGTTAGTTGGAAAAATAAAGTAGCGTAACAAGAACGGCTGGAGGTCAAGTCACCTGGTGGGTGTCCGTGTGGGGTAGGTGTGTAGGTATGTTGATATGTACAGTATAGGTAGGTATTATATACAGTACTGTAGGTATGTTTTATGTTATAAAAAGGTAGTGTGTTATGTATGTGTGTTGTGTAAATGTATATGTAAATAATATTTTTTTTGGGGGGGGGGGATAAGAAAAAATGTTCATAAAAGGCTCCAGGTTGCTTGTCATATTAGCAGTGTCAAGAAAATGGAAGAGCTGAGTGTGAAAAGAAAAGGCAATTATCTTCCATTATGGAAAAAGGCTCTGGTCAAAGCTCCCTCCTACAAAACGGAGTCTACTCATTTATACCTATTAGTGCTTCGGCATCTGCCGTTGCTTAAGGATAGGAGCAGGGAGTGAATCAGCAAAGGAACCTGCCTCAGGTTGAGTCAGGCCACTGCTCCATCTCACTCAGTATTGTCTACACTGGCTGGCAGCCACTCCAGGATTCCAGGCAGGAGTTTCTCCCATCCCTATCTGGAGATTCCAGGCGTTGAAGCCGAGACCATTTTTGTGTAAAGCTGGCTCTTCTACGAAGCCATGGCCATTCCCTGCCACAAGCAGTAAAGGTAAAGGGACCCCTGACCATTAGGTCCAGTCGTGGCCCACTCTGGGGTTGCGGCGCTCATCTCGCTTTACTGGGAGCCGGCGTACAGCTTCCGGGTCACGTGGCCAGCATGACTAAGCTGCTTCTGGCAAACCAGAGCAGCGCACGGAAACACCGTTTACCTTCCCGCCGGAGCGGTACCTATTTATCTACTTGCACTTTGACGTGTTTTTGAACTGCTAGGTTGGCAGGAGCAGGGACCGGGCAATGGGAGCTCACCCCGTTGCAGGGATTTGAACCGCCGACCTTCTGATCGGCAAGCCCTAGGCTCTGTGGTTTAACCCGCATCCCGCCACCCACCACAAGCAGTGGGCACTGCTAAAGAACAGCCCATCCTCCCAACGGCAGCAAACATCTCTAGAAAACAGCAAATGCACCTCATCCACTCTGCATGGAGGCCTGACTTTATTTCCCAACCGAAAAGGGGACTTCTCAAATCACTTAGCCTGAATTCAGCCTGATCTTTTATTTCCCTTCCCTCCCTCTCCCTTTTTATGAAGATTACCCGCTCTGAGATCCCACAGCTAATTCTCCCCTAGCCTCCTCGCTGGCCCAAGTAGGACCAATTCAGCCAGCTAGCCCTGGGGATTATCTAATTGCTTATTTCCCCTAAATTGATCTCTGAATTTTGAATTTTATTGTTATTCATGTTTTTATATTGTATTTTATACTGCTTTTACAATTAAGTGTTTTCAATTTGTTGTTAGCCGCCCTGAGCCCGGTGTTTGAACTGGGAAGGGTGGGGTATAAATAAAAAAATATTATTATTATTATTTATTATTATTAGCCCCTTTGCTTATGAGCTGGAGGCTGTGTCCTTTCCCAAGGCCTCATCCAGGCTTTGGATCTGCACAGGTGCTGAGACATAATCTCGCACTTTTCCCAAGTCAGTCTCACATTTCCCAAGCACAAATCTCAGGTGGTGCGATGAGTCAGTGTGTCCGGCTGTTAACCAGAAGGTGGGTGGTTCGAGCCCACCCAGGGATGGCTGTGGGCAGGATTCCTGCATTTTAGGGGGTTGGACTAGATGATTTCTTGAGGTCCCTTCCAAATCTACACTTCTGTGAGTCTGTTGGTAGCTGGGCAGTGGAACCCTGTCGCTTCTTTTGGGTTTGCTGCCCCCTTTTATTATGACCTTGGTGGTGGGGGATTGTAAAAGAGCAACTGGTGTTGAGGCCTCTAGGCCTGGCTTGCCTGAATCTGAAGGCTCCTCATGGATGCTGGAGATTGGGGGGGGGGGCCTTTCTGGGTGAAGGGCCTGCTCTCTGAGAAAATGTGATGTAAAGGTCCGTATAGTTAAAGCTATGGTTTTCCCAGTAGTGATGTATGGAAGTGAGAGCTGGACCATAAAGAAGGCTGATCATCAAAGAATTGATGCTTTTGAATTATGGTGCTGGAGGAGACTCTTGAGAGTCCCATGGACTGCAAGAAGATCAAACCATTCTGAAGGAAATCAGCCCTGAGTGCTCACTGGAAGGACAGATCGTGAAGCTGAGGCTCCAATACTTTGGCCACCTCATGAGAAAAGAAGACTCACTGGAAAAGACCCTGATGTTGGGAAAGATGGAGGGCACAAGGAGAAGGGGACGACAGAGGACGAGATGGTTGGACAGTGTTCTCAAAGCTACCAGCATGAGTTTGACCAAGCTGCGGGAGGCAGTGGAAGACAGGAGTGCCTGGCATGCTCTGGTCCATGGGGTCACAAGGAGTCGGACACGACTAAACAGCTAAACAATAACAACAACAAAAGGGCTGAACCTTGGCACCAACACATCATCCTTGCCCTCACTTATAGCATGCTGCAATATTGTGGTGTTTTTCCCAGATTCGTTGTGAGGATGACAGTGTTCTTTTTTCCTTCCACAGACACTCTGGGATCTGGATTTCAGCTGCAGCAAGGTATGTTATTTTGGGGTCTGATGGTGGCCCATATTTCCAGAGGAGATGAGATCCGCCTCTCAAAAGATGAAGCCACTGGACAGAGTGGGGCTCTGTTCCCAAAATGTGCTCCCTGTCTGCCTTCGCAGGCTTTTCACTGTTCAGAAGAACCTATATATTTTAACTGGGGTGTGGCACAATCACCCCACATCACTGTGGGAAAGAGTAGTTCCAAGGATTTATCCTTCACAAGCGTTTTTGCACAGTTCGGTCAAATGGTTTCCTTCTTAACTCAATGGAGGCCTTTAAATTCATTTACATACACGGGTTGAGCATAGGTTCACTTCTTAAATTCTCCAGCAGCGAAGTCTGCATCAGACCTCCAGGAAGAGGCAGCAAGGATCTCAAAATGCAGTAAATTTACACAGCCCAAATTCAGGTCTTTCTTTTTTTTTTTCTTTTCATTTTTCAATAATATTTTTATTCATTTTCCACAAAAGAAAAAAAAAACATTTTTTATACAATCAATTCACATTTTATCACACATTCATCTCTTTTTTTGACTTCCCTCAGCTCCTCTGCCGATCTTTCGTTTGCATCAATATTATTAACGCATTTCTTAACTTAGTATTGCCTTTAGATATCTCCTTCCCTCCTCTTATTTTCTTTTTAACAATATTCCTCTGTTTTTCACAGAGTCTCTTGAAAACCAACAAACGTTATCTGTTCATCACATATGCCTTTCAGATAATCTGTAAATCTTCCCCAGTCCTCGATGAACTTTTGGTCTCGTTGATACCGAATCTTCCCTGTTAGTTTGTCCAATTCTGCATAATCAGTCAATTTCAGTCTCCATTCTTCCACCGTCGGTAACTCTTCCTGTTTCCATTTTTGGGCCAGAAGTATTCTCGCTGCTGTAACTGCGTATTGAAAAAGTTTACAGTCTTTCTTACTTATCTCATTTCCTACCAATCCCAATAAGAAGGCCTCCGGTTTCTTAATACAAATTTAGGTCTTTCTGTCTCTCACTCAAGCTCTTCATGCCCAGACATTGGGATGACATTATCATGTGCCGGGGAAACATTCCCTCTCTCAAGTTCTTCCAGGTATTCCATAATCATTTAGCCTGGTCTCTAAGAAAAACCATGAATGCAGCTACTTTGCCAGGACTATGAAGGCAGTCTCTCCAGCAACACTTCTGGCTGCATTAACCCTCCCCTGCCCACACCCCCAATCTCCCAACATGGGGGATGAATGAATTTTATTATTTCGGTCACAGACCAGTTCCAGCCCACACACAATACAGTGGTACCTTGGGTTAAGTACTTAATTCGTTCCGGAGGTCCGTACTTAACCTGAAACTGTTCTTTTTTTAAAAAAAAATAATTTTTATTCATTTTCCAAACAAGTTTTATACAGTCAACAAATTATTTTACACTCATGCTTCAATTTTTGACTTCGCTCAGTTTCTCTGTCAATCTTTCGAAAAATTTCTATTTATTGACGCATTTCTAAACATGATATTGCCTTTCCCCACTCCTTTTCCTCTTACTCTCTTTTTTGCAGTATTTCTTACTATTTCACAGAGTCTCTTCAAAACCAACAAGCGTTGTCTGTGCATCACATATATTTTTCAGATATTCTGTAAATTTTCCCCAGTCCTCGATAAACTTTTGGTCTTTCTGGTATCGAATCTTCCCAGTTAATTTATCCAATTCTGCATATTCGGTCAATTTCCTTCTCCATTCTTCCACTGTTGGAATTTCTTCCTGTTTCCATCTTTGGGCCAAAAGTATCCTTGCGGCAGTCACTGCATATTGAAACAGTTTACAGTCTCTCTTATTGATTTCGTTTCCTACCATTCCTAATTGAAAGGCTTCTGGTTTTTTAACGAACGTATATTTCAACATCTTTTTCAATTCATTGTATATCATTTCCCAGAAGTCTTTCACCTTTTTGCACTCCCACCACATATGATAGAAAGTACCTTCTTTTTCTTTACATTTCCAACACTTATTGCATGTTTTATACATTTTGGCCAGAGGTCTGTTCTTAACCTGAAACTGTTCTTAACCTGAAGCACCACTTTAGCTAATGGGGCCTCCTGCTGCTGCCGTGCCGCTGGAGCACGATTTCTGTTCTCATCCTGAAGCAAAGTTCTTAACCTGAAGCACTATTTCTGGGTTAGCGGAATCTGTAACCTGAAGCGTATGTAACCTGAGGTACCACTGTATCAAGGAAGTCATAAAACACGATAGGGATACATTTGAATTTGCAATTAGGTATTACAGGGACAATACAGATATAGCAACCGTTAAGAAATATATGAATTAAAACTAAGTCACTAACATACAGTGGTACCTCAGGTTAAGTACTTAATTCATTCCGGAGGTCCGTTCTTAACCTGAAACTTCTTAACCTGAAGCACCGCTTTAGCTAATGGGGTCTCCCGCTGCCGCCGCGATTTCTGTTCTCATCCTGAAGGAAAGTTCTTAACCCGAGGTACTATTTCTGGGTTAGCAGAGTGTGTAACCTGAAGTATATTTAACCTGAAGCGTATGTAACCCGAGGTACCACTGTATAACCTGAAATTATCATTTAAAACCTTAAGCATTATGATAACACAGCTTGTTCCCTAAGTTTTATGGCAATCGCACAGAATTTGGCTACCCTTAACGTGATCTCAGGATCCTTGTCCTCTACCAAGGATTTTACACATTGAAGTCAACATGGGGGAGAAATTGCTGGATGTGGAGGCAGAAGTTCAGCCTGGTCTAGTGCTGGGCACTAACAAAAGAGATATTCCAACAGCTGGAAAAGGTGCAGAAAAGGGAAGTGTCAAGACTTGCTCCCCAAGCGCAAGTCCCTCCAGAACTGGATTTTGGCAATAAAATGCCCAGGCCCAGCCACATAACCTGGGGGCTAGTCACCCAAACAGGAGCTTTCGGAGATTCAGACTGGCCACTTCACTTGGGGAATGTCGAGAGAGCCTAAGTAATCCACCATCCCACATTTTCATAAGTGAGAAAGCACAGAAATAGCTCTGTTGTGTTTTTTTGTGAACTGCCTCAAATGGCAGGTTAGAAAGTATTTTACATGAATAGTTGAAATTTGGGTCGTGCTCACAAGGAGGATACCTTTCGTTGCCCGTTTTTCCTGAGGTTTCAAGCGAGGTCTTTGTTGGAACGTTGGCTGAAAAGATTGAGCTACGAATCAGGGACTCGCTGCTTTGAATCTCCCCTTTGCCACCTACTCCCCGATTGGCCTTAGACAAGCTGCCTTGGGTCACCCTCAGTCCTCCTATCTGAAAAATGGGGGTAATAATACGGATTTGCCTTAAGGGCCTTTGTAAGGTTTATAACTACAGTGGTACCTCAGGTTACAGACGCTTCCGGTTACAGACTCCACTAACCCAGAAAAAGTACCTCGGGTTAAGAACTTTGCCTCAGGATGAGAACAGAAATCGTGTGGCGGCAGTGGGAGGCCCCATTAGCTAAAGTGGTACCTCAGGTTAAGAACAGTTTCAGTTTAAGAATGGACCTCCAGTATGAATTAAGTTCTGAACCCGAGGTACCACTGTAAATAGCACATGTGAAGTGCTTTGAAGAACTAAAAAGCCTAATGTAAATGTGAATTGTTATTTTTTAAGCATCTCGTTTCCAAATGCAGTGCTTAGAAGCCCTGTTGATTTGGGAGGAAATGCTGTTCCTGTCACGTGTCGAGACATAAGCCTGTCTCTCTTCCCTTTCCTCATCTGCTTCCACAGAAAACGTAACTCTGGATCCAGACACAGCCCATCCCCACCTCATCCTGTCTGAGGATCGTAAGAGAGTGAGATTTGGCGATGAGGAACAAGATCTGCCCAACAGTTGCGAGAGATTCGACAAGCATCCCTATGTCCTGGGAGGCGAGGGGTTCACAGGAGGAAGACATTTCTGGGAGGTCGTTGTGGGGAGTGAGGGGGGCTGGGCTGTGGGGGTGGCCAGGAAGTCTGTGAAGAGGAAGGGTCAGATCACGTTTGGTCCTGAGGAAGGGGTCTGGGGTCTGGGGAAGTGGGCAGGAGAATACAAGGCCTCCTCCCACGCTGCTGTGACCCTGAGCAAGGAGCCTGAGAGGATCCGAGTGGCCCTGAACTGTGAAGGGGGACGGGTGTCCTTTTACGATGCTGATACAGCAGCCCTCCTCTACACATTCTCAGCAGCCCCCTTCTCAGGAGAGACCCTCCTGCCCTTGTTTTGGGTGCCCCGTAAAGCCCACCTGACCCTCTCTGACTAAGGGAGGACAGCACAGACAGAAGACGTACATCAAAACAGGTTTTTTATTATTTTTATTATTATTATTTTGCTTGCTTGCTTAGCTCCTGCACTGACTCGTGTAGTGAGCATGACTGGAGAGTAGGGAGGGCCAACAGGTTGGTGTCCTAACTGACACAAGAGTCACCCAATCATTACCGTCCATGTCACCGGCCCGAAAATGGAAGGTGTATCATGACTGACACAAGTACCAGCCAATCGCTTATCTGCAAATATGGCTTCTCCTTGGAAAGAACATTAATCTCTTGAGGCAGATCCTGAAATGCAAAAACTGAAAAGCCAGTCTTCTTCCAGAGTCACTGAGGTGGTTTTCTGTATCAGTGTCCTCTCTGGAAATGAAGAGCCTGCTAAATTAAAGTTATAGTGAGAGGACAAAGCAAATTCTAAGGGGTGGTGAGACATTTCCATTTATACAAATATGCCCCCTAGTATAATTGGAAGTTAAGGATTAGGCACTTCCATCTATAGATTTCTAAGGAGCACTTCAGCTTTTATATATATCAGCAGACATTGGGGTGTATTTCATGTGGTTGAAATGTTTAATTTTATTAAAGGTTTTGCTTCCTATTGCTTGTGTTTCATTTCAGACTCAGAAAAACAGCAGCCACATATACTGCACACACCCGTTCCTCCTAGGAACCCCATGATCACAGGGAGATAAATAGAGATAGGATATAAAACAAACAAATAAATAGTCATCACTGTCAGGGGAGGGGATTCCACAAATTTTGATGATATCCAAATGAACAGAGTAGCTTACATCTAAGAAGCTAAATAACTTCTAGGTGATTGATAGCTTCTTTCTGTCCAGAATATTCAGAAGAACTTTGCTTTCATGAACATATGAGAAGAATATATTTACAATCTCATGCCTATTCAAACATGGGTATGTTCCCACTTGAATTGTAGACTGAAGTCTTCTTACTTAGACTTAAGAACATAACTGTTGAGACTTGAATCAGAGTTTAACTTTCACCTCAGCAGTATTCTCTTTGATCCTTTCAGAGAGTTCCTGCACAGGTTTCTCCCTATTAAATGTTTTGGGATCTTCCTCTGTTTCACATCAGACAGATCAGTGACACAACATAGCCTCTCTCAGCATCCAGCCCCTCTCACATACACAGAGAGAAAGTAGTTAAAAACAAAAACAAAAAACGACAGTTACTGGAATAACAGTCACAACAGAATGGAATGCCTCTCTCATGTGACTCACATTCAGCCAATCATATGAGAGCTACATCCAGAGGAGAAAAAGCCCATGTTAAAAGTACTTAGTGATTTAACATAAGTAAACATTCCTGGCTCAGGAAATTAAACCGTTAAGCGTGGGTTCAGTTGCTGAGCAATTTCTGGGGGGGAATTCATATTTCTGCTTCTGAGTGCAGTGACCCGAGAGGCCAGGGTTCGAACCCGCAGTCCACCACAAAGTTCACAGGGCAACCCCCCAGGTAGCCTACCTCGCAAGGCCGCTGGGGGGACTCAGTTGAGGGTGTGGAGAGCCATGCATGCTACATTGAGCTTTTTGGGCGAAGGGGTGGAATATAAATGAAATAAATATGCATCAGTCTCAGGGGAGGGGATTCCACAATGTAGGGGCTGCAGCAAAGAAAGCCATCTCTGGGATGTTAGCAGGCATGGTGGAGGCAGGCGGGTGTGTGGAGGAGGCTGGATCTGCCACCTGAGGTAACCGCCTCACCTTGCCTCATGGGCAGGCTGGCCTCGCTTTTCCCTAACCTCTCATGGGACTCTCAAGACACTCCTCCAGCACCATAATTCAAAAGCACCAATTCTTCAGCGATCAGCCTTCTTTATGGTCCAGCTCTCACTTCCATACATCTCTACTGGGAAAACCATAGCTTTAACTATATGGACCTTTGTCGGCAAGGTGATGTCTCTGCTTTTTAAGATGCTGCTGTCTAGGTTTGTCATTGCTTTTCTCCCAAGAAGCAGGCGTCTTTTAATTTCGTGGCTGCTGTCACCATCTGCAGTGATCATGGAGCCCAAGAAAGTAAAATCTCTCACTGCCTCCATTTAAGGCAGGAAGGGGTTAACCGGAGGATATTGTTCCAGGGGCGGAGTTCTCTGGGTCCAGAGAACTGAGGAAGCTGGAGCTGCAGCAGATGGGGAGATCTGGAGAGAGGGAACAGGGGCAGCAGGCGGGGGGGGGGGGGGATCTGCAGGTCGGAGAACCTGTCCAAGAGCAGAGGAGGGCAGAAGAAGTGAGGAGAAAAGGCTCCTTAGATTGAACAGGTTGCAGGTAAGCAGGGACCCGCGAAGCTGCGTTATTTATTAATTCACATTACTGGTTCGACAGTACTGGTTCTGCCATGGATGCTTTAGAGGAGATTCCTGCACTGCAGCGGGTTGGACTAGATGACCCTCGGGTCCCTTCCAGTGCTTCGATTCAAGGATACATCCAGCGAGAGTCTCCCTGCGTGGTGCTTGAAAGTGCAACTCAGATCCCACGTCGGGTGTTGCCAAGCCGCTGCCAAGATCTATTTGCATGGGTAAGCGCCTCTCTTGGTACCCGAGGGCAGGATGGGGATACGACAGAACCGCTGCCCTTCTTTGCGCCCCAATAAAGGAAAACATCACTCAACTGCTTATTCACAACCAGCCACAGAGGCCGATTCCCACTTAGATACCCCTCTTGACCATTCCTCTTTATTCAACTTTGATTTGATTTTTAGAGAGAATGACAAACCTAGACAGGTTTGATGTATGGAAGTGAGAGCAGGACCATAAAGAAGGCTGATCTCCAAAGAATTGATGCTTTTGAATTATGGTGCTGGAGGAGACTCTTGAGAGTCCCATGGACTGCAAGAAGATCAAACGTATCCATTCTTAAGGAAATCAGCCCTGAGTGCTCACTGGAAGGACAGATCCTGAAGCTGAGCCTCCAACACTTTGGCCACCTCATGAGAAGAGTAGACTCCCTGGAAAAGACCCTGATGTTGGGAAAGATGGAGGGCACAAGGAGAAGGGGACGACAGAGGACGAGATGGTTGGACAGTGTTCTCGAAGCTACCAGCAGGAGTTTGACCAAACTGCGGGAGGCAGTGGAAGACAGGAGTGCCTGGCGTGCTCTGGTCCATGGGGTCACAAAGAGTTGGACACGACTAAACAACAGTGCCCAATTTGCACACTGATTCAGGAGTCAGCAAAGTTTTTCAGCAGGGGGCCGGTCCACTGTCCTTCAGACCTTGTGGGGGGCCGGACTATATTTTGAAAAAAATATATGAACGAATTCCTATGCCCCACAAATGACCCAGAGATACACTTAAAATAAAACCACACATTCTACTCATGTAAAAACACGCTGATTCCTGGACCGTCCGCGGGCCGGATTTAGAAGGCAATTGGGCCGGATCCGGCCCCCGGGCCTTAGTTTGCCTACCCATGCACTGATTGGTGGGCCAGCAGCGCTGCTCACAAGAGGTCTTTGTGTGCTCATTCTCTGCAAAGAAGCCAAGGGCGCTGGCCATAGGTTACTTCCAGTCACCTGCCTCTGAGCATTCATTCTGTTTTGTTTCCTGGGTGGGGTAAGCTTTGTCAGCTACCTGCCGAGTGTTTGTCTTGGTTTGTTTGCGGGGAGGTCAGATGACAGCTGTCTAAAGCAAGCGCTGTTTTCCCCTTTGCCTTTGTTAATCGCAGGAAGTCAGTTCTGGTGGATTTGTTCCAGGAGATCTCCAGATCATTGTGAAATCTATTGACACCAGGCAGGTGCCTTCGCTGAATACGCTTAAAATATATTTGTTTAGCCATACCTACAGAGCTATTCCGCCTGGCTTTCAATTTGAACTTAGCCTGATCTTTTATTCCCCTTCCTTCCCTACCCCTCCCCTTTTCATGAAGATTACCCACTCTGGGATCCCACAGCTAATTCTCCCCTGGTCTCCTCGCTGGCAAAATAGGCATAGCTGTCAACTTTTCCCTTTTCTTGCGAGGAATCCTATTTGGAATAAGGGAATTTCCCTTTATAAAGGGAAAACATTGACAGCCAGCTAGCCCTGGTGATCATCTAATGTTTATTGGGTGGATTTCCTCCCCAAACTGATTTTTGAATTCTGAATTTATTGTTATTCCCGTTTTATACTGTATTTTATGCTGTTTTTTGTTGCATCAATTAAGTGTTTTAAATTTGTTGTTAGCCGCCCTGAGCCTGGTTTTCTGAACCGGGAAGGGCGGGGTATAAATAAAGAAAATTATTATTATTATTATTATTATTATTATTATTATCATTATTATGCTATCTTGACTTATTATTGTTAAATGTTTTCAACTGTCATTTCTTATTTTATTAAATATTTGGTTTAATATTTCTTGCAAACCGCTTGGTTTAATATTTCTTGCAAACCGATGTTTTCGCTACAGTGAGGTGGTACTCAAATCCTAACCCTGAATTTGTGGATACACGATTTTCATAGAATCGTAGTGTGGGAAGGGACCCCAAGGATCATCTAGTCCAACCCCCTGCAGTACAAGAATCTCAACCAAAGCATCCATGACAGACGGCTCTCCAACCACTGCTTAAGAACCTCCAGGGAAGGAGAGTCCACCACCTTCCAATGGAGATCATTTTGCTGTCGGAACTGCTCTTCCCATCAGAAACTTCATCCTCATGTTTAGTTTCAGCCTTCCTGACGCCCTCCAGATAGCAGAGCCGGTGGTCATTCACAGGCCCCATTTTCTATGCTTGGAACTCTTCACTTGTTTAATAGCTTGCCGATCAGAAGGTCGGCGGTTCGAATCCCCGCGACGGGGTGAGCTCCCGTTGCTCAATCCCTGCTCCTGCCAACCTAGCAGTTCGAAAGCACGTCAAAGTGCAAGTAGATAAATAGGTACCACTCCGGCGGGAAGGTAAACGGAAGTGCAAGTAGATAAATGGGGGGGGAGCTTAGAATAAACCCTGACTTCCACCATGGAGAGGGACACGGGTGGCGCTGTGGGTTAAACCACAGAGCCTAGGACTTGCCGATCAGAAGGTCGGCGGTTCGAATCCCTGTGATGGGGTGAGCTCCCGTTGCTCAGTCCCTGCTCCTGTCAACCTAGCAGTTCAAAAGCACTAAGTGCAATTAGATAAATAGGTACCACTCCAGCGGGAAGGTAAACAGCGTTTCCGTGTGCTGCTCTGGTTCACCAGAAGCGGCTTAGTCATGCTGGCCACATGACCCGGAAGCTGTACACCGGCTCCCTCGGCCAATAAAGCAAGATGAGCGCCACAACCAAAGAATCGGCCACGACTGGACCTAATGGTCAGGGGTCCCTTAACCTTTACTTTTACCCATATATCTAGGGAACAACAGCAGGAAACATGCATTGAACCTGCGAGAAAGAAGAGAGAGGGAAAGAAGATAATAAATTGCTGACAAAATGTTATAACGATGAAAGTGGGAGCGGGAGATGTGAGGAAGTCCAAAGAAAATGTGAAATTATGTTAAGACAAATGTTATATTGTTTATTATGTTTATTTCTATTGTAAAACCCAATAAATTGTTTAAAAAAAAAAAAAAAGAGAAAGAAGAGAGAGGGAGACCTGAGAGTTATATCTTGAGGGATGTGCTAGAGACATCCAGACATCCGTTCGACTTCCAAAACATTTGGGAACCAAGGTGCAGCTTCCAATTGGCTGCAGGAAACTCCTGCAGCCAATCAGAAGCCGCATCAGATGTTTGGGTTCCAAAGTACGTTTGCAAACCGGAACATTCACTTCTGTGTTTGTGGCATTTGGGAGACAAAACATTTGACTCGCAAGGCGTTCAGGATCCATGTTGCATGCACTAAAGGTAAAGGTAAAGGGACCCCTGACCATTAGGCCCAGTCATGGCGGACTCTGGGGTTTCGGTGCTCATCTCACTCTATTGGCCGAGGGAGCTGGCATACAGCTTCCGGGTCATGTGGCCAGCATGACTAAGCCGCTTCTGGCGAACCAGAGCAGTGCACGGAAACGCCGTTTACCTTCCTGCCAGAGCGGTACCTATTTATCTACTTGCACTTTGACGTGCTTTCGAACTGCTAGGTTGGCAGGAGCAGGGACCGAGCAACGGGAGCTCACCCCGTTGCAGGGATTCGAACCGCCGACCTTCTGATCAGCAAGTCCTAGGCTCTGTGGTTTAATCCACAGCGCCACCTGCGTCCCTGTTGCATGCAGTAGTTGCATTTAAACTAAATATTATTTCATTGCATTTTAATATTGTCTCTTGTTCTGGGATTGTGTGAACAATGAGGAACAGGTTACAAATAAAATTGACAAAGAAATAACATGCAGCATTAAAGCCTTCGTAGTTGTTGGATGGGAGACAATATCCTCTCACAAGAGTTATTCCTTCCTTCTCTAGTCCATTGCTATCCTGCTGTTCTCTTAACAGGTCCCACAAGCTACATCCTTTAGCGACGCGGTTTCGAGGGTCTCTGCCCACCATGGCCTCAGCTCAGCCGTCCGCTTACATAGTCGAGGAAGCCAGGTGTCCCCTCTGCAAAGAGTATTTCACAGACCCCGTGAGCGTCGACTGCGGCCACAGCTTTTGTTGGGGTTGCATCAAGGAGCACGCGGTGAACTGGAACGTCCTGTGGACCTTGAGGTGCCCCGTCTGTAGCGCCATCCTCCAGAAAGGGAAGTTCCGGGCAAACTGGCAGCTGGCAAATATCGTGGAAAGGATTAAACTCCTGCCACTGAATCTGGGGAAGAGGGAGCTGTGCGAGAGCCACAGTGAAAAGCTCGGCCTGTTCTGCAAAGAGGATGAGAAATTGGTGTGTGAGCTTTGTCGAGAATCTGAAGAACATTGGACACACACACTGCTTCCGCCGGAGGAGTCTGTCCAAGGGTACAAGGTGGGAAATAACTTGATAATGGCATCCTTTTCATTTTCTTGGGAATGCCAAATATAGCTCATGTTGATTCTTGTTAACTTTTGCTGGAAAATAAATCCCAAGCTAGTCTTGCAGGTTTTGCTGTGATCAGATACTCTGATTACAGGCATAGTCCAGTAGGAAGTGTCATTTTAGGGGGTGAAACTTAATTTTTGCAAAAATTTTCAGTGAGTGGTCTTAAAATTATGTTTTTGGGTGTGTGCTATTATTTTTGTGATTGGACGACATTTAGCTTGGTAAGTCTATGTTTGTTGAAGCAGCACATAAACTGCTTCAGAAAACCACAGATTTCTAATTTTGCCTTCTGAAAATGTCAGGTAGTTCTAAATAATAAAAATAATTAAATAATAAAAATTATTATTAATAATAATAATAATAATAATAATAATAAAAAATTATAACTACAATTACTTGTCAATCATTTCTAATGATTTCTATGCCATGCCACACACATATTACTTACCAAGCGAAACCAAATAATATTAATTTAACAAAAATAACTTTTGAATCCCCTAGTTATGTTAAAACTTTTTAACACCCCCCATTCTTGGAATGTGAAAGTTGAAAAATTCAAGATGGCCTAAATTGGCCTATGCTTTAAGTCTTTTTAAGTGATATTTTTGATTTGACAACATATAGTGAATGAAGAGTTGACCAAAATGGAATTCCTCATTCCTTTGCACACATCTTTTTCATTGATTTTCATTTCCCCCTCCAAATTGATCACTAATTGAAACAAATTAAATTAAATTAAAACAAATTTAATATTTAATCTAAACAAATTAAACATTTCCCCCCGAATCTGACTTCCCACATGCCCCACCGGATGTGTTAGTGGTTCTCTTTGGTGCTGCGTCATATTCCCAGTTAATCCTAGTCTAACTTCAAACATTACAAATAACCTTACATTATAATATACTTGCTTTTTTTAAAAAAAAAACACACCTTAATTTATTTTCAGACAACAATCCACCAATCAATTCCTGCACGTATATTAAATTAACATTTCCTTGTTTCTTTTCAGGATCGTCTCTACAGCTGCCTGGAGACTCTGAAGAAAGAGAGGGAGAGAGTTCTGTCATACAAAGCAGACACAAAAAGGGAAAGCAAAGTCTTGCTCGTAAGTGTTGCTCTTATTGAGAAGTGAAGGACTGCTAGGACTAGCTAACATCTGTACAGTTGTACCTTGGAAGTCGAACGGAATCTGTTCTGGAAGTCCGTTCGACTTCCAAAACGTTCGGAAACCAAAGCGCGGCTTCTGATTGGATTCAGGAAGCTCCTGGCAGCCAATCGGAAGCTGCATTGGACGTTTGCCTTCCAAAAAAAAGTTCGAAAACCGGAACAGTCACTTCCGGTTTTCGATCGTTCGGGAGCCGAAAGGTTCGGCAACTAAGCCATTTGAGATCCAAGGTACGACTGTATTATGGGGTGAGGAGCTGGCGTGGGCCTGAGGTGGGGCAGCTGTGGTGATCTCCCTGAGCGCATTTGGGGAGGGGGGGCGCTGTTGGGATACTGCCAGGGAGACAGAGGCAATCAGGCAGGCCTCCATCGTTGTCTCTGGACGATCTCCCGGTCTCCCGTTGGAACAGCATCAGTCAATTAGGGACACGAGCCTCAGTCACGTTCCAAGACTCGTGCACGCCCTTTTCGCAGAGTTTCCACAACGGAAGATTCACCCAGAAGAGCATATTTACAGCTTTATTCAACGTTGGTCAGAACCAAGGAAAAACATGACCGCTTGCATCCGTGTCGAGGGAAAACAGCCAGAAACAAAAGCTATATACAAAACGGAAACTCCCTGTGAGCAGGAAGTACGCAGGCTTGTGACACACAACAGCCTGTTCCCTTTTTAAGGAGGAACGGAAATATCCTAACAGGCGCTTCCTTTTCTTCTTCCCCTGCCTGCTTATTTCAGAAGCAAACGAAAGCAAAGAGGAAAAAGACGTTGCTTGAGTTCAGGCAGCTGCGCCAGTTCCTGGAGGAACAAGAGAAGCTCATGCTGGCCCAGCTGAAACAAGCGGAGATGGAGATCCGGTGGAAGAGGGACGAGCGCATGGCCCAGCTGTCCGGCGAACTCTTTGCCCTCGAGTGCCTCCTCCGGGAGGTGGAGAAGAAGCGCCAGCAGACAGCTGGCGAACTCCTGCAGGTAAAATGGCGGAAGGAGCAGCGTGAGGTTGAAGAGTCAGCGTGAGGTTGGCCCCAAAGCAACTGTGTTGCTCCTTCACCCACACAAGAAACGAAGGGGCCCGGTTTAGGAAAGTCAGAGGCACTACCTGTTATGTACTGAAGTTCTCACCCTGGGCCAGCAGGGGGATACTGTAGATAGTTATGCAAATAGGGGATCGAAAGTGGCGTTCAGTGATTGGATGGTTTTAGAAAGTTGTTACAGTTACATTGTACTGGAGCTCTATATAAGCAGGCTGACTGAACCCTTCAGTTCAGTTCTGTTCTAGCTTGTGAATAAACTAGAGCTGTTTGAAGAATCGCTGTGTCGTGTGATATGTTCACCCACAACTTAACACTGGCGACGAAGGTGGGATTGATGGACATCAGAGCACAGCCAGATGCAGGCACCCTCTGAGCTGAGCTGAATCACTGAGCTGAAACACCGAGCGAAATCACTGAACATCACTTTCGATCCCCTATTTGCATAACTATCTACAGTATTCCCTTGCTGGCCCAGGGTGAGAACTTCAGTACATAACACCACCAAATTTCAAGGACACAGTTCAGACATAATTTGTAGTAATTTATTCTTTATTTTCCGCCTATCTGGATTGCTCCAGCCACTCTGTGTGGCTTCCAACAAATTATAAAACCACAGTAAAATACCAGCCATTAAAAACTTCCCTATACAGGCATACCTCATGTTGTGTCCGCTTCAGGTTACATGTTTTCTTGTTGTTATGATTATTATTATTAATTTATTATTTATACCCCGCCCATCTGGCTGAGTTTCCCCAGCCACTCTGGGCAGCTCCCAGTTGAATGTTAAAAACAATACAGCATTAAATATTAAAAACTTCCCTAAGCAGGGCTGCCTTCAGATGTCCTTTAAAGATAGGATAGCTGCTTATTTCCTTCACATCTGAAGGGAGGGTGTTCCACAGGGTGGGCGCCACTACCGAGAAGGCCCTCTGTCTGGTTACCTGTAACCTCACTTCTCACAATGAGGGAACTACCAGAAGGCCCTCGGCGCTGGATCTCAGTGTCCAGGCTGAACGATGGGGGTGAAGATGCTCCTTCAGGTATACTGGACCGAGGCCGTTTAGGGCTTTAAAGGCCAGCACCAACACTTTGAATTGTGCTTGGAAATGTACCGGGAGCCAATGCAGATCTCTCAGGACCGGTGTTATGTGGTCCCGGCAGCCACTCTCAGTCACCAGTCTAGCATTCTGAATTAATTGCAGTTTCCGGGTCACCTTCAAAGGTAGCCCCACATAGAGCGCATTGCAGTAGTCCAAGCGGGAGATAACTAGAGCATGCACCATGTCCCGCGGCAACCCGGAAGTACTGGAACGGGTTACTTCTGGGTTTCGCTGCTCGTGCCTGCGCAGAAGCACTAAATCACACCCCGCACATGCGCAGACACGGCACTTCAGCTTGCATCAGTTCCATGTTACGGACGGGCCTCCGGAACGGATCCCATCCGTAACACGAGGTTCCACTGTACAGGGCTGCCTTCAGATGTCTTCTAAAAGTTCTGTAGTTCTTTATCTCCTTGGCATCTGAAGGGAGGGCGTTCCACAGGGCAGGCGCCACCACCGAGAAGGCCCTCTGCCTGGTTCCCTGTAACCTCACTTCTTGCAGTGAGAGAACTGCCAGAAGGCCCTCGGAGCTGGACCTCAGTGTCCGGGCAGAACGATGGGGGTGGAGACACTCCTTCAGGTATACAGGGCCAAAGCCATGTATGTACCGCTTTTATTTTTACTTTTATGTATTTATTTATACCCCGCCATTTTCCCTGGTGGGACTCAAGGTGGCTTACTGCTTTTGAGTGGGCTGGGCTTGGCAAGTCTTGCCAGCTTGTTCCCAGAGGGCACCCGTCTCAATGCTGAAACATTGTAATGTGGGTTGCTGCAAACACTGAATTCTGCCTTGCCTCTCTCTTTTCCCCTGCAGGATATTAAAAGCTTCTTGCAGCGGTAAGTGGCTTGACTGGCAACTGGCACCACCAACCATCACATTCCTCTCTGTGTGTGTGTGTGTGAGAGAGAGAGAGAGAGAGAGAGGGAGAGAGAGAGAGAGAGAGGGACTCTTACTCTCTTTCTCCTGGGCTGTAGGTAGCAGCTGAATAGTTTTGAGCATGCCGGTGTCACATGGAGTTGCTATTTTGCCCTCACATGTCTTATTTAGGGGGTCCGACTGCGCTATTTTATTTTGTTTATTTGTTTTTAAAACTGTTGATTTCATCTGTGTTTTGACCGTTTTATTATTTTTATTAGGGTGTCTACTTCTTTCTGTAATCCTGCTGATTTTATTGGTGTTTTCCTGTGAATGTTTTATGTTATGTAAACTGTTTAGAGCAGGGGTCAGCAAACTTTTTCAGCAGGGGGCCGGTCCACTGTCCCTCAGACCTTGTGGGGGGCCGGACTATATTTTGAAGGGAAAAAATGGAACAAATTCCTATGCCCCACAAATAACCCAGAGATGCATTTTAAATAAAAGGGCACATTCTACTCATGTAAAAACACGCTGATTCCTGGACCGTCCGCAGGCAGGATTTAGAAGGCAACTGGGCCGGATCCGGCCCCCGGGCCTTAGTTTGCCTACCCATGGTTTAGAGGCTTTAAAAAAAACTAAGTTGTATATACATTTCATTACATTTAAAAAAAAAAAATATTGAGGGGCAATTACCTCCTTGCCAATACACCCCCCCCCCTCTGTCTCCAGGCTCTCTGAGGTATCTTTCCAACACATCCTTTTCTTTTCTTTTTTGGCTTATTTGGGAATACGGAGTTGGGTGGACAATGGGTTAACATTGTTGTTATGCCAGGTGTGAGGAAAAGGAGGCATTCGAGAATCCCGAGGCTTTTTCTCCTGAGCTGAAGTGGAGGATCTGGGACTTCTGTGATAAAACCTCTTTTCTCGAGGGTGCCATGAAGCAGTTCAAAGGTGAGGGGAAAATGGATGCAAAGATTTGATACAGAACATCTTACATGTCCAAAAGTGAGCTTGAGGTGGGCCATAGCCGCAGGTTATAAGGGTGGCAAGGAAAGTTCTTTTCAGCTTCCCTTTAAAAAAAATTTTAAAAATTAAGAGAAAGTTTCTGTTCCTTTTCCTTGTGGAGATAAAAGGAAAAACCTGTAGGGATTTTTCTTTTTTTCTTTTTAAATGATATTTATTAAAAGTTTAAAAATTACAGAAAAAAAGAAGAAGAAAAAAATAACAATAAAAAAGAAAAAAACAATAACAAAACATATAGAACATGTAAAAACCATACATCAATACAGCAAAAAAGACAGACAAAAAAGAAAACTAAAACACACATCTAGTATTCCATGTCTTTACCTTTTCTTTACTTGTTTCATCAACCTCCTCACACCTCCCTTTTTTTGTATTCTAGTTCAATTCACTATTTCAGCAAGTTCTTCCCATCTTTCTCAATTTTTATTCTATAGTTTATCTTAACGATCTAACCTTGAATTTTTTCAATTTACCCATTATCAATCTACTTTTACTTAATTCTTTGTTGTATTTCTACTAAAACCATGTAACTTCATTCCCGCATCCTTCTAACACTCATTAATTTTATAATGTTTCTGTAAGTATACTTTAAATTTTTTCCAATCTTCTTCCACCGAAAACCTGTAGGGATTTTTCTATCCAATAAGATTAAAACTGCCTCCTGCTTCCTTCACTTAGAGGTGAAAAGCTCTTGAGGTAACTGTGGGACATTAGGCATTTATTTCAAAATAGCGTAGAATTGGTGCTTGCTAATTAATAATTAGTTTCTTTAATTTATAATATATTTAAAGAACTTGTGTTGGCTGTTCAACCTTGACTAGTGAATACAGGCTCCAGCCAGATGTTATTAACTACAAGGGGCCCTGTGGTCTAAACTACTGAGCCTCTTGGGCTTGTCAATCAGAAGGTCATCAGTTCAAATCCTGCTCTGTCCCAGCTCCTGCCAACCTAGCAGTTCGAAAGCAAACCAGTGCCAGTAGATAAATAGGTACCACTGTGGTAGGAAGGTAAACAGTGTTTCTGTGCGCTCCAGTTTCCGTCATGGTGTCCCGTTGTGCCAAAAGCGGTTTAATCATGCTGGCCACAAGACCCAGAAAGCTGTCTGTGGACAAACACCGGCTCCCTGGGCCTGAAAGCAAGATGAGCGCCACACCCCATAGTCGCCTTTGACTGGACTTATTAACTACAATCTCTAGAGTCCTTACTCCTAGCCTCGTTTACTATTATATTTTAATTAAGGATGAATGTTTCAGTGTTTTGATGACATTTTTTATTGCTCATATTTTTATCATTGATTTCATACATGTAAACCACTGAGAAACCATTTGGGCAAGCAAGCGGTATATAAATGAATAAATAACAACAACCCAAGCCAGCTGCAGACTTTTCTTAGTCTGAGGAGAGGAAACGGGAATTCAGGAGGCTGAGGTGAATTTAAGGTGATGGAGGAGTAACAGAGTTGAGGGGAATACTTCTCTGCCATCAAAAACATGTTTTTACTTAACCCTCCCACTGAAATAAGGGAAAAAATGTGTGAAATGACATTGCCGTTACAAGATTTGCTTTAGGCATGGCAGTGTGATCTTAATATCTCGCTCCTCCTTTTTCTTTTCACAGACACTCTGGTATTTGGAGTCAAGGTGCAAGAAGGTAAATTTTGGGGGCTTTTGAGGGAAAACATTCACAGGAGGTGAATCTTGTGAGAAAACATTTCATTATCATCTCATAATTCTGTCCTGGTGGCTCTGAAACCATCCGTGGAAAGTTAAGGGAAAGCTCCATGGCTGTTGATATATAAATATCTTTATTAATATTATTGAAATTATATTTTTATCCCGCCCTTCCTCCCAAAAGAAGCCCTTTGTCAGGAAGATAAAAGAACTTATTCTACTGGATCAGACTAAGGATCAAGCTACATTTTCCTTTAATATGCATAATGCAGGTGTGCCAGAGCTTTTCTTCTGGCTCCAGAAGTAAGCTCAGTCCCCCAATCCGATTTAGGATTCAGCCATGGTGGTGGGGCAGCTTTGGGAAGGTACCGTATTTTTTGCTCTATAAGACTCACTTTTCCCCCCCTAAAAAGTAAGGGGAAATGCGTGTGCGTCTTATGGAGCGAATGCAGGCTGCGCAGCTATCCCAGAAGCCAGAACAGCAAGAGGGATTGCTGCTTTCACTGCGCAGCGACCCCTCTTCTTGTTCCGGCTTCTGAGATTCAGAATATTTTTTTTCTTGTTTCCCTCCTCCAAAAACCAGTCTTGTGGTCTGGTGCATCTTATAGAGCGAAAAATACGGTAGTTTGTGGGGATGGGGGTAGCTTGAGCCCTTTGGCCTTTGCTGTGGACCTGAGGTGCATCTGCATCCCAAAAAATTGCTTGTGGGGGGGAGGTCTCTGTTCAGGTTGGGGCCACAATAGGTGGCAAAGGGTTAAAGCACTATTCCACACGGACCAGACCCAATCCAGATCTCAAAGGTGTGCTTTCTTTGGAGTAAGGGGAGGAATCAGTGATACAACTGCATGTGACATCCTAATCGTAGGTATGATTTGGCCCTTAGTTTGAATTCAGTAGCATGACACTAATGGCAGCACATTGTTGAGGTCAAAGGGGGTCCAAGCTCATCCAATCCACTCTTAACAGTGGCTGTCCAGGTAACTGTGGAAAATGCCCCAGTCCTGAATACATTGAATGCAGGCCTTAATTAACCATGAAGCTAAATAAGGGCCTGCTTAGGGCATCAAGGGAAGGCAGGCACCACAGAAATTTTCCATTGCCGGATTTACCACAGACCATATGGTGCAGCAAAACCATGTTCCACAAAAAAAAGGCTCCCGCAATTAATGAAAAAATTGCATATATTCACATAATAATAATAGTAGTAGTAGTAGTAGTAGTAGTAATACTGTAATAGTAATAATAAATGATATATGGTTTACTATTGTTTCTATTTTGAATTGGATATATGTGAGGGTACCAAAATTATATATATATATATATGCACATTTTTAATACTCGCATCCCAGATTCCCTCCACTCACCACCAGTTATACAACTTTCATACCTATCACTGCATACAACTAAATACCTGGTGACTCCCCTTCTCCCCTTCCCCTGGTTTCTTTGCTTTTCTACTAAATCAGGTATTCCAAATCTTTAATCTTCACATTTCTTCCTCTGTTAATTTCTGTTAGCTCCTAGCCTGCTGGATTTACTCAATACCTGCAGGGTTATTTACTTGTTTATACTGGCTCTTAAAATAGTCAATAAACATTTTCCAATCCTCCTTGTATCCTCTATCATCCTTTTCTCTTATCCTATCTGTTATACCTGCCAATTCAGCATACTCTTCCTTGCCACTCCTCCTTAGTAGGCGCCATATTTGTTCTCCACCTTTGTGCCAATACGATTCTAGCCACAGTGGTGGCACATAATAATAAATTCTTTTGTTTCTTAGAGACTTCTGTTGTTAGCATTCCCAAGAGGAATGTCTCAGGCTTTGGGGGGAAGGTGTTTTTTTAATATCTTTTTTAACTGATTGTAAATTACTTCCCAGAATTCCCTAATTACAGGACCACAACATGTGGAAAAAAGGTCCCTTTACACTAGCATCTTAGATTACGCAACTTCAGGTTGCAAAAGCAGCAATCCTGGAAGTATTTGACCCGGTTTCGCCCCGCGCACATGCGCAAAAGCGGTCTACCGCCACGCTCACGCGTATAACAGTGATCCTTGGGTTGTGAAAACCTTAGGATCCGGCTGGACCTCTGGAACGGATCCCTTTTGCAGCCGGAAGTACCACTGTACTTAATTGCATTTCCAGCATTTGCTTTTTTCTGTTTTAAATATTTTCACTAGTTTTGGCAGGTGTTAAGTACCATCTGTGGGTCATTTTCACCATATATATTTTTAGTGCATAACACGCCGTTAGATTCATATTTACTGTCCATAAATTCTCCCATAGCTCATAATTAATATTATGACCCGCATCCTGGGCCACCAAAATCTTAGGGCCTCTAAACATAGCTGTCAACTTTTCCCTTTTCTTGCGAGGAATCCTATTCGGAATAAGGGAATTTCCCTTAAAAAAGGGGAAACCTTGACAGCTATGCCTCTAAAGGTCTTAATCCAGCCCTGATTGTATGGAAATTCTATTGATTTGGGCGGGAGCAGCATTCTTGAGATTGTATCAGGTCTTAAATCTGTCTCCTGGTTAAAGTGACTTCTCTTTCCTTCCCTCATAACCCCACCGAATCCCCAACAGAACATATAACTCTGGACCCGGACACAGCTCATCCCAACCTCATCCTGTCTGAAGATCACAAAAGCTTGAGATGGGGAGATGAGTGTCAAGAACGGCCGGACAACCCAGAGAGATTCGACAAGACGCCTTTTGTGCTGGGGCGCGAGGGGTTTGCATCGGGCAGACACTTCTGGGACTTTGCTGTGGGAAGCGACGGAGGGTGGGCCGTGGGGGTCACCAGGAAATCTCTGAGCAGAAAGGGTGTGCTGTCCTTGAATTCGAAGGAAGGGATCTGGGCTGTGGGGAAGCTGGGGAGTAGATACTCTGCCACCAACAACCCCCACTATTCTCCTCTGACCCTGAGCGGGGCGCTCAAGAGGATCCGAGTTTTTCTGAATGTTGAAGGGGGTCGGGTGGCCTTTTTCGACGCTGACAGTGGAGTTCCCCTCTTCACCTTCTCGGGGGCCTCATTTTCTGGAGAGACTCTTCTGCCTTTGGTTTTTCTCAGGGACAAAGCCCACCTCACTCTGTCACCTAAAGATGGCAAGCTCTCCCTCACAGGCCATGATGATATTGCTCTGTTGGGATCCTGATAATTATTTGGTTGAATGTGAGAACGTACTCCTCAGGGCGCCTTATTTATAGGTCTGAGAGAACCAGGCCCCAGATTCAAGAACATCCACCCTTTGTGGGCCCAAGTAGTAGTAGGAGAGAGAGAGCAGCTGTTACTTAGTGCTTAATAATAATAATAAACTATTCTATTTAAGACCCAGGACTCATTCCAGGGTTTTGAGGAACTCTTCAAGTGTCTGTGGTTATGGCTGCTATCTTTATTTACCCAAACTGCAATGTTCAAAGTTCTAGTTCAGGCATATTGTGGGCGAAGAGCCGCAGCAGCACCGCCTCCATCATTTTGCTCCCTGGTGTACTTCATGGTGGAACCAGGCTTGTAAAGACTTAATTGATGCTTTCCCCCAGGAGTGACTATTAATACCGCACATTAATCATATTACTTTGATTAATTATATATATTGGTCCAAATACAGAGCTGAAAAAGGAAACATGAGCTTCTATTCGGAGGGAATCTGAGAATTCCCTATTCCTGCTATACCTTTATGTCTTAAAGAGGCAGTAATTGTGCATCATGGTCGTTGAGAAGATCCATATACGGTATCTGTTCTCACCCCTGATCTCAATTTCTATTTTTCTTCTCTCCCTGCCTACCTCACAAAATGTTTACAAGCTGTTAGTGAGATGGAGTGGAAAGAAAACATTCATAGTTTCTGAAATATACTCAGAGTCGAGTGTGAATTTCATGCTCTTTATTCAGCTCATAGTAGCAATGAATGAATTTTTCCCCAAAACACAGTGGGCCCTGCGTGATTGGCTAATTCCGGGCTGCTCCTGTAGGCCAATCAGGTTGTGGAGTCACCTCCTCCAGAAGTCTGATTGGCTGCTCCTGCAGGCTAATCAGGTTGCTGATTCACTTCATCCAGGAGACAGACTGGCTGCTCCTGCAGGCCAATCAGGTCGCTGATTCACTTCCACCTGGAGCTGGATTGGGTGGCTCCTACGGACCAATCAGACTGCTGCATTCTGGATCCTATTGTTCTAGGATTCAGCTCAGTACATTACAGTTTCTATGCAGGCAGACCAACATGACATTCTAGGCAAAACACCTTTCTCCAAAGAGGCCTACATATTTGTTGTTTAGCAAGCACCAAATGAGAGAAGGGGATACCTATTTTGAAGCAGGTATAGGTAAATCTGATTGATGCAAGGGAACATTATTTCACAGTGGGAGAATACATCCCCATGTATTTGGTTGTTGCATAATACTGGGTCCCCAGTATGGCAGCTGTGGGTCCCTGGATGTCCCTCCTGATTTTCATTTTTATTTTTTTTAATGTCTTGGGTTGGTTGGGGAGGTTTCTTGTTTCAGTGGGGAGCATTAACAGTTTTGGTCTGTGTTTTATTTGTTTGGGGGGTTATATATGAGTGTTTTGCCTTGGGGGCGGTGAGCATTACTGCTTTCCCCCCCTGTGAAATGGGTATTTTTTGGTGCCAGCAACAGTTTTATAGATTTCTAAGCTCTGTGATAAGGTGAACAGGTGAACCGCAGCTGAGCAGATCCAGATATTAATCTGCAGAGAGGACCTCTGATTACTCCTTTGCTTAATGTATAATAAACATGTTTTGCTGATGTTTTAAATGTGTGCAGATGTTTACTTGTATTTTAAAAAAGGGTTCTCTTTGCATGGTTTTTGTGTCACACTTCAGCCTCACAAAACTGTCTGTCTTATCGTATTCTTCCTCTGCCGAACTCTGGGAGGGTGGAATCCATTAATGCTCCTTTCCCAATTTTGTGTTGCAACAAGCATGTGAGAAGAGTGCGTTGCCCAAGGCCACCTACTGAACACCAGGAGCTGAGCAAGAATTGGGAAACCGATGTAATAAACGAAAATCTGCCCTTATTCCCTTATGGGGAACACAAGAGCCCTTATAGAGTCCTTTGCAGGTTCTCCATCGGTAGGTGAAAATAACAGAGGCCAACCAGAGAATATTGAGAAGCAAAGCAGCTCTTAAGCCTGATCTTTATTGAACTGTTGCAACAGGGTGCTCCCCTCACACGCAGGAGAAGGAGGAGGACCCAGAACCAAGGTGTGTCCGCCCTTATATAGACATTTTAAATTGCCCGCCTTGGAGTCCAAGACCACCCCCAGAGACATCATACCTACATCACAGAAAGGGTGGTCTACAGCAGAAATCTGAGTGCTTTGTTTACCTCCTGTCATTGTTTACCTCCTGTCTGGCAAGTTACCTGTTAATGCTTACTTGATTGGATACCCTGGGGAGCCTGGCCAGTCTTTTGTAATGATAAATACTTAGTTCCTGAGCCAGTTCACAGGCTCACCCTATTCGTACACAAACATACCCTTAAGACAGGATTAGTGGAGGAAAATACAATAGGGAGGCTTTTCCATTTTCCTTTGACTTTGCAGAGAAAACATTTGGTCAGTTTGGGAGCCAAGATGGTTTCAGAACTGTCTTCCTGTGCTGCTTCAGACATGTGGTTTATATATTTATGTATGTGTTTGCATGGTACATTTATGAACATTTATTTGGTACATTTATGAAAATATATTTGACATTAATCTTTGTATCCCCCCCATTTTATTAAAGAAAATCTCTCCCTCTCTCTCTCCCCCCCTCTCTCCCCCCCCCCTCTCTCTCTATATATATAAAGTGCTCTTGGCAGATGTTTGATTTTATCATTCATTCTGTAATTATTGTTGGCTGGCAAGGAAAAATAAGAGGAGAGTTCCTGGATGCCAAGGTCCAAGTCTGGGGCAAGTACTCTTTGGGGAGATAACTCCAGCAGAGATTTAAAACTGCAAAATACGCCGCAAAGTAAAGCATGGAAATACAGGTTGTTAGACCTTTACAATATGCCATTCTAAGTTCCTTCTAAAGTTCCCCTCTTCCCCTAGCATAGAAAAAGACCACACGTCTGGTCAGTTAAAAATTGGTTTACTTACAAACTCTTCAGAGGTCAGGTTCATGTGTTTTTCCATACATCAGTCAGAAAACACAGGCGGTAAAACCTGGCTTCGTTACAATAGTGAAAGCTCCTAAGTTATTGGTATAGGAACTCAAGAGTGGATTCTAACAGCCATGCGGCCTGAGCTGCAACAACCTGCTCTGACCTTACACACTGAGCTTCTCAGGTAGACTGATGTTGAATAAAGGCTTTGATTATCTTCTTCCAAAGGAGTGCCCTAGCTAAGCCTGGCAGGACAGCTTGCTCTATCACATTAACCCTTTAGTACATTAACTAGACTTAAGCATGTTGGTTATATGAGGTTGGCTATCCCACAATTCAGGGACGCAGGTGGCGCTGTGGGTTAAACCACAGAGCCTAGGACTTGCCAATCAGAAGATGGGCGGTTCAAATCCCTGCAACGGGGTGAGCTCCCGTTGCTCAGTCCCTGCTCCTGCCAACCTAGCAGTTCGAAAGCGCATCAAAGTGCAAGTAGATAAATAGGTACCGCTCTGGCGGGAAGGTAAACGGCGTTTCTGTGCGCTGCTCTGGTTCGCCAGAAGCAGCTTAGTCATGCTGGCCACATGACCCGGAAGCTATCTGCGGACAAACGCCGGCTCCCTCGGCCAATAAAGTGAGATGAGCGCCGGAACCCCAGAGTCGGCCACGACTGGACCTAATGGTCAGGGGTCCCTTTACCTTTCATCCCACAATTCTGAGGTGGGCTTTCTCTTTCACCCAAAACACAGGAAGTAGGGTCTCATCAGAGAAGGAGGCTCCCAAGAATGTGTAGATCAGGGCTCCTGTTTCAGCATTGAAAAAAGACACTTGCTTCCCTTGATAGTCCAGAGTCACTCGGATCCTCTCAGGCTCCCCACTCAGAGGAAGGTAATCGGGAGGGTTCAAGACGCAATACCCATGATTAATCTTTCCTACAGCCCAGAATCCTTTCTCGGGACTGAAGGGAAAGAAGCCCTTTCTCCTCACAGACTTCCTGGCGACCCCTACAGCCCACATCCCCTCCCCTCCCAGAATGACTTCCCAGAAATGTCTCCCTGCCGTGAATCCCTCACACCCCAGCACCGAAGTCAGTTTGTTGAATCTCTCAATGTTGTCGGGCAATTCTTGCTGCTTGTTTCCCCGTTCCACCTTTTTACCGCCCTCAGACAGGATGAGCAGAGGATGCGCTGTGTCTGGATCCATAATTATATCTGCTGTTGTAAAGTGGGATGGGGGGGGGGGAGAAGAGGAAAAGAGAAGGAGAGGCAGAATCAGTCTGAGAGACAGACAGGCATCTGGATACATAAAACATCCCAGGAATCACAATCCATCTCAAATCAGCAAGATTTTCTTGCGTTGCATGAAGGACTGGGATTCTCCTTTCCTCCTTCCAAGACTTGCCCACAATAAATCTCAGTGAATTGGGTTTCTTTTCTTTTTTTTAATGTTTAAAATTTTTATTTTTTTACCAACAACCAAAACACAAACAGTGAAACCCCCCAGGCGGGTATACATAATCAATAATAATATTCAAATCAACCATATCTACAATTTTATATACTCCTCCATCCATAAGGTTTATTTAACTTTTAACATTTTAATTGCCCCAAATTGTTCAAACCTACCCAAATAATTCAATATCTTCTCAAACCAATCCTCCTCTTTCTCACTGACCTTAAATCCTTTCATTCTGTGTATTTTCACAGTTAGATATTCTAAAATTATAATATTATTCAGTTTTTTCCTCCATTGGTTCACCCCTAGCTCTTCTGCATTTTTCCAGTTACTCGCTATAACCTGTCTGGCTGCAGTTACCATCTAATTTTACCCATTTACATTCCTCTTTTGTTTTAACTCAGTGCTACTCAGATTAATAAGAACCATTAATTTAGATATTCCCACCTTCCTACCCACAATTCCTTATATTTCTATGACAAGCTGTTTCCAAAATTCATTAACTAATGGACAATCCCACCACATATGAATCGGGTTTCTGTTGTCGAAATATTTATAATGTGCCCCTTGTGTCTATCAAGCTGTCTTCTACAAGAAGCAAAACCACCTAGAAAACATTTACTCAGCTCTTCTGCATGAGCAAGTGTCAGTCATCTGACATCAGCTGAGTGATAGGTGGATGGTCCCACCCCCTTGTCATGGCTGATCCACAGGGATGGGAGAAGACAGTATCCAGCAAAGCAGCATGGAACTGGATTGTAAGCTGTTTTTATATTAAGTCCATATTCAATCCATCCAAATTGATGAAGGACACAATTTGGGGTCTATTTTTTCAGAAATCTCCTTCATCACCACTTCTCAACATTTGGATACATGTTTACAAGACCACCACATGTGCCAGTAGGTTCCTTTTCTGCCACAACCCCTCTAAATCTAAATTATCGTTAGGGCTCATAACGATAATAAAGCTATTTGTGTTTCCAAAGTCTGCAGAACAGACTGTTTGATGCCAACGAAACACCAGTCTCCATTCCCTCCCCAAGTGTCATCCTCCATAGAAAATTTACCTTTCTGAAACTGTTGTCTCATTAACAGAGTGTCTGTGGGAAAAATAAAGATATAAATCAGAAGCTCTACGAGGTTGCACCTAAAATAAATATTGTACAAAAACAATCACTTTGCAACAAATCCTCTCTTGTTTCCTTCTTTGGAGTAAAATATAAAGTGGAACATGTAATTAACAACCAGAAAAGCATATGGAAGACAGATTAAAGTTAACTAAAAATGTGTAACTCAGAAGTGGCAAAGTGTACTTAACACCAACAGCATAAAATAAGCAGGCCATTGATTTACTAAAGCCATAAAGTGGTACCTTGGTTCTCGAATGACTTAGTTGTCAAACAAATCGGCTCCCGAATGCCGCAAACCCAGAAGTAAGTGTTCTGGTTTGCGAACGGTTCTTCGAAACCAAACATCCGACTCGGTTTCCGCTTGAGTGCAGAAAGCTCCTGCAGCCAATTGGAAGCCACGTCTTGGTTTTTGAATGGTTTCGGGAGTCGAACAGACTCCCGGAACGGATTAAGTTTGAGAAACAAGGTACCACTGTATTAAAAACTTGGAAATGGACAAAGGTAAAGATACTGCCCAGTATTCACTGCTCATTCCGCAAGTTCTCATTCTCATCCAGGGTTTATCAGGATAGGAGTTGTGATTCTGTTGCTATGGAGTGGGATGGGTTTTTGCCCAAAAATGTTTCTGTAATGGAATGCAACCCTTGACAGAAAGGGAATGGAGGGAGATCTTTTCCAGGATGCAGAAACTTGAAATGTGGTCATTCACAGCAAAAGTCAGGATATGAGAACAAGCTTCACTTTGCTCCCTCTGAAGCTCTTTTCAGCAGCTGTCAGTATCATACAGTGAAATGAGCTTTGATATGGGCAGAAAGGAAGTCTAAAGATGATCCCCGCCTGAGAGGAATACCAGAGAGCCAGGATGAGGACATTTCAACAAAATTATTAAAAGCCCTGGCGGACTGGTTGGGGGTTCAGGAGGAGGACTTATCACTTGATATTGATAAAATCTTCAGGATAAAACTGCATAAACCTAAAACGAAAAAAGGACCAGGAGACTGCCTGGTTTTCATGAAATGAGCTTTGATATGGGCAGAAAGGAAGTCTAAAGATGATCTGGGCTTGCAATTATTATGAGGATTGGAATTCAGTGTGGGTAGAGGAGATTACAATGGTACCTCGGGTTACATATGCTTCAGGTTACATACGCTTCAGGTTGCAGACTCCCCTAACCCAGAAATAGTGCTTCAGATTAAGAACTTTGCTTCAGGATGAGAACAGAAATCGTGCTCCAGCGGCGCGGCTGCAGCAGGAGGCCCCATTAGCTAAAGTGGTGCTTCAGGTTAAGAACAGTTTCAGGTTAAGAACAGACCTCTGGAACAAATTAAGTACTTAACCCGAGGTACCACTGTATTTGTAAATGTAAACTGACACATGTTGGAGCAGAACACCTAGGCTTTGCTATATGCTTAGTGCAAACGGCCTTGATTTGTGGCAACGTATATAGGGCATTCTGGGTGAAAATGGTGTCTTGGCCCCTGAAAAGGAAGCTTTGCTGGTGCTACTGCTGTCTGTAGAAAGAACAATATAAAATATGATAAAAACCTGACACATTAATTTTGGAAGTCAAATAATGCCTGGCACAAAATCCTTGCAGTCATTCTTCATTACCTTTGAATTGTCTCATAAGTTCCTCCAGAGAGGGATTTTTATAATGGAATTCTCTGATCCTCTGCTTCAGCTCTGGAGGGAAGGCCACTGGATTCACAAGTGTCTCCATTTTCTCACTCCTGGTGGAGAAAAACAATGTTAACTCCTAGTAAAGGTAAAGGGACCCCTGACCATTAGGTCCAGTCGTGGCCGACTCTGGGGTTGCGGCGCTCATCTCGCTTTATTGGCCAAGGGAGCCGGCGTACAGCTTCCAGGTCATGTGGCCAGCATGACTAAGCCGCTTCTGGCGAACCAGAGCAGCGCACGGAAACGCCGTTTACCTTCCCGCCGGAGCGGTACCTATTTATCTACTTGCACTTTCACGTGCTTTCGAACTGATAGGTTGGCAGGAGCAGGGACCGAGCAACGGGAGCTCACTCCGTTGTGGGGATTCAAACCACAGACCTTCTGATCGGCAAGTCCTAGGCTCTGTGGTTTAACCCACAGCGCCACCCGCGTCCCTTGTGGCAGTTTGGACTCTAAAGCCAGATACCTGAGGGCCAAAATGTCTCTGCATCTCCCCACATGTATCTACTGAAAGATCACTTGTCACGTGCTACCACCCTGCTTAGGCCATCTCTGCTCCAACTTCACTGTGTAATGACAGCACATCACAGTTTATTTCTCTGTTTGACCCCCCCAGTGAGATGTGGAGAAGAGAAAGATGCCGGTTGCTGTTGGCGAAACTGAGGTGTTCCTTATAACCTCCGTCCTGAACCTGAGTGGCACCTTGAAGTTGCAAATGAATATAGTCCACCCCCTTGTGAGTAGCCCCACCGCATGGATGCCCCGTGAGACAGGTGTGCGCATGGAACTGTGTGGGTTGTCCCCTGGGTGGGTTGCTGCTAGAATGACTAAACTGGCCTCTCTTGGTTGGAGCTAACGTCCCAGTTGCCCTAAAGAAAGTCCGCGGATTTTGTGTGGGAGACCAACAGCTTCCTCTTTGTGACGGTTAAACGCAAATATTTGTTTCCTGAGGTAATGAGGAGTTGAAAGGGACCTTGGCTTTGACAAGCTACATATCTTTTGAAAACTGGTTTTAGAGCAGAGGTTCAGCAGGACCTTCCACAGATGTACAACTAATTCAAATTATTTGTCCAAAGCCCATCCAGGGGACCCCCATGTTGCCTTTGGACCTAGGCGTTGAGCAAACGGAGAAGGCAATGTTGCTTCAGACACCTGTTTTATTGAGTGGGTTTTTTTGTGGAGTCTCCCCTCCTAGCAATTGAGAGTGGACAGGGAAATAGTGACGGGGAAGGGAAGCAAGGGAGGCGGTGACTGGTGGCAGCAGGATACCTACCGTGAGTGAGATCCACTTACCTTGGCAAGGTTCTTCCAACGTCCTAGAAGGAAAGAGAGAGAGACAGAGGAGAAGGAATTCAATGCCTGCCTCAGGCCATGCTATGAAGATGCCTCAGACCCTGACTAGCATTCACTCTGGCCCTCTGGCCTGCCTAGCAGACACCACACAAGGATTGGGGATGTCATTTCCCCCAAATGTGAGGGCAGTTTTTGCTGCTTTCCCATGGGGGTGGGTGGGAAACCTACATGAGATAATTAAGTCAACAAGGAAAGTGGTGCACTTGGAAGGTGGTTGACTTAAAACAGGGGAAATTGGGGAAAACCCCTGGGCTGCCCCCAAGAGGGAGAGGAGGAAGATGGCTCCCCAGGGGTGAGGAGAGGAGAGGCCCGTCACAGCCACTGGGGTCGAGGGGAAGGATGTCGCTGTTGTGGCGGTGGCAGTGCCGGGGGAGTTATGAGGGGGTGGGTAGTGGTGGTGCTGGTGAGGTGGTGGCAGGGAGGTGGTGAAGAAGAAGAAGAAGAAGAAGAAGAAGAAGAAGAAGAAGAAGAAGAAGAAGAAGAGGAGGAGGAGGAGGAGGAGGAGTAGTTTGGATTTGATATCCCACTTTATCACTACCCGAAGGAGTCTCAAAGCAGCTAACAATCTCCTTTTCCTTCCTCCCCCACAACAAACACTCTGTGAGGTGAGTGAGGCTGAGAGACTTCAGAGAAGTGTGACTAGCCCAAGGTCACCCAGCAGCTGCATGTGGAGGAGCGGGGAAGCAAACCCGGTTCACCAGATTACAAGTCTACCGCTCTTAACCACTACACCACACTGGCTCTCACTGGTGAGAGGTGCAGCAGCTCTTGGGAAGCCTCCACCGCTGTCGACGCTTCCTTGCCCAGCCAGCTACTACCGCCACTTCCTGTGGTGGGTGCTTGGCAATGAGAAGTGGGCATGACACAGGCAGCACCTCCTCCAGGAGAGCTTGCTCCCAAGGCAAGTTGCTTCACTCTGATGCATAGCTGTCAACTTTTCCCTTTTCTTGCGAGGAATCCTATTTGGAATAAGGGAATTCCCCTTTAAAAAGGGAAACGTTGACAGCTATGCTCTGATGAGAGACCTGGCTCTCCGCTCCACACTCTGCTTTCTTTCCGCTGCTTTTTTAAGTGAATGAAGCGGTCCAAGGTTTGGAATCAGTCCAACACGAGGCTGTTTCTGCCCTAATCTGACCTGCAGGAGATCACTTGCTGGCTGCTGCTGGTGCTTCTCCTCCATCTCCTGCATGATCCTTTCGAGAGAGGAGAGTTTCCAGGAGAGTCTGTCCAGGTGCTCCTCCCTCTTCTTTGCAATCTCCTTCTCCACCTCTTCCATCTGAGCCAGAAGAACCTGCTCCTGCTCTTCCAGAAACTGCCGTAATTGTCTGAACATTTCGGCCGTCTTCTGTTTTTCCACTTCTGTTAAAAGCTAAAAGAAGCATTTGGAAAGAGGAGGAAAAGCAGATGTCTTTAGAACATCAAGAGGTAAGTTATGGGAATCATCATCATCATCATCATCTGTTAAATATGCATACTGTTATGTACTGAAGTTCTCACCCTGGGCCAGCAGGGGGATACTGTAGATAGTTATGCAAATAAGGGATCGAAAGTGACGTTCAGTGATTGGATAGTTTTAGAAAATTGTTAGTTACGTTGTACTGGAGCTCTATATAAGCAGGCTGACTGAACCCTTCAGTTCAGTTCTGTCCTGGCCTGTGAATAAAAAAGAGCTGTTTGAAGAATCGCTGTGTCGTCTGATATGTTCACCCACAACTTAACATATACTGCCCTTCATCTGAAGATCCCAGGGGAGAATTCCACTGGAAGGGCACCTCAGATATTCTACAGACCACAATCAACACCCAGCCTTATTCAGGCACTTCAGTAAACAAGTTGGGATATAGCAGGGACAAGTACTCAAGGCCTGTCCCTTCCCCAATGCCATTTCTGTTACGTTCCAACTCATGGAAGTCAATGTTTTGAGTCTTCTGTGTGTGTCAGATCTTTTCAGACTGTAAGCCTGAGGGCAAGGACCATCTCAGTACTGATTTTTGGAAACTCGGAAGGCCTTTTTGGTTAAAGAGTGGGCTATAAACACCATAAAGAAAATGGGATGGGAACCTACGCAGACATAAAAGAGTTGCTACAGAAGTACTGCCTTCCACATTGAGGGGGGAGGGAGGAATCCAGGGTCCTCAGCCCCCTCACATATTTACTTTAACACTTAAAGAGGGTGGGTGTTTCCTAAAGATTTACAAGAGCCCAACCTTAGAAAGGCCTTTCATTAAGAATTTTTACAGGAGACCAGGGGTGGATCTACATTGATCTGCTAAACTTTTTTAAAAAAATATAACGTTCTATAATCCTGAATTGCAATTTTCCATTATTGGAGACTCGCTCTGGCGTCACATTTTAACGTTATAAACTACGAGTGTAGATCTGCCCCAGGACAATTCCAAACAACAGATAGCTCTGCAAAGCAGGACAGAAGAACTTTTGGGATGCCTCCATTTTATATTACTCCAGAAAAGAATCATATTTGTTGATTCAAGTACTCGTTCCCCTTGCAGCAGTAGTTGAAAATGAGGCAACGCTTACAAGCAGGTCTCTGCTTTCTCTTTCCGTGTTGGCTTTGTATGCCAGAATTCTCTCTCTCTCTTTCCTCAGTACCTCCAGGCGAGTACAGATCAGATCCTGAGGGGAAGATAAGAGTTCAAGTGGGTGGGTGAGAAAGAGGAGGTGAAAAAGAGGCTTGTTTGCTTCCTGCCATCCCTTCCAGTGTCTGGGGAAACCTCTGGCCTTACAGCCTCTGGAAACAGACACAGACCATCAGGTAAGAATTATGAACACAAGAAGAGCCTGCTGGATCAAGCCAATGGATCCGGCCAACCTTCTCTTCTCACAGTGGCCAACTACAAATGTCTGTGGGAATCCGACACTAGTTTTACTCCAGTAGCACATTCACAGCACAGGGGGGAAGACAACACACAAAATGAATACAGTGGTACCTCTGGTTGTGAACGGGATCCATTCCAGAGCCCCATTTGCAACATAAGCAGAATGCAACCCGCATCTCCACGTGCGCGGGTCGTGATTCACCGCTTCTGCGCATGCGCATGACGTCATTTTGAGCATCTGCGCATGCGCGAGCGGTGAAACCCGGAAGTAACCCTTTCCGGTACTTCCAGGTCGCCACGGGACGCAACCTGAAAAGACGTAACCTGAACCAAACGTAACAAGAGGTATGACTGTACATACACAGAGACACACTGACACACTTCCCTGTTTGCAGGTAGGGCCCCAAAGGACTGCGAAAAAGTGGGAAGGAGTCAGCGGCAGGTGAGAGATCAACCCCAAGCAGTTGAGGGAGCTTGTTGTTGATGGCATCCCTGTCTCGGGAAACAATGGAGGAGTGCACCTTCGGGGGTGAAGTCAAACTGCTGGAGTGTTACAGCGCCTGCTGTGGCTGTAGAGACTGATACGGGAGAGGCATGTTTTGTTGCAGCCGGGGCAGATGAAGGCATCCAGTTTTGCTGTTACAAATGTGCACCATGGCGTTTCTTCTCTCTGCACTCCTCCCAGGAGTCATCCTTACTCTAGTCACTGCTATGGATACACAATCTGACTCTCTTAGGCTCTGCGATCATCTGCAAGGGATTCCCAGACGGTGGGGTTAATGTTGCCACATTTGCAGACATCTTTGTAACGCATAGTTGGTCTGCCAAGGGGCCTAGGGCCTGGAGCCAGCTCCCCACAGAGCACAAGGGCATTACACCCCCTCCCTGTTTCTCTATTGCAGATAGGAATTGAGTGAAAAAAGAAAGGTTGACATGGTTTTTTCAAGACATGGCAGAAGAGACGGCACTTGTCACTTGCCAGGCAAAAAAACATTCAACTATAACCAGGCCTTTGGCTTATTAATATTCAATGACCTTTTAAAAGTGTTTGAGGGAGAAGGGTTACTGGTTTGTTTTTGTTACAGGTAGGTAGCCGTGTTGGTCTGCTGTAGTCGAAACAAACAAACAAACAAAATTCCTTCCAGTAGCACCTTAGAGACTAACTGACCAACTAAGACACCTGAAGAAGTGTGCATGCACACGAAAGCTCATACCACTAACAAACTTAGTTGGTCTCTAAGGTGCTACTGGAAGGAAATTTTTTTTAAAAATTGGTTTGTTTTTGTTCTTGTTTTTATTATGTATTTTTTGTTCTCGTTTTGCATTTTAATGTTGTGAACCATCCTGTGATCTTCGTATGAAGGGTGGTGTACAAATTAATTAATTAACTGGATTAATAATAATAAAATAATAATAATGGATTAATAATAAAATAAAATAAAATAATGTGTTATCTGGGTGGAGCTAGTTAAAAAGTTCCATCGAATGCATATGTTTAGCTGTTGGAACTTCCTGAGTTTAGTTGTTCATCTGATAGCGCTTAAGATTGTTTTCCAGTCCCCTTGCTTTCCCTTCTTGCCACAGGTCCCCCAAAAACTCCTCTCTCTGAGGCTGACTGTTTCCACTTTGGTACCCTGGCACCAATTGGGAGCCTAGCAGGGAGGGAAAGAGTTAATGTAAGGCTTCCCCATGCATTTATTTGCATACCAAAATGCAAGAATGTAAACAAGGGAACCCACAGAAAACTTCCCCAAAAGGAATCGACAGCTTTCGCACACACCGCCAAGATCCAGAATGATTTCCTCCTACCTTGTTTCCATGTTCCTTGGATTTATTGCATGCCCCACAGATGAGGGGTTTGTGGTCTTTGCGGGAGAGTTTCTGGGGCTCCTGGAGCATCTCACAGACTCCCTGCTCTCCTCCTTCCTCCTTTCCGCCCTGGAGGTCGAGCTTCCTGGCGATTTCCACCACATTTGCCAGCTGCCGGTTTGGCTGGACGCTGTTCCGCTGAGCCGTATATCTGCACTGAGGACACGATGCCCCCGTTTCCAGCTCCCCCCAGTACCGGGTCAGGCAGGCTCGGCAGAAGTTGTGCCCACACCCTGAGATGATCACTGGATCCTTGAAATATTCCAGGCAGATGGGGCAAGTGGCTTCATGGCAGAGATCCTGGATGGGATTTGCACCGCCACCACCAGCAGCAGCCATGGCTGTGAATGACGCTGGAATGAAATCATCAACACAGCCAACGACCAGCCTCTTAAAGGGGACTCCTGTTTAAATGATGGGCATGAGTGAAGAGAAGAAACATTTAGAAAATTCTGTCTATATGTTACAACTCAGCCATTATTTTAAAATTGAAGCCAATGAATTTTTCCAGCAAAGCCCCCATGCACACCTTAAAGAAGGCTGATCGCCGAAGAATTGATGCTTTTGAATTATGGTGCTGGAGGAGACTCTTGAGAGTCCCATGAACTGCAAGAAGATCAAACGTATCCATTCTTAAGGAAATCAGCCCTGAGTGCTCACTGGAAGGACAGGTCGTGAAGCTGAGGCTCCAAGACTTTGGCCACCTCATGAGAAGACTCCCTGGAAAAGACCCTGATGTTGGGAAAGATGGAGGGCACAAGGAGAAGGGGACGACAGAGGACGAGATGGTTGGACAGTGTTCTCGAAGCTACCAACATGAGTCTGACCAAACTGCGGGAGGCAGTGGAAGACAGGAGTGCCTGGCGTGCTCTGGTCCAGGGGGTCACGAAGACTCTGACATGACTAAACGACTAAACAACAACAACAACAACACCTTCCCAGCTGTCAGTCACTGCACATGGAATGCCAACTTTGCTTTGCCTAGCCTGTAACTTCTATTTTGTTACAGGAGCTGCAGACTCTTTTTTTTTTCTTGCTTGCTGCTATCTACTAATTGGAGCAAAAATGGACTTCTACAGCCTGATGGCCGAACTGCTGCAGTGCACCTTATTTCACAGTGTTACCTGCTGGAACACTTGATGCTACAACACCCTAAATTGTGGTTTTTTTGTGGCACGTGCAAGGAACCCCATCTTTGAATCAAGCAGGAGTTGTATGCGCACAGGGACACAGGTGGCGCTGTGGTCTAAACCACCAAGTCTCCTGGGCTTGCGGATCAAAAGGTTGGCGGTTCAAATCCCCGCGACGCTGTGAGCTCTCGTTGCTCTGTCCCAGCTCCTGCCAACCTAGCAGTTCGAAAGTACACCAGGGCAAGTAGATAAATAGGTACCGCTGTGGTGGGAAGGTAAACGGTGTTTCTTTGCACTCTGGTTTCCATCACGTTGTCCCATTGCGCCAGGAGCAGTTTAGTCATGACCTGGAAAGCTATCTGTGGACAAACGCTGGCTCCCTCAGCCTGAAGTGAGATGAGCGCATGTGCGAATGTGATCTGTGCGGGAAGCATGTCCACAACCCACAGCACCACGTCTGCGCACGCGCGGGTTTTGATTTGGCGCATCTGTGCATGCGCAAAGCGTGATTTAGCGCTTCTGCACATGCACAAGCGCCAAAACCCAGCAGTAACCCGTTCTGGTACTTCCGGGCTCAGCGCGGTGCGCAACCCAAAATCACACAACCCGAAGCATCTGTAACCCGAGGTATGACTGTAATCGCCTTTGACTGGTCTTAACATTCCAGGGGTCCTTTATCTTTCACCATACTATAAGAACAATGGGTTGTATTCAGCTTAGCACTAAGGAGATTGTTCCATCAATGCAAGCAATTGAACTTGCCTGACAGAAGGCGCTCCTGCCTGCTCCCCTTGCACACTGTATAGGGGGTTCTACCAGTGCTTCATAGTTTTTTATATATTTTTTTGCAGAGGGAAACATGGAGCCCTGAGAACTATCATTTAACCTGCAATTCCCAGCACCCTTAACAGAACAGTTTCTAGAATTCGGAAGCGGGGGGAGGCATGTGGTTTAAATGGATGGTGTGTATTCAGCCTTTCACTGGCACATCTAGACCTGGGGAAGAGGCTGAGCAGTTTTGAATTTGAGAATATCTATGTAATTTTATCGAATTTATTCTGTTTGTTTGCCATCTTGGATAAATGCTTCTGCCTGGTCCTATCTTCAGGCATGTGCGTGAAGATTGCTACTCAGAGATCCAGATTTGGGTTGTATGTTTTCCTGGCTGAAGGCTTCAGTCAGAGCAGAATATAGGAGAGAAAACAAGCCCAAATCAAATCAAGGGCTGTGAAGTCAGTAGTTAGGATTAGGTATGAACACACGGCACTTTGTCCTTTCTTTGAAGCATTGTAACAGCTCACAGGCACAATTCAAAGTGTTGGTCCTGATCTTTAAAGCTCTAAACGGCCTCGGCCCAGTATACCTGAAGGAGCGCCTCCACCCCCATCGTTCAGCCCGGACACTGAGGTCCAGCTCTGAGGGCCTTTTGGCAGTTCCCTTATTGCAAGAAATGAGGTTACAAGGAACCAGGTAGAGGGCCTTCTTGGTGGTGGCACCCGCCCTGTAGAACGCCCTCCCATCAGATGTGAAGGAAATAAACAACTATCTGACTTTTAGAAGACACCTGAAGGCAGCCCTGTTTAGGGAAGTTTTTAATGTTTGAAGAAGGTAACTCTCCAGTCATCCCATGTCTGTTCCGTGAATAAAACAGCAGTTTTAGTCTGTTGCAACAAAAACACCACCAAGACATCTTAAAAGACTAACACTTTTATTCAGCCACAATGTGGATGTACATATCAAGAAGGGAGGGGGACATTGTCGTTACAAAAGGAATTACTCCGTCACATTAGTTTCCAGAACACATTTGGAAAGAAAAAAAGAAAGCTCCTGAGAAAATCCAGTTGGTGTGTGGTACACACCCAAATGGTAACATAAATAAAGTGAATCCTAGGCCAGTCATTCTCTCTCTCTCTCAGCCTATACTCCTTCACAGAGTTGTAACTATGAATTGGGTAGGGGAGAATAATGTACAATCCAATCCACCCAAGCATTTTGAGGGAAGGGTGAGATATGAGAGAGGAAAGTGAAATAGGCTGAAATCATAAACATCTTTGCGAAGCCGTATTGAACAGGATTTTACCTCAGAGTAAGTGTGCTCTGAAAGCAGAATTGGGGGTCCTGAAAGACTGCCTGTATAAAAACTCTTCTGCCATTGCTTAGGATAAAGAGTTATTTTCAATTAGATTACGTCTCCTTTTTAAAGAAATAAATTGCCGAGGGAAATCTGGGAAAGGGCAGGCAAAGAAAAACAGACTCCTGTTTCAGTTAGTTCAGAGACTTTGACTAGAAGCTGGTCTGGGCCTTTGCAGAGCTATCATAGGTGCTCTTGTCCAATAAAAATTTTGACTTAAAAAAACAACAACCCAGACATTAACACCAGAAAATCCTACGAGAGCAGACCTTTAGGAAATGAGGGCGATATACCCCTTTTCAGACAGTCGAAAGAAAGGGAATGCATCTCGTCCTCCAAAATTGACATCTTTGAATTCAGTGAGCTCAGCTCCCGAATCGGCGTCATAAAACACTAGCTGTCCCACCCTGCAGTTCAGAACAACTCGGATCCTCTGGATCTCCTCACTGAAAGGCAGAGAGTGATCCCGGTAACATGAGGGGCAGGAGGCCCAATGTTCCCCATCCCACTTCCCAACTTGCCATATCTCATTTCTCTTCGGAGTTGAGGAACCATTCTTCTGAGAGACTCCCACAGCCCAGTCTCCTTCACTTCCCAAAAAGACCTGCCAGGTATATCTGCCCCCTCTGAGGGCCTGGGAGCCCATCACAAAAGGCCAGTCGTCATAGATTCTCTCAGGATTTGTGGACAGATCTGGATCTTTGCCTCCGTGTCTCACACTTTTGAAGTCCCTTGACATGATGAGTTGGGGACTAGCCGTCTTTGGATCCAGTGTTATAGTTTCTGGAGGGATCGGGGTGGGGGAGGGAAAAATAAAAAGGATAATTAAAGGCTTTGTTTCAACTTATGACTTTCTGACAGTAAGAGATGTTTGACAGTCGAACAGACTTCCTCAAGAGATGCTGGATTCCCTGCCCTTGGAGGTTTTTAAGCAGAGGTTTGATGGCCATCTGTCATGGATGATCTAGTTGAGATTCCTGCAATGCGGGGGGGGGGGGGGTTGGAATAAAGGACCCTCGGTTCCCTTCCAGCTTTACAATTCTATGTTCCTATGTGTGCAAATCTGTTTACTATACATATATATGTGAATGACTAAATTATGCCTTGCCACATATTGGATATTTTGGGGGAGGAAATCAGATGCTACCTAAAGGCTCAAAGTCACATTTCTCATGCTCTCTTGCTTCAGCCGCTTTTCTCTCAGCCCAGCTCTGATGCTGCAAGCGGACCTGGGCTGAGGGAAAATGCTAGAAAGTCTGTGAGGATTTGCTTGTGATTGACAGGAGCATTCCAAAGCAGTAAAGAATCCATTAAGAGTGAGTGAAGTGCTGTTAGGAAATGGGAATTTTAAGTCTGTGAGGGAAGGGAAAGAGAATGCAAAGGCTGGATCTATATACCTATAAAAACACTATGAAAAGAAACGTTATAAAAGCTCACAATGGAAATTCTTGGGATTTCAGCTCTATGGCACCATCTGGTGCCACACTGATATAACGCATTTATAACATCGTAAGTTGACAAATGCAGATGAATCCAAAGAGAGAGACTCAAGTCTCAGGATTTATAGTTAGGTGTATGTGCTATGGGATATATTGGTTACCAAGGTAACCTAATTCTTCTTCAGTGTCTTTTGATTAGTCCTTTTACAACAACTCTCGTTCCTCTGAGGTAAAACTCTGAGGTAAAATTTCAACAGAAACGTCTCTCAGTCAAGGAATGACACTTGCCACAAAGGAGTACAGCCAAGACCGCAAGTGATGGCCTCAGCAGGGCCCAGCCCTCACAATAAGCCCTTAGGTGGCTTTAAAAGAGGATTAGACAAATTTGTGGAATGAGTTTAGCAATGGCTACTAATCATTTTGGATCAAAAGTGCAATACCTCCGAGCACCATTTGCTAGACAACAAGAGCAGAAAATGGCTTTTGCCCTCATCTGTCATATTGGTTTGTTTGTTAGCTTTGCATTTGGGCGGCTCTTAAGATATCGTAACCAAACTTTGTATTATGGTTCCCAAGATGAAAGAAGTTCTGATACAGTTGGATGCCGTTTTGAACCAAAATGGTGGACAGAATCAAAATGGTGGACTGCACCAATGTTAAAAGCTGTACTGATTTATTTGGTTTCGTAGAATTCCCAAGCAATGCAGTCTAGGAAGCTGTCCTGTCTCCTGCATGTGGACAACTTATGGGTTAATCTGTTTAACATTCCTAAACTGGCAACCCCCATAAAACACAAATCAAAAAACTTTCTGCAAAAAAAAAGACATCCCTATCCCTTCTGTGAATTTGGTCCTCCACCAGTCCCCAAAATTACCTGTGGCTGCATTAAATCCAGTTAGACCACCTGGAGGCCGGGATGGGGGGAGAGAAAGAAAACAGAGATAAAATGTCACACAATTGTATTTGTCGCAAAAAATATTTTTAAAATCCATCCATCACTCCCTTTAATAGATAAACTGAGTGCTGACTGAAACAAGAATGTGCCTACAAGGAACAAGACAGGGGCTTCAGCATGCTTAATGTAACTCTGGGGTTTGCTGAAGCACAAATTTCAAAACACACACATACACAAAAACAAACAAACAAGGAAAATATGCACACTCAATAGCTTCAGAATACTGAGTCTCTGTTGGAAAACAAACTAAATAGAATATGTGGGATGGAATGTCCTGCTCCCTCTGCTTAGGAGTAAATACTGGCAGCCCAAAAGTGCACGAAGGCCTTCTGTGTAGCTCAGCATCGTTCGCCAACTCCTGGATCCCTCTTCCCTGAATTCTGCTGCCTCCCCATCACTCACCCAGGTCCATGTAAATTATGCTGGGGTGGGAGAAAGCACGGGTGCTAGGTCTAAAGGGCAGCTCTGGGAGAAACACTCCAGCAAGAAATCTCCCCCCACTGAAGTTGCTGGACTACTACTCACACAAGTCTCAGCCAGGCCAATGGTCAGGGATAATAGGAGTTGTAGTCCAGCAACACAGGTGTGTGTGCGTGTGGATACACAGGTCCCAACCACTGTGCGTGAGGAAACGACGCTGCCAAATTTCTTTCCAGAAGCCCCACGCTAACCTAGAGCTTTTCACACCAACATCTGCAAGATCATTTAGATCGTGTGGAAGTTGTACTTATGGCACCAACCTCTTCAGAATATCATAGGGCAGGGGTGCCCAAACTTTTTTCAAAGAGGGCCAGATTTGATGAAGTGAACATGCGTGAGGGCCGAACAAAGTTGTTGACCTTTGTTGGGATTGAAGTTTTCTAGGATTGATGTTGTTGAGCTTTTTACCCCAGGAAATAAACTGCCGCAGGGGCCGGATTAAACCCAAAGGCCCTCAAAATGGACTTTGAACGTGCCTGTCATAGGATGGTGACCCTGAAACAGACACTTTCTGTCGCTGCCTCTATATTATGGAATGCCCTTCCTCTACTATAGACAAAGCAGGAATCATCAATTCCTGATGCATTACATCTGACCGTTTTATGTGTTTGAGAGATCTGAATTCCTGTTTTATTTGTGTGGGATTCAATTCTAGTCTCACCCAGAGTAGACCCATTAAAGTTAATAGACATGACCAACTTAGTTTCATTGATTTCAGTGGGTCTGTTTCAAGCAGGACCTAGTCAGATATATACTTTCATGCTACTATTTTATTGGGTTTTGACTGTACTATTGTTTTAATGATACTGTTTGCTTTTATATTTTGCACTGATTAAGAGATTTCAAAAATACCAGGTGGTTTATAAATGCTTTTAAATAAAAATAATATCCAGTATAAAATCCTTGCAGCTATTCGTTAATACAATTGCAGGGAGCCTCCAACCAGTGGACCTTATTAGGCCTGCCGGGTTTGGCACTTAACAAAACAGCATTGTATGACATCAGCCACACACAAAAACTCAAACACAATTCATGCCAAAGCTGCTGCTGCTGCTCAGCAGTTAAGTCAGCCAACCTCAAATGACATCACAAGATTGACAGGTGGCTGGCCTCTCCCACTTTTGGTTCCAGCCCCTGTGGCAAGATCCAGTGCCCAACCCCTGTTTTCATACCCCTTAGCTCCTGCACAATACTATTCAGACAGACATTTCTATCACGAAATTCCTCAATCCTCCACTTCAGCACGGTGTAGAAAAAGAACGGATTCTCAAATTGCTTCTTCTTATCATATCTGGAAAGAAAACAGTATTACTCCTCCATTGATGCAATTCAGAATCCCTAAGGAAAGCACAAGAAAGGTTTGGATTACAATGGAATGGCAGAAAGCCTCACGTCTAAGTCCGGAACTACCTTCTGAGTCCTATTTCTCAGGAATGAGCAGAGCCATTTCTACAAAGCACCCTCAATCTCCATCCTTTTCAAGGTGACCCAGAAGGATAACATGGTAACAAAAGCCACCTGATAGATCCAAGAGAACCAACAGATACTCTTTTTTTAATGTATTGTTATTAAAGATTTTCTTGATTTACAATAGTATGTGCAATGTCTCTCTCTCTTATTTTTTTCCCATGTAACATTTTTTACCAATCGGTTTCATTTGTTGAGACATTAGGAAATAAAGGGCGAAAGAGGTGAAGGGGGGAAAGATGGCTGGGGGTGGGGTCGGGTGGCGATGTTTCTACTTAATATATGTGGGGTTTTGTGTCAGTGTTGCTTGTGCAGGTTCTCTGCTGTTCACTTGTGTTCCTTTGGTGGTGAGAGAGGTTGGGTTTGGCCTAGGGTGTGGTTGTTCATTTGTGGTTGCCTGTGGTGGTCTTTGTTTTCATGTGTGAGTGGGGTGGGTGGGTGTTTTGGTTCAGGTTAGCCGTATTAATTTGTTGAGCTGTGTATGTGATAAAGGGGAGCCTTACCAGGGTAAAGGAGTCTTCTTCTATTTGCCCCATGTCGGTTTCAGTTTATTGGTTAATTTTTCTAGTAAGGCTGTTTCCCATACTATTTGGTACCATTGGTCCATGCTTACTCCTGACAGGTCTCTCCAGTGTCTGGTTATGGTGTTTCTGGCTGCTGAAAGTAGGTGGGTTATGAGTTCTTTGTGGTGTAAGTGGGCATTATTGTCTTGGAAGATGTTTTGTAGGGCCAGTTCTGGGGTGATTTCTAATACTTGCTTGGTTATTTCACATATTTCTCGTATGGCTGTTGTCCAGAATAGCTGGATTTGGGGGCACTCCCACCACATGTGGAGGTATGTGCCTGTGGAGGTGCACCCTCTCCAGCATTTTGATGAGGTTCCTGGGCGTATTAGTGCTAGTTTTCTTGGTGAGAACCTACAGGTTGTAAGGCCAAGAGATCAGGCTGAAAGCCAAAATGGAAGGGATCTAGATCAGCCGCAATCAGTTTGCACTGTGCCCCATCCACCTCCTAGTGAGGATCGTCCACAATTAGGGCAACAAAAGCAGTTTCCATTCCAAAGCCAAACTGAAAAGTAGAAGGAATCTAAAGTACATGCAAAAGACTCTTGGAGATTGATTTAATGTGAGCAGAAAGAGGAGAAAGATGAACACGACACCCAGACTACTATCAGCTGCAGTGCTTTTTTTCTAAAATAATGTCTAGGAGTACTCTCATTTTCCTACTCATATTGAAATACCGCCCCTCAATGAGGCCAAACTTAGATTCACAAAATGTTTAGGGATATGCGTACCTCTGCGTCCCCCCAGGAAAAAAACACACCACTGATCAGCTGTGTTAATAAATGGGGGGTGGGGTAAAATTCAGCAAATAACTAGAAAGCCTTTCTTAAGGCAGGCAAAAAATAAAATAAAACAAAAAACCCCAATCAAGTGGAAACAGAAGAAAACTATTAGAAACAGGAATGCTGTACAAGGATGAAAAGTGCAATGTGTGAACAAGAAAGTAGTGAGATCCACTTACCTCTGCAATATGCTTTTAGCTTCCTACAGAAAGAAGAGAGAAAGAACAGAGATTTCAATACAGTACTATAAAGACCCCTTCAGACTCTGTAGGGACCCAAAGTACAGCATTACCTTATTTAAGCAGATCTAATATGCCATCTAATCAACTGCGCACCTCAATTTTCAAAACCTTGAAACCCAAAAAGTATTTGCTGGTGCCATCAAATCTAATGCGCACCTTAATTCTTGTGACATAATTTGGCCAAAAAAGCTGCGCATTACATTTGAGTAAATACGGTATATAAAGTAAGAATAATATTAAAAACATAAGTCTCCAGCCCTGAAACAGGACATCAGAAGAATCCTGCTGGATCACACTGAGGGTTGATCCTCCTGTTTCCAACATGAGGTTGGCAGATTCCTCCAGGAAGCCCACAAGCGGGGAATGATGGCAAAAATACCCTAATTAGGAGGGCATTAGGAGCACACACATGACCAGAGAGTTTTAAAAAAAAACCACAAACCTATTCTATCAGACTGATCCACAGTGAAGTGAAATTAGAAATTTATCTGGGATGTTGTACGCTACAAACCTCATAAACCACAATCATAAATTTGGGCTCCTTCATATGGTATATATATAAATGGAGAAACACCAAAATATGGAGTTTGCTTTCCTAATGGATAGTTTGTTTCTACTCTTCTTACCTGAAGGAATTCAATTTCTGGCTTCTGACGCACTTCTTCCATATCCTGAATGAAACCTCCAAGACTTGCCAATTCTTCAGAGAACCTGGACAGGCAACTTTTCTTTATCACTGCGAGACACTTCTCCACGTTTACCATATCCTGCAGAAGTAGTTTCTCTTGATCTCTCAGAGACTGGTATAATTTTCCAAACTCTGCCACTATTTTTTCCTTCTCTTCTTTCATTAGCTCCTGCAACAAACGGAATATAAAGAGCAGAAAATCAGGCCAGCGTAATCCGTGTTTGCACCATCAAGAGAGATAGGATTTCATACAAAGGGCATATAAAATGGCATCAACATCCAGAATGGAAGAATTTCCTAAAAACCTATAGGAGTCCATGTTTCTGTGAAATATTCTTATAATTTCTAAAAGAAACCAAGTAATGCTGAGGAACTGGGATGCCTCACGGCTTTTAACCATCTTGTTGGTTCCATTACTTGCTCAGTTCCAACAAATAGTGGTCTCTGGGCTCCTCTGGGAGGAAGAGAGATATAATGTTAATTAATTTTAAAAATCGGCACTTACAAGCAGATCCTGGCTTTCATTTTCCAAGTTCTCTGTATACTGCAGGATGGTTTCTCTCCCCTCCTTCAGAACTTCTAGGCAGCGAAAAATCCGATCCTGTCAATAATAATAATAATAATAATAATAATAATAATAATTTTATACCCTGCCCTCCCCGGCGATGACCGGGCTCAGAGCGACTAACACTGAATACAGTAAAAACAGGTGGACTTCCTGCAAGCTCTGCGTTGCTTTTTTGAGCAGCATGGGGCTTGCATCTGCCCACCACCTCAGCCACCCTACAGCTGAGGGGGAGGCTGCCAAGAGGCTCCACGCAGCACCCCCTGCCTTGGCTTGCCCCACCCCCATGGGCAGCTTGCCCCGCCATGGCTGCAGGACACACACACCGCGCCGGGCAGCCAAATGACTAGCTACGCCCCTGCTGAGGCATGTGCCCAGTGTTGGGGAAATTTAGCCCACACGGCTGCCATCCCCAAAACGTCATATGCAACGTGATATGTAATAGCGCCGGCACTGGGAAAGTCTCCCTGGCACAGAAATTGCATAGACAGACAGCAACATTCTCCTGAATGGTAAGAGAGTCTGGAGGAGAGCCTTAACAGAAGATGGCCGTAATACACAAGCAGCTTGGTATGGGAGCACATATTTCTCCATGCAATTGTGTCTGCAAAGTCACCTCACACACCTGGGATCAGATATAAAGCCTTCCCACAAGGAGAGTCTGAATTCTCACTGCTCTCGAACCCTGGCCCTGGATATTTCTGAGAATGTACTATTGGTTATATGCCCAAATCATACCAAATGTAGTATTCTTACCTTGTATTCTTCAACAGCCTGGTCTATGGGAACCACAGCTTTGCATGGGTGCTGTTGTGCGGCGTCACACAGAAGGCAGAAGAAGATTTCGTGATCCTTGCAAAACAAATTCATGGGCGCTTTGTGCGTCACACATTTTGGCCCCTCTAGGCCCATGGAATTCAGCTGCTTAGCAATTTCAACAATGCTTGCTAGAGACCTGTTTGATTTGAAATCCCGCCCGACGGCTGCTCGGCACTGTGGGCACCTGGTTTCTGTGCCAGCCTCCTCCCAGCACGTAGAGATGCATCCTTGGCAGAAGTTGTGTCCACAGTCTAGAGTCACAGGATCTGCAAAGTAGGCCAGGCAGACAGGGCAAGTAGCTTCAAAGCGAAGCCTCTTCCTGGGGGTCTCAGCCATAGCTTCACTATTGCAGTGCAACACAAAGGGAACAGAGTTTTTTTCTCCTGCACTCAGAAGCAGCCCCAAGGGGAAGAGAGCTCAAAAGCCCCCTATCTCTGCCCTGGAAAGAAACAGCAGCAAGAGAGTCAGGTTAGTATTATGTGCACCAATAAAGGAAAACATCGTGTAGTGGTTAAGAGCGGTGGACTTGTAATCTGGGGAACCGGGTTCGCTTCCCCGCTCCTCCACATGCAGCTGCTGGGTGACCTTGGGCCAGTTACGCTTCTCTGAAGTATCTCAGCCCCACTCACCTCACAGAGTGTTTGTTGTGGGGGAGGAAGGGAAAGGAGAATGTTAGCCGCTTTGAGACTCCTTTGGGTAGTGATAAAGCGGGCTATCAAATCCAAACTACTACTACTACTACTACTCTTCTTCTTCTTCTTCTTCTTCTCCTTCTTCTTCTTCTTCACAACCACCCACAGAGGCCGATTCCCACTTTGATACCCCTCTTTACCACTCCTCTTTATTCAACTTTGATTTGTGTTTTAGGGAGAATGACAAACCTAGACAGCATCTTAAAAAGCAGAGACATCACCTTGCCAACAAAGGTCCGTATAGTTAAAGCTATAGTCTTCCCAGTAGTGATGTATGGAAGTGAGAGCTGGACCATAAAGAAGGCTGATTGCCGAAGAATTGATGCTTTTGAATTATGGTGCTGGAGGAGACTCTTGAGAGTCCCATGGACTGCAAGAAGATCAAACCTATCCATTCTGAAGGAAATCAGCCCTGAGTGCTCACTGGAAGGACAAATCGTGAAGCTGAGGCTCCAATACTTTGGCCACCTCATGAGAAGAGAAGACTCCCTGGAAAAGACCCTGATGTTGGGAAAGATGGAGGGCACAAGGAGAAGGGGACAACAGAGGATGAGATGGTTGGACAGTGTTCTCGAAGCTACCAGCATGAATTTGACCAAACTGTGGGAGGCAGTGGAAGACAGGAGTGCCTGGCGTGCTCTGGTCCATGGGGACACGAAGAGTCGGACACGACTAAACGACTAAACAACAACAGATAACAGTGGATTGTTGATGTAATTACAATTTAGTTTGTTGTACTCATGCTTTGTGTGCAGTGTAAACATAAAAGCTGTGTAGGCAAAGAAAGCAACTAAGACCTATTTGGGAATGCTATCCTCCAGAGTAATACACATAAAGCCTGCTTTTTCCCAACCTTGCTCCTTGTTATTTATTCTTAAAGTAGGAGACAGGCTGAAATCCTAGAAAGAGTAGCCTTATTTGTCTCTTGCAGTTTTTTAAAAAATTATCACGTGGAATATGAAAGGCGTGAGATATTTATTTTGCCAGAAACTTTAGTGTAACTTGGTGGACATTACATACAATGAGAAGGTGTAGCAATGCAAGAGATAAAGGCATCACAATGCCATGCAGATGAGGACCCGACAAATAAATGGAACTACTGCCCCCAACTGGTGATGAGCTGGCAAAGCAAGACAAATACCATGCAAAGAGGGGAAATTACTTTTGGTAGTGAGCTAGCCACTCTGATGGTTTCTTTCTTGCTTGCTTGCTTGCTTGCTTGCTTGCTTGCTTGCTTTCTGTGCCAAATAGTTTTTAATGGTTTTCCAAATTTTAACCAATCAATACATCAAATTTGATACATTTTCCCCAGATAAGTTGACTTCCCGCTCTTCTTCCTAGCCGTGTCCCTAAAGGTAAAGGTAAAGGGACCCCTGACCATTAGGTCCAGTCGTGGCCGACTCTGGGGTTGCAACGCTCATCTCGCTTTACTGACAGAGGGAGCCGGCGTACAGCTTCTGGGTCATGTGGCCAGCATGACTAAGCCGCTTCTGGAGAACCAGAGCAGCGCACGGAAATGCCGTTTACCTTCCCGCCAGAGCGGTACCTATTTATCTACTTGCACTTTGATGTGCTTTCGAACTGCTAGGTTGGCAGGAGCAGGGACCGAGCAACAGGAGCTCACCCTGTCGTGGGGATTCGAACCACCAACCTTCTGATCGGCAAGTCCTAGGCTCTGTGGTTTAACCCACAGCGCCACCCGCGTCCCTACTTTCCCCTATTTACTGCTTTATATTAGAAATTTATATTCCAATTCACATTTCAACCCTTATATCTAACCCTAAATTGAACGTTTTCCTATTTGATTCTTTTTTCTTCTCCCTTTCCTTTTCTTCCTCAGCTGTCTAGTTTTCAATTCCTGCTTGCATACTTAACAATATCTTATTCCATTACACAGCAAAACAAATGAGGTCTCCCAGTGCCATTCTGATGGTATCAACCCTGCATATTCCAGTTCAAGAGGTTTGCATGGGATGTTCTCTTTGGAACACTATTGAATGAATGAATGAAGGCTACTTTTCAAGTCTGTTACTGAATAGCAAGGCTCTCCCACTGGTTTCTGAATGTTGCCATTACTAATAGTTGGCTTGTGTCCAGAGCCTGCCTTATGTAAAATGGCAAGAGAGTATCTGGAGAGCCCAGCTGAAAAGTAATCCAGCATCCTACCCCCACCCCGCCGAGTATACAGCTGGATTCCTTTGGGAATCCCACAAGCATGACATGAAGACTGTAGCCCTCTCTGGCTCTTGCCCTTAAGCAATTGGTATTCAGTGGAATACTGCCTCTGAACTTTATATACCGCTTATGGTCAAAATAGGCTACTAAGCCTCGGTCCAGTATATCTGAAGGAGCGTCTCCACCCGTATCGTTCTGCCCAGACACTGAGGTCCAGTGCTGAGGGCCTTCTGGCGGTTCCCTCACTGTGAGAAGCCAAGTTACAGAGAACCAGGCAGAGGGCCTTCTTGGTAGTGGCACCCGCCCTGTGGAATGCCCTCCCACCAGATGTCAAAGAGAAAAACAACTATCAGACTTTTAGAAGATATCTGAAGGCAGCCCTGTTTAGGGAAGCTTTTAATATTTGACGCACTATTGTACTTTAATATTTTGTTGGAAGCCGCCCAGAGTGGCTGGGAAAACCCAGCCAGATGGGCAGGGTATAAATAATAAATTTATTATTATCATCATCATCATCACCATAGCACAAAAATGAGTTTTACAAACAGAAAAAGATAAACATCCATAAATACACACAATAAAACAATCTCAGTGACTATGAAGGAGTTCTATCACCCTCATAACTAATCCTGTTGATGGAATTATTCTAAAGGAATGTGGTCAGCGGCTTTGATAAGGAACCCACCCTAGTGACCATCACCATATCTTGGGGCAGCAAATTCCACATATTCATTATGCGTTTTGTCAAAGGGTACTGCTTTTCCTCTGGTGGGAATCTATTGCTAAAATGTCATTGGGTGACAGGAGTTCTGTTGGTGCAATATATATATACACACACATGCATACACACACACCGTATGAGAATTCCTGAATGCCAAGATCCAGGTTTGGGGCAAGTACTCTTTGGCAAGAGAAGCCCAGCAGAAAAGTCACAAAATACATTTCAAAGTAAAGCATGGAAATATAGGTTGATGGACCTTTAAAATGTGCCCTTCCAAGCGAGTTTCAAAATTTCCCTCTTTCCGCAGCATAGGAAAAGACCACATGCCAGCAAGTTAAAAAATAGTTTACTTACAAACTCTCCAGAGGTCAGAAACATGTGCGTCAGAAAAGTTGCACAGGGAGTAAAATCTAGCTTAGTTACAAAGTGGTGAAAGTTCCTAATTTTTTTGGATTAGGAACACAACAGTGGCTGGTGAGAACCATGTGGCTGCTGATCTTGAGCAACCAGCTATAACCTCTGCACATACTAAGCTTCTCAGGCAGGGGGGGTGGGGTCAATTGGCAAGATTGCCTATTTCCTCCCAAGGTAAGGGGAAGTGACACAGCTAACCCTGTCAGGACCGCTTACTGTGGAATTAAACCCTTCACACATTAGTTTGACATAAGCATGTTGGTTAAATGAAGCTGGTTATTCCACAAGTTGTAGTATAGCACCTAGAGGAGATTGCATGCACACGACATGGGGCTGGCTCTCTTGACAGTGAGCCATTCTCTCCTGCCCTCTACAATAAAAAATGGTAAAGGACCCCTGACAGTTAAGTCCAGTCACAAATAACTCTGGGGTTGCGGTGCTCATCTCGCTTTACTGGCCAAGGGAGACGACATTTGTCCACAGACAGTTTTTCCGGGTCATGTTGCCAGCATGACTAAGCTGCTTCTGGTGAAACCAGAGCAGCACACGGAAATACTGTTTACCTTCCTGCCGCGGTGGTACCTATTTATCTACTTGCACTGGTGTGCTTTCGAACTGCAAGGTTGGCAGGAGCTGGGACCGAACAACGGGAGCTCACTCCGCCACAGGGATTTGAACCACCAACCTTCTGATCGGCAAGCCCAAGGCTCAGTTGTTTACATTAAAAACTTTTACAAATAGTTCACTCGATTATTTTTCTTGTTCCCTTCCTCTCAGGTCTCCGCCTGTTTGCCTTCTGAACTTGGAGGGCAATTTCTTTAAAAGCAGAAGAAAAACCTCATAGAACCTCCATTTTATGCAAGCAAAGTAAAAATGCAATCCAAACCCCACAGGCCTAGTAACACGCGGACAAGGCGACAAGCCCAGGCAGCTCTCCTGTACTCCGCCGCAGCAAGCGAAGCCACCTGCAAAATAAAACGCGCGCTTCTCTGAGAATAACTCTCTTAATTGTTTTTTAACTCCACAAGGGAAAGAAAGATCGGGCTACAAACCAGTTCCCAATGCCCAGATTTCGTTTACCCCACGCTCCCCAACGACCGGCCAAAGCAGCGATTTTAACTGGACGAAGGATCCGGGAACTCCTTTGGTTCAAGCGCCCGGATCTGAAGCAACTCCGGTTACTAGCAAGAGAAAGGAGAAACCTTTCTCCAGCAGGAAACGGCTAGGACTAAGGACTGGCAAACCAGAGAATCGGGCTTGAGAAGGAAACCGTTTTTTTAAAAAAAAAATGAGCATGAGGCAACTTTACTCCCAAAAAGAGGGATGGAAAAGAGGGCGGCACCCATTTAACTGGGGCTGGAACATTTGGGGTTGGATTTTTAACACACACACAGCATAGCCAGGATTTTTGTGGGGGAGGGGCGCAAGACTTTTGTTACAGAACCTACGTGATTGGTCAGTTAAGTATTTCTATTGTTTTACTTGATGGGGGGGCTGCCTCTCTGACCCCCCCCCGCTACACCAATGACAACCCCCGCCCCCTCTAAAAACACCACGGACTGATACACACTTATTTAGTTTCTGGAAGAGACTTTTTAACCACCACCTGCGTCGCCGCCCCAGTTTTCCTTTCTGCAGAACGATTTCCAGGAAGCGCGGGTCCCTCGCTTTTATATTGCAAGTGTGTTGGGATCTATTTATGCTTTTTGTTTTTAAAGCAGACGCCCGGGAGACATTGAGCAAGAAGCAATGAGAAAACTGCGGGCAGGAGAAAAGGGGCACTAATGAACCAGAACCTAAGAACAGCTTTGCTGGGTTCAAAACGCAGCACGCGCGCACAAGCGCACGCCGAAGCGAGCAATAAACTCCTACCGATTTAAGTGGCAACAGACTGAGCCTAAAAACGGGGTCCAGGAGGCGAATTCCCTTTACCTCGAAGCCCGGCAAAAGCAGCTGTCCCAATCTGGCGGAGCAAAGGGGACTCCTTCGGTTCAAGCGCCCAGATCCGGAGCAACTCAGATTACGAGCAAGGAGGAGAAGCCGAAGGGAGAGAACTCAAAATCCCCGCCACGGAAAAAAAAAGATTCAGTAAATTGCAGCAGCTGATAAATTGTGAATGGACAAACGTTCGGGGGCGGGGCGAACTGGCTCCGCGCTGCAGCCAATCAGCGGTGCTTAGGACGCCGCCTCGTGAACAGCTCCGCCTCCCTGTTCCATGTATGGAATGCGGCCGATCGTCACAATAGAGCCAAACCCGAAGGGAGAGTAATCCCTCGCAACTCGACTTCTGGCTCGGATGCGAAGTCTCTGCGCGCGGGGCTGGAGGCCAACGTGGCTGCGGGGTTAGGGTGAGAACCTAACCCAGCAATTTATATCGGCTGCCCCGACGCTGTCGTTACCTCCAGCTGAAATAACCAAACGCGCGGGAAAGCTAGAAAGCACATGTAGGAATCGACCTAGGGGTGCAAATCGGGAATGGAGAAAAATCCTATTCCTGATGCATGCTGTGTTCTTTCGAGCTGACTTCTTAAGGAAGAAGGTGCGCTCCGACGATCCATGCTGACATCTCCCACTGAACTCACTGAAGATTAGGTAAAGGGACCCCTGACCATTAGGTCCAGTCATGACTGACTCTGGAGTTGTGGCGCTCATCTCGTTTACTGGCCGAGGGAGCCGGCGTACAGCTTCCGGGTCATGTGGCCAGCATGGCTAAGCCGCTTCTGGCAAACCAGAGCAGTGCACGGAAACGCCGTTTACCTTCCCCCCGGAGCGGTACCTATTTATCTACTTGCACTTTGATGTGCTTTCGAACTGCTAGGTTGGCAGGAGCAGGGACCGAGCAACAGGAGCTCACCCCGTCGCGGGGATTCGAACCTCCAACTGATCGGCAAGTCCTAGGTTCTGTGGTTTAACCCAGAGCACCACCCATGTCCCACCACTGAAGATTACTTCTGCGTAAACTCGCCCAGCCCAGTGTTGCAACCCTATGCACATTTCATGGGGGAGGGCGGGTATTGGAGCATTTAGCGAGGCTTGTTGTTTGTTCAGTTGTTTAGTCGTGTCCGACTCTTTGTGACCCCATGGACCAGAGCACGCCAGGCACTCCTGTCTTCCACTGCCTCCCGCAGTTCGGTCAAACTCATGCTGGTAGCTTCGAGAACACTGTCCAACCATCTCGTCCTCTGTCGTCCCCTTCTCCTTGTGCCCTCCATCTTTCCCAACATCAGGGTCTTTTCCAGGAGTCTTGTCTTGTCATCTCATGAGGTGGCCAAAGTACTGGAGCCTCAGCTTCACGATCTGTCCTTCCAGTGAGCACTCAGGGCTGATTTCCTTCAGAATGGAGAGGTTTGATCTTCTTGCAGTCCATGGGACTCTCAAGAGCCTCCTCCAGCACCATAATTCAAAAGCATCAATTCTTCGGCGATCAGCCTTCTTTATGGTCCAGCTCTCACTTCCATACATCACTACTGGGAAAACCATAGCTTTAACTATACGGACCTTTGTCGGCAAGGTGATGTCTCTGCTTTTTAAGGATTACTTCTGCGTAAACTTGCTCAGCGTTGCAACCCTATGCGCATTTCATGGGGGAGGGCGGGTATTGGAGCATTTAGCGAGGCTTACTTCTGAGTAAGGGGCGCGGGTGGCGCTGTGGGTTAAAACACAGAGCCTAGGACTTGCCGATCAGAAGGTTGACGGTTCGAATCCCCACGATGGGGTGAGCTCCCGTTGCTCGATCCCTGCTCCTGCCAACCTAGCAGTTCAAAAGCACATCAAACTGCAAGCAGATAAATAGGTACCACTCCGGTGGGAAGGTAAACGGCGTTTCCATGCGCTGCTCTGGTTCGCCAGAAGCGGCTTAGTCATGCTGGCCACATGACCCAGAAGCTGTACGCCGGCTCCCTCGGCCAATAAAGCGAGATGAGCGCCGCAACCCCAGAGTTGGTCACGACTGCACCTAATGGTCAGGAGTACCTTTACCTTTACTTCTGAGTAAAACATGCAAAGAATATAAAGCTGCACGCACACTGACAATTGCCTACTCGGACTGGCAGCAGAGGGAGATTTTCCCTGCCCAGATATTTCATTTTTTTGCTAGAAAATGCCACAGAGAGTTCCAGAGGCATAGCTCTCTTTGTTACCTCTGTTAACACCTTAGCCCAGGGACAGCTTGTATGGCGTCCTCCAGATGTTGAAAGAAAGTCAAGGGTGGGACAAGAAGGCCCAGCGGTGTAAGAGGAAGACACGTGAGTTCCTGTGCAAATGAAAAGGGCGTCTGGTCAAGAGAAAAGTAGATTCAATCAGGGGGAAGGGGAGACACTCCCCACCCGGTAATGGAATCTGCAAAAGAGAGGTGGAAATGCCTAAGCGGGATATCAAGACTCCCTTTGAAACCTAATTGTTGATTAAGGCATCTTTCGAGTCTGTTACGTGAGTGACCGGGAGACTGAAATGCCGCCCCACTAAGTGCCTCCCGGCGTGTTACCATTTTTAATGGCTGATTTGTGAAGGTTTATTCACATATGTAGATAGAGCCTGTTTTGCTTAATGTCAATCATATCGGCATATCCTCTAAGACGCCATAAAAAGTAACAGCAGATCAACAGAAATACAGCATAACATGATGCTTGCAGTCTTAGCTGCAAGGGAATATATACAACTTGCGCTTGTTTGTCCTTCCTCCCTCACATTCCTTTTTCCTTTTGTGTTGTGTGGGCTGTTCGCTTTTTTAAAAATTGTGAACTTGAGGGCAGGGACCACTTTAGCAGAAAAAGGCACGTGACATGTTGCCAACGTGCAGTCCTAAAATGCACTGTTGGCTTCCCCACACCGTGTCGGGTTTTGCAAAATTAAAGAGAAAGCTCCACGTGCCTCCAGGCGCAGCTGCAAAAGAAGCAAGCCACAGAATTAGGCTTGCTCCGATTTTGCCATCGTCCCACAGCAGACTAAACGCTCATCATTCTGCATACCCGTTTGGCTGCAAACCCCACCCGCCGCGATTTTGCAACAACGCGGAAAACGGCGTTAGTAGCAAAGAACTCCCTTTTCGGCTTTGACTTTCCGCTAATCGGCGGAACTCCTCCTGCAGGACCAAGGAACGGGGGCGTGTCCGCGGGTGAGCATTCCAAGAGCCGCTGATTGGCTGCAAGTTGCCCCGCCCCGCAGTTTGTCCATTCAAAACGCGTCCAGCTTGTTAGAAGGGCGGCAGCTTGTGAGTTTCGAAGCTGCCCGAGTTCTTGGCGGGGAATTTGATTTCGCTGCTCTCGGCTCTTCCCTTTCAATGCTGGTGCCGTCTCTCGTGGCTTAGAGCCAAGCTGAGTCAACTTGCTCACCTCCGCCAGGTGAGGACTTTGCAATTGGCTTTTTTTTTTCTTTGGAGGGGTGGCTTTTGGGCGAAGGGTGTGGTGGAAATGTAGAAAGCAAACCTCCCACTATCCGAAGGGCTCCAGATTAAGTGTCGGAGATGGTTTGCAGCCCAGCTTTATTCCCGCCCATGCGGGTGTAGAGATATTTTATTTCTCAAAATAAGATGGTTACATGATGGTAGCTCTTACTACCCCTTTCCTCAGTGGTGGAGCTTTTGCTTTTTTGTACAGAAGCTCCCAAATTTAACCTTTGGCATTTCTAGGTTGACAATACAGTGGTACCTCTGGTTAAGTACTTAATTTGTTCCGGAGGTCTGTTCTTAAGCTGAAACTGTTCTTAACCTGAAGCACCACTTTAGCTAATAGGGCCTCCTGCTTCCGCCGTGCCGCCGGAGCAGAGTTTCTATTCTCATCCTGAAGCAAAGTTCTTAACCTGAAGCACTATTTCTGGGTTAGCGTAGTCTGTAACCTGAAGCGTATGTAACCTGAGGTACCACTGTATTGTGTTAGGAGGACCAATGGCCTGACTATGTACAGCTTCCTCCTGCACAGTGAATAATAGCACTTCAGATAATGTATCAAGGCAGTCATCAGAGGGTTTGTGTTCTATCAACCTTGTAAATAAGCCCATAAACATTACTAGTTTGGGCTGCTGGCAACTGGAGATATGTGAGGCGTAAACTGCTGTTCCCAAGTTTTTGGGAAGTCTTTTTTTTTTTTTTTTTGAGGGGGGAGGCATGATTTACACCAAGTGGCAGGGGTGAAACTAGACCAGTGTGGTGTAGTGGTTAAGAGCGGTGGACTGGTAATCTGGTGAACCAGGTTCACGTCTCCGCTCCTCCACATGCAGCTGCTGGGTGACCTTGGGCCAGTCACACTTCTCTGAAGTCTCTCAGCCTCACTCACCTCACAGAGTGTTTGTTGTGGGGGAGGGAGGGAAAGGAGATTTTTAGCCGCTTTGAGACTCCTTCGGGTAGTGATAAAGCGGGATATCAAATCCAAACGCTTCTAGACTTTATTTCACACGCGTCAAAGACTCGGTTTAGCGCACGCACACACACTATGTGCAATTGCATATACACACACAGGCTGTGAGCCTCAGTGGCACCCCTCTGGAAATTTCACCTGAGCCAAAACAAAACCCGGCTAGCCACCCCACCTCCCTGCTACAGCTCTGCCAAGTGTTAAAAATGTGTTTTAAATGTGTGGAGGTGACCCATGTTAGCTGCAGAGGAAGAGAAGCACAGTTCTCTGTAGGAAGTATGTAGGGTTGCCATATTTCAAAATAAAAATCAGGACACCCTGAAAGTTGAGTGTTGTTTTTTTTAAGGAAACCTCCCAAATTGTTCAGCTTTTTTTTAACATTAAAACGCGATTTCTTGGTTTGCTTGCCAAAGATCCAGGACAAACTGCCACCTTCCAGAAATCCCCCCTGGACATCACTTCCAGGCAGACGTATTGCGGCCCCCTAACAGTATGAAACTGATAGCTACTAGCCTCTTTAAAAGGCTGCTGTTCGTGTTGGTCTATTATTGCACCTACCTGCAAGTGCCGTTCATGCCAATTATAGAACCCTAGATTTGTAGAGTTGGAAGGGACCCCTCATCGGTATATAGATATCTATCGCTTAGTTGACAGAGAACCTCAAAGCAGTTTATTGCAACATGCCCTTTATTAACTCACTCATAAGGTGTTTCGTTTTGATGTACCCTGTTTCAGATTGAAGTGGCGCTGCATGTCTGCCAAAGGTTCAGCCCATGGGTGACGGGAACTCCATGAAGCGGTGCCGGTGCGTAGCTACCTGCCCCATCTGCCTCTGCTATTTCACCAGCCCAGTGCTGCTAAACTGTGGGCACAGCTTCTGCCAAACATGCATCAGGAGGTGCTGGGAGCAGCCTGGCGCAAATGCCAGGTGCCCTGAGTGCAGAAGGACTGTCGAGAGAACCTTCAGGCCCAACAGGTCTCTCTCGAACCTCGCTGAAATACTCAAGGACTGGGAAGCTTCCGCCGAGAGAGAGGCTCGAGAACAACGGGACTCGGAATGCCAGAGGCATCGGCAGCCGTGGGACTTGTTCTGCGAGGACGACCAAGTCCCCTTCTGCGGGGAATGTGCCAGTTCCCAAGAGCATAGGGGCCACAGAGTGGTCTCCGCGGAAGAAGCCGCCCAGGTATACAAGGTAAGAGTGGGCGGTGGATGGGAATGATCCAGAGCATCGTTCAGGAAGGGGCGGGCTTGAACCCTGAACTCTACCCGTAAATCTATTCAATGTGCTGTAAGCGTAAAGGTAAAAGGCAAAGGGACCCCTGACCATTAGGTCCAGTCGTGGCCGACTCTGGGGTTGCGGCGCTCATCTCACTTTATTGGCTGAGGGAGCCGGCGTACAGTTTCCAGGTCATGTGGCCAGCATAACTAAGCCGCTTCTGGCGAACCAGAGCAGCGCACGGAAACGCCATTTACCTTCCTGCTGGAGCGGTACCTATTTATCTACTTGCACTTTGACGTGCTTTCGAACTGCTAGGTTGGCAGGAGCAGGGACTGAGCATCGGGAGCTCACCCCGTCGTGGGGATTCGAACCTCCAAGCTTCTTATTGGCAAATCCTAGGCTCTGTGGTTTAACCCAAAGCGCCATCCGCTTCCCTGCTTGTAAGCGTACAATGGGATAAAGATTCGGACTTGGAAGGCATAGGAATAACCTTCAGGGAGTGAGCCTCTGATTCGGCTGCACTTCGAATCAGGTGTGGGGAATCTTTAGTCCTCCAGGGGTGGCTGAACTACAGCTTCCATAAGCCCCAGCAAGCATGGGCAATGGGAGTTTGGTTCACCAACACTGTGACAGGCGATGCGGTCCTCACATCTGCTCCACCTGTCTTGTTTTGATGGGTATATAAAGTATACCAGTTGCACTGGCCATGTTGTGCGGATGACTGATGATTGTCTTCCAAAGCAACTACGCTATTCCGAACTTAAAAATGGAAAGCGTAATGCTGGTGGTCAACAAAAGAGGTTTAAAGACTCTCAAGGCAAAGCTAAAAAATATATAGTATAAACACTGACAACTGGGAAACACTGGCCTGCGAGCGCTCCAGTTGGAGAACAGCCTTTACCAAAGGTGTCGTGGGCTTTGAAGACACTCAAACTCAGGATGCAAGGGAGAAACGTGCTAAGAGGAAGGCACGCTTGGCAAACCCTCACCGTGTTCAACTCCCGCCCCAATGTCCCCACTGTGGAAGGACATGTGGGTCCAGAATTGGCCTCCACAGTCACTTACGGACTCATTGTTAAAACCGTGTTTATGGAAGACAGTCTTACTCGGCTGCGGGTGATCGCCAAAGAAAGAAGAAAGTAAACCTAAGAGGAAGAACACCCCCCCCAAAAAAATCTGCTTCTTCTTTTGCAGGAACAGATCAGCAGTTGCTTGCCGATTTTGAGGACGGAGAGAGAAAGACTTCTGACTTTTAAAGCACAAACAGAAATTGAAAGGCAACAGTTACTTGTAAGCATCAGCAGGGCTGAGAAATGAATGAGACGTAGGATCGGGCTTTTGGGGGGGCAACAAATATTAAAAGCAGAAGGGTCTGAAGCAGCTTTTCCTGAAGCAGGTTATATCTAGCATATGTAGGTCTACTTGTATGTGGGTCATCTAGTCTGGTTACAATGCAGGAATCTTTTCCCAATGTGGGCTCGAACCCGTGACCCAGAGATTAAGAGTCTCATGTTCTACCAAACTGAGCTATCCCTTGGTCATTTATTATTTCACCCATATAATTGCTTTGCAACCCAGCCGGATGTGTGGGGCATTATTTTTATTATTATTTTATTATTATTATCTTTGTGATATTAATACTACTAATAATAATTTTTATTTATACCCCGTCCTCCCCAGCCAAGGCCGGGCTCAGGGCGGCTAACAAGCAATAATAAAACAAGTTGAATGAATACAACTTAAAAACAACATTAAAATATTGAAACCTCATCGCAGGAGGAGAAAGGAAAAGAAAAAAGAAAGAAGGGGAGGGAATCAAATTGGCTCCAAGCCAAAGGCCAGGCGGAACAACTCTGTCTTACAGGCCCTGCGAAAAGAGATCAGATCCTGCAGGGCCCTGGTCTCATGAGGCAGAGCGTTCCACCAGGCCGGAGCCAGAGTTGAAAAGGCCCTGGCTCTGGTTGAGGCTAATCTAACTTCCTTAGGACCCGGGACCACTAGGGTGTTGCTATTTATGGACCTTGAGGCTCTCCGTGGGGCATACCAGGAGAGGCGGTCCCGTAGGTATTATAATATATATCCTGCTTTTCCCGTAGGTATTATAATATATATCCTGCTTTTCCAAAACTTGGCAAGATTCAGCTTGCCCCATCATTGGAAGCCCTGCACAAGGATATAGCTCACTTGTGTAATGGGGCTTCCTCTTTCCTTTCAACCCCCTCCCCCACCCCGCAAAAAAATGCCTCCCTGGTGTCAGGAGAACAGCACACACTGGGAAGAGCGAAGGGATCATTGCAGCTAGCAAGATGGAATGTTGGTAGTAAGGTAGCCTTAATTCTACCCCTTGGGATCTCAGATGCTCTGGGACTACAGGTCCCATTATCCATGACTGTGGGCCTTGTTGCTTGGGAATGATGGGATCTGGAGTACAACACTCTTTGTGGATCTAAGGTTGGGGAAGGCTGGCCTGGAGATGCAAGTCAGCTCTGCTCCTCTGGAAAGGCCTGGTCTCCTGTAAGAATGGCCCCTGTATTCTCCAGCAAACTCCTTCCCTGCTAAAACCTGACGTGATATTTGGGGCAATTCAGAAGATACCTTCTCGTCCTCCCTCTTGACGCTGCAAAGACCGGCTGTATTCCTAAAAATGCCCTCCTTGGCTTCTCTCGCTTTGCCCCACCTGCTTGTTCTAGGAGCACATAGAGGGAGAGAAGGGAAAGGCCATAACCAAGTTCAGTCAACTGCACCAGTTCTTGGAGGAACAAGAGGACCTTCTGCTGGAGAAAATGCAAGAGCTGGAGGAGGAGATTGCAAGGAAAAGGGAGGAGCACCTGGACAGGCTCTCCAGGGACCTCATACCCCTTGAAACTCTCATCCTGGAGATGGAAGCCAAGCTTCAGAGGCCAACCAGTGAAGTCCTGCAGGTGAGACTGGGAAACAAGCAAGCCAGACCCCTTTGCGGTGCAAGGCTGGCTCCAAATCCTTGTGTAGGAAGTGAAAGGGGGCAGTTTATAGAGCTGTAGCCAAGGCTGTAGCAGACCGGAGCAAGAAAAACATGAGGGACAATTTGTTCATCGTAATGCAGAGTAGAGACACCTGCTTCAAGTAGGATGTTTTCTGCTCTTTGCTCATGGTTGGTCGTCTAATGGCTTCCAATGGCTCATTCCTGCCTCGCTTCTGAGCTTCCCAGAGGTTGCCATTGACAAAGGGAGGCTACCCTGGGTGAAACTTTCCTGCTTCTTTTAAAGAGGTTGGTTTATCTTCTGGGGCTGCATAATTTTAGTTGGGTGCTTATACTTCATCCTTCAGGGCATGGGGTTGGGTGGGGATTGTAGTCTGGTCTGGGGCAGGCACTGAGCTCCCTTTTTCTTTTTCTTTTTCTCTTTTCCTTGCAGAACATTAGAAGCCTTTGGCAGAGGTAAGTGGAACCCATGCATATCCTTCTAAACCCTTTTGTCTTTTTTTCTGGGAATAATCTGACCAGCAGGTTCTCATAAGTCTCTTTGACCTCTAGGTTTTCACAGACAGAAATGGGCCTTAAAGTTGAAACCTGCCCTACTTTCATTCCCACAATCAGTGTTCCTTCCCATTCCTTACAGTAGAGACTCTCAACCTATTTGGGTCCACAACTCCTTTGACCAACTACTGGGGGCCCAGTTATGTCACCCCCTTGCCTGCAGAGCTGGCAGCCCCTCACCCCTTTTCGAACCCTCCCTTCTGGAGCGTTCCCTCATCCTCCTCTCCCCTCTCCTTGGGAGCCCTCTGGGCAGCCACTACTGCCGCCCCTTGGTCTCTGAGCTGCCCTCCCTGCCCCAAAGAGAGGTGCCTCCTCACACTGCCCCACAGGGGCCGGGGTGTTAGGCTATAGTTCCATTCCACCTTTAGAACAGATGTGTGGGTTGTTGTACAGTGGTACCTCAGGTTACATAAGCTTAAGGTTACATACGCTTCAGGTTACAGACTCCGCTAACCCAGAAATAGTGCTTCAGGTTAAGAACTTTGCTTCAGGATGAGAACAGAAATCAGGCTCCGGCAGCACGGCAGCAGCAGGAGGCTCCATTAGCTAAAGTGGTGCTTCAGGGTAAGAACAGTTTCAGGTTAAGTACGGACCTCTGGAACGAATTAAGTACTTAACATGAGGTACCACTGTATGTCACATGTCTGTTTACTTCCAGCACAGTCTGCTGGGAACTTCCGTTGTATATTGCTTTTGCTATACTGCTGTTTGCTTGGACACAAAAGGAAGCAGACATGTTTTTCCTTTGTTCCTGATGCTGTAAAAATGCTTACATAGGCCTCTGTCCGCCTCTTCCGTTGCAGAGAGTTCTTATCTTTGCCGGCTTGCGTGCTTAAGCTTCTGAAGGCTTCTGAGGCTTGAGTCACAGTTTTTGATGCTGTTCACCCGGCTGCCGGCCGGTGGCTGGAGCCAGCTGGGGGCTGCCGAATGCCCCCAACTCCCCGGACGCATCCCAACACTGGGAAGCACCCCCTGGCCAGCCCCAGAGGCACCATTTACCTGGGGAGCATGCAGCCAGGGCTGTTGCAACAAACAGCCGTACAAGCCTTTGGGAGGTGGAGACATGAGAGGGCATCTGAGGAGGGAAGGAAGGAAAGAGGCCATTGTTGCCCACGGCACCCCTGACCATCATTCAAAGCACCCCAGGGTGCCATGGCACACTGGTTGAAAACCACTGCCTTAAAACAATCTTTCTATTCAGGGGTGAGCAAACTTTTTCAGCAAAGGCCGGTCCACTGTCCCTCAGACCTTGTGGGCGGCCAGACTATATTTTGGAAAAAAATATATGAACAAATTCCTATGCCCCACAAGCAACCCAGAGATGCATTTTAAATAAAAGGACACATTCTACTCATGTAAAAACAGCTGATTCCCAAACCGTCCGCAGGTCGGATTGAGAAGGCAATTGGGCCACGTCCAGCCCCCGGGCCTTAGTTTGCCTACCCATGTTTCGATTCTTCCTCTTGCTGCTGTAGCAAATCGGATTGCCGTTCTCTATCCCCACATGGCAGTCTTCCACAGCTAAGACAGAATTTCTAGCAGTTCTGTCTAGCATCTCTTAAGTTTCCATTTTGAAGAGTGACTGTTGTCACTTTCCTTGTGCCTGTGGTTTTAAACCAACCTCAGGGTAAACTCTGACAGGAATTGAGAGGCCTCCAAACACAACCAACCAACCTCTGGACCCCTTAATCTCAATAAAAATAAATATAAATAAAAGGATTTACTCATACGATGCTGACAAAAAAGACCTACACTAACCCTATGCAACAGAAAGAACAATACAGAAAGAATAAGAATCTCTCGCTCCTTTCTCTTTTTTCCCCAACTGCAAGATTTCTACGACAACAGTGTCTCACTGTGTGTAAACGAAATGTGAAAAAGACTCAGTGAATGACAGTGTGTACAAGAGATGTACTTTTCCCTATTTGTTTGTTTTGTAAGACAAATCTTTAATAAAAACTTTTTTAAAGGGTGGGATAATATCAAAGTTGAAATACCAAACGTCAGAAGGTGTGTTATACAGAGTTATGCCATTAAAACAAGAACTAGAATATAGCAGGCATCCCTCTTCCTTCCATTTATTTTGTTTTAATGCGGTCTAGGACTTTTTCCCCCTCCAAGTAAATTTTTATTATTTTCTTTACATATTCTTTTCCCAACAATCCTTATTGTTACCATATGTTCCCTTTGACTCTGCCGAGTCTTGACTTCCCTATCTCCCTGCAATTGGTATATTTATCCCAATCTTATCGCGCACATTATTCTTATATCACTACTGTTTTACACTGAAGGCATTATTCCAGTCCTGCTAGTGTCTTTACGTTTTTACAGTTCTCCTTTAAATATTCAATAAATTCACTCCAATTGTAATGCGGTCTAGGACTTTGGGCCGGATGGAGGGCTGCTAACTTTTTTTTCTGGTTTTGTTTTCAGGTTTGAGGAGAGAGAGGCATTTGAGACACCAGTGGTTTTTTCTGTTGCTTTGCACTGGAGGGCCTGGGAATTCAGCGATGTGATCCCCTTTCTGGACCACGTCATACAGGAATTCAAATGTAAGGGGAAACAGCTGCAAGGATTTTGTGCTGGCTGTGATTTTGGTCCAGGTCTGCGTGTGGCGAGGAGTAAAGTCCTTTCTAACGTTGCCGGGGCCAGGACAATTGAGAAGGCAACCCTTGTCCATTAGCGGAATGGGCTCTGCTCAACATTGCACCTGCAACCTCAGCCCATAATTTTTTTTCTTCAGAATTGTTTTGAAATATTCTTCAGTTCATATTTCCAGTCAGCGTTCAAAGTGTGGTGCTGAATCACTTTTCCTTTTTTTAAAAAAATAATATTTATTACTTTTCCAACAATTTAAACATTACAAAAAAAGAATATACAATACAATACAAAAACAATACATAACACTAACACATTAAACAAACAAAACAAAACAAAACAAAAACAATTTAAAACACATCAAACAGTTTCAATATCTTATCTTTCATTCACTTATTTCAGTGACCTCCTCACACCTCCCTTTTTGTATTCCACTTCTGTTAATTGTTTCAGCAATTCCTTTCCATCTTCCTCTGTTTTCTATCCCTGAATCTCTTTTCCTTTTCTTTCCCCAGACACCCTAACATCTGATCTGAAATATCTGCAGAAAGGTAAACTGTGAGGTTTGATAAAGAACTTGCTTGCATTTCGCTGCAGTTTGGTGGGACGGGGATGGGGGACTCTGGAACCATTAACAGACCATTTATGAGTAGTGGGGAAGTTATGATGGAGGAGTTTTCTGCCAACTCTTTATTCCCCCATCCCTGCTTTTAAATAAGACTTTGAATCATAGTGACCAGCTAGATGTCTCTCAGAAGCCCAGAATCAGGGCATGAAAGCAATTTCCCTCCTCAGTTGCTACTCCTCAGCATCCAGCTCTCAAATGGTCATTTCCGGCAAGTACCATATTTTTCGCTCTATAAGACGCACCAGACCACAAGACGCACCTAGTTTTTGGAGAAGGAAAACAAGAAAAAAATATTCTGAATCCCAGAAGCCAGAACAGCAAGAGGGATCACTGCGCAGTGAAAGCAGCAATCCCTCTTGCTGTTCTGGTTTCTGGGATAGCTGCGCAGCCTGCATTCACTCCATAACGCGCACACACATTTCCCCTTACTTTTTAGGAGGGAAAAGGTGAGTCTTATAGAGCAAAAAATACAGTAAATAGCTCCTCCAGGTAGCCAGGCAAGGACTGTTCATTGCAGCCTAACCTTCAGCAATCAGCAGACATACAGTGGTACCTCAGGTTACATACGCTTCAGGTTACAGATTCCACTAACCCAGAAATTGTGCTTCAGGTTAAGAACTGTTTCAGGTTAAGTACGGACCTCCAGAACAAATTAAGTACTTAACCTGAGGTACCACTGTACTGAAGAGTTTTTAAAACTTCATGAATATTAATAAAAGTATAACAATCTACCATTTAAAAAATTATGTGCTTTACTAAATCCCATCTTTCATTTGCTTCAATGTGCAGTTTTGAGATGAGAGTGCTGATGCCCAAAAAACTAGTTGTGAAACATACAAAATACCATAATAATAATAATAACAAGCATCTAAATGCAAGGCTCAGACCCTGGACTCAGCTACATTATTCAAAATACAGCTATTTGAATGCACTATAAACATGCAAAACAAACCTTTCTATAGCACTTTCACATAGGGTTTAAACATTTTTGTTCCAATGATTTCATTTCTAACTTATTTATAGTGGGCTTTTTCCTGTGTGTCGATCCACCCCAATTGTCCCTTGCTGAATCAAAACTATTCTCAAACCATACCATACAACAGGTGTTCCCTGCTGGCTACTCACTTGCCTGTACTTAAGTGCCATGATGTATTTATTTTTTTACAGTAACAATCCTGGGTTATGGTTAACAGGAAGCTGTGTTTTCCTGCCCTACTACTAGAAATCTTCTTGTTCAAATGTGGGCAAATTCCAGAAGAAAGAAGAGCATCTCTATCTTTAATGTAACTTCTGGATCATTGTTCCCCAAACTTGAGTTTCCATCTGTTATTTTTTTGGACTACAATTCCCATAATCCTTGACCACTGGTCTTGCTAGCTATGGATGATGGGAGTTGTAGTCCAAAAGCAGCTGGAGACCCAAGTTTGGGAAACACTGGTCTCGAGTTTCTACTGATTTTTAGGGTGGCAGGAAAGCAATTCCTGGGAAGCTTCTAACCTGGGGGGTCTTGATCCTTCTCCCAGTTTGGGAATGTTGTGGGTCGCAGGAGGGACTATATGGATTCAATATTATCCTTCCTAACTCACCTTAGTGAGTTTATTCATACAGCAGAGTACATTTCCCTCTTTACACAGCAGGAAGCTAGTTGCAGATTCGTTAGAATCTCTTAAGTTCTATTATTCCTGGTAAAGACCCCTTTGATTCCCTCCTGAAAGAATACAGACACAACAGTCTTCTTTTAAAAGTAATAAGAATTTTACTCACATTCAGTTCACAGTTGGATCCCTGAAGGCAGACTTTAGCTTATAGTTAGAGACAGTGTGGCTTACGTCCTCGTAAGGATGGGCCCATGTGCTGCTGACTGAGAGGCAGCAGTGCAGTCCATGAGGAGAAAAGGCATCAAAAGAGGAAGGTGGCTGCGTGACTGGACCTTTTGTGGGGTCTGGAAGGGCCACGCCCACCTACCTGGTCACATGCAAAGGAAGGATGCTCCAGACCAGGTGTAACAGGAAGTTCAACTGGCTGGACCAACATTCCCCTGCATGTCCACTCTAGGCAAACAGGAAATAATAATAATAATAATAATAATAATAATAATAATAATGTTGTTTAGTCGTTTAGTTGTGTCCGACTCTTCATGACCCCATGGACCAGAGCACGCCAGACACTCCTGTCTTCCACTGCCTCCCGCAGTTTGGTCAGACTCATGCTGGTAGCTTCAAGAACACTGTCCAACCATTTCATCCTCTGTCGTCCCCTTCTCCTTCTGCCCTCCATCTTTCCCAACATCAGGGTCTTTTCCAGGGAGTCTTCTCTTCTCATGAGGTGGCCAAAGTATTGGAGCCTCAGCTTCAGGATCTGTCCTTCCAGTGAGCACTCAGGGCTGATTTCCTTCAGAATGGATAGGTTTGATCTTCTTGCAGTCCATGGGACTCTCAAGAGTCTCCTCCAGCACCATAATTCAATAATAATAATAATAATTTATTATTTATACCCTGCCCACCTGGCTGTGTTTCTCCAGCCACTCTGGGCGGCTTCCAACAAAATATTAAAATACAACAACCTATTAAACATTAATAGCTTCCCTAAACAGGGCTGCCTTCAGATGTCTTCTAAAAGTCTGGTAGTTGTTTTTCTCTTTGTCATCTGGTGGGAGGGCGTTCCACAGGGCGGGTGCCACTACCGAGAAGGCCCTCTGACTGGTTCCCTGTAACTTGGCTTCTCGCAGCGAGGGAACTGCCAGAAGGCCCTCTGCGCTGGACTTCAGTGTCCAGGTAGAACTATGGGGGTGGAGACGCTACTTCTGGTATACTGGACCGAGGCCATTTAGGGCTTTAAACCCTAAATTTAAACCAACACTTTGAATTGTGCTCAGAAACGTACTGGGAGCCAATGAAGATCTTTCAGGACCGGTGTGATACGGTCTCGGCGGCCACTCCCAGTCACCAGTCTAGCTGCCGCATTCTGGATTAATTGCAGTTTCCAAGTCACCTTCAAAGGTAGCCCCATGTAGAGCGCATTGCAGTAGTCCAAGCAGGAGATAACTAGAGCATGCACCACTCTGGCAAGACAGTCTCTGGGCAGGTAGGGTCTTAGCCAGCGTACCAGATGGAGCTGGTAAACAGCTGCCCTGGACACAGAATTGACCTGCACCTCCATGGATAGCTGTGAGTCCAGAATAACTCCCAGGCTGCGCACCTGGTCCTTCAGGGGTACAGTTACCCCATTCAGGACCAGGGAGTCCCCCACACCAGCCTGCCCCCTGTCCCCCAAGAGCAGTACTTCTGTCTTGTTGGGATTCAACCTCAATCCATTAGCTGCTGTCCATCCTCCAACCGCCTCCAGACACTCACACAGGACCTTCACCGCCTTCGCTGGTTCTGATTTAAAGATGCCCCAGACCAGGTGTAACAGGAAGTTCAACTGGCTGGACCAACATTCCTCTGCATGTCCACTCCAGGCAAACAGGAAATGTTGTATTTGACTGCTTATGTTACCTCCCACACCCAGCTGGCTCTGATTCTATTCTCTTCCGCTTGTCTCCCCCTAACTCCGATAGCAAGAGTGACTCTGGATCCAGTCACAGCTCACCCCCAGCTCCTTCTGTCTGAGGACTGCCTGAGTGTGACGTGCGCCGATGTTTGTCAAGAGGTGCCCGACCACCCGCAGAGATTCAAACAACTGACTGCTGTGCTGGGACGAGAGGGGTTTAGAACAGGCAGGTTCACCTGGGAGGTCACTGTGGGGAATGAGGGAGAATGGGCTGTGGGGGTCGCCAAAAGTACCGTGAAGAGACAGGGCGCATTTAGCTTTACGCCCATGGAAGGGATCTGGGCTATGGGGAGGTGGGGAGGTCAGTACAGGGTCCTCCACGACCGTCATTACCACCTGCCCCTAAATGGGGATCTGCGGAGGATCCGAGTGACTCTGAACTGCACCGGGCAGCGATTGGCCTTCTTCGACGCCGAGAGAGGAAATGCTCTCGTTGGTTTCACGGAAGCTTCGTTCTGCGGAGAGCTGCTGCTGCCCTTCTTTTGGCTTCAGGAAAGGGCCAGCCTCACACTCTCTCCCTAGAGCAGGCAAGACAGAGCAGGCACCGAGAACAAAAATATTTCACACCTGACCAATAGGTGCCTATTACAAGGGGACGAGGCAAAAGGGGTATTGTTTGTTTTCAAGTGACTTGAGAGAAACCCACGAAGCGTTTGGGTCACTTTCCGGAAAGATTGGGAAGGAGGTCCACCTCAAAGGGGACCCAAAGGGGCGAAATACTACTCTACAGGACAAAATGGTCGCCTCTTCAACCATTCCCAGGTAATTCCCAATATGGATCCCCACCAAATTCAGCTTGGATTTCTCAGTGCAATTTATATGCCCCAAAGGCTGTCTTACTTGGGAAAGCAACTCCAAGATTTTCTTTTGGTGGAGGGGTTGACTTTAAAACAACTGGGTGTGACTATTACGAAAGCGGAAATATTCCAATTTATGTCGTTTTTTTCTGAAAAGAATAGTTGTTTGTTCAGAGAAACTTCTTGCATTATATTTTTTTAAAAGGGTATTGTACTGGGGCACATAAATCCGTTTTTTGTTCTTGTGTTAATGGTTTTTCTTGCTCTTGTATATCTCTTAAGAAACAGACCAGCCCCAGTTGTGTATGTATGTTCAGCTCTTTATAGAAAAGAAGGTGTTCTTCCTTTCCACTATAAATGTATTTATACTGGTCGTATAAAAAAAAAAATAGCACAACCAAACCATGCTAAAATAAAATGGCATAAAAGTTACAGAGCAATACAATAAAAAGTACTGGTGTTAATTAAAAGTTGGGGTGAGAAGGGTGGACTGCCAAGTGACCATGGAAACACCAGGCAAATTCTCCCACTGATATTTTCCAAGCATGCTGAAAAACCGTTTGACTTGCATTCTGAATGCAGCAGATGTGATTTGAAAGAACTGTTTTGGGTTTTTTGCCCTCAAAATCTGTGCATGTTTTAATATCCTGGAATAAGTTAATGGCTGCCAATGTTATTCTGAGTAAGATGAAAGCTTTGCAGGTACACACACAAATCATTGCTGTTGTGCTGTGAACGTAAGGGGAAAAGAAGGGTCGTCTGCCTAACCCAAAATTATCTTGCCAACAGTGGCCAAGCAGATTTTTATATGCGAGGAGAGCACTAGCACTCTTTCAGTGTTGCTCCCCAGGAGCAGGAGTGAAGGTTCCCTTCTGGGCAAAATGTCTGAGGATCACATGGCAGTGATGGGTGCAAATGGGCAGAACATTTAATATAAATTTTGCCTCTGCCCATCCACTTCTCTATCCAAGACTCTGCCCTCACCCGCTTTTGACCAGTGGACCCCCAACAGATCACCTCTGAGATGAGATGCAGCCTTACCACTAAAGGGGAAAACACATATTTCTAGGGTGCATCTGCCTTCTCACTTTTGGGTCTTACGTATACAAGGCTGGGTTAGCTCAAACCCTAATTTTTAAGGCAGAGGTTGCCTTTGTAAAGATAGGCTGTTTGTGCTAGACGCTTCTCCTGCAGCGTTCTGTCCCCTCTCAGAGAGTCTTAACATCTGAGTTCTGTTGGTTGAGCACAGCAGAGATGGGATAAAACAACAGGAAGGTGTCTGGATCTGACTTTATATTTGAAATAGAAAGCTTGAGTGCCTGCTCAACTTGACCCAAACCAGAAGATGCAAATTACAGATGGGTAGCCGTGTTGGTCTGCCATAGTCGAAATAAAAAAATTCCTTCCTGTAGCACCTTAAAGACCAACTAAGTTAGTTCTTGGTATAAGCTTTCGTGTGCATGCACACTTCTTCAGATACAAAGGCAGAAGATGCAAAGGCAGACCCCCCCCCTTCCTGAATTCCGGGAATCCATTCCCTAATCAAGATCTGTTGCTTAATCCCTGCCTACTGTTGGTAATCACATCACATTACTGACAAGATTCCATTGTCTGCTGAAGGAGTGATTTTGTAGGAAAAGGTTCCTGCCCAAGCTAATAGCTTGAAAAATGTGATTGGTCAGATTAACTCAGCTTCCAAGTGACAATGGCCTCCAGAAAAGAAAGATAGCTAACTTTTCCCCCTTGGGTTCGCCCTTCCCCAGCCAGGAAAATCTCACAGCCTCAAGTAACTGCTTCCCAACTACACTACAGGGGGACTGATTCCTGTCTTATGGTAGAGAGGAGGGGCTGTAGTGCAAATGGGTAGAGCACTCAGTCCTTGGCATCTCCAGAAAAGGCTGGGAGAGATCCATGTCTGAAACACTCAGGCCAACTTTGAGTTAGTTCAGGTGTGCAGAATCCTTGAGCCTCCAAATGGTGCTGAAGAAAAAAAGTGTGGATTTGATATCCCGCTTTATCACTACCCTAAGGAGTCTCAAATGAGACGCGGGTGGCGCTGTGAGTTAAACCACAGAGCCTAGGACTTGCAGATCAGAAGGTCGGCGGCTCGTATCCCCTTAACGGGGTGAGCTCCCGTTGCTCGGTCCCTGCTCCTGCCAACCTAGCAGTTCGAAAGCACGTCAGAGTGCAAGTAGATAAATAGGTACCACTCCGGTGGGAAGGTAAATGGCATTTCTGTGCACTGCTCTAGTTCGCCAGAAGCTGCTTAGTCATGCTGGCCACATGACCCGGAAGCTGTACGCCGGCTCCCTCGGCCAATAAAGCGAGATGAGCGCCGCAACTCCAGAGTCAGTCACGACTGGACCTAATGGTCAGGGGTCCCTTTACCTTTAAGGAGTCTCAAAGCGGCTCACATTCTCCTTTCCCTTCCTCCCCCACAACAAACACTCTGTGAGGTGAGTGAGGCTGAGAGACTTCAGAGAAGTGTGACTGGCCCAAGGTCACCCAGCAGCTGCATGTGGGGAAGCGAACCCGGTTCACCGGATTACGAGTCCGCCGCTCTTAACCACTACACCACACTGGCTCTCCATGCTTGCTGGAGCTGATGGGAATCGTAGTTCAGCAGTATCTCAGGAGCAAGATGTTTCCCCTCCTCTCCCATCGCTCCTGTGCTAGAGAGTCTGCATAAGGCTGCTTCGAATACAAGGCCGTAGGACGCTGGGGAAAATGGCAACCCAAAGTAAACAGCAAGCAAGATAACAGATGCTCTATATTTTAAAAACTTAAATAAATACAATAAAAGGCATTTTCCTATGCTAAGACCTGCCTTTTAAGGAAAAGGTGGGAGAGGAGAAGCAGATTGCAATGACATGAATTATTACTACTACCAGTGAGTTCTTTTTCTTTATTTCTTTTTTGAAAAAACAGTGCTAGTACTGTACTACCCATGAAGTTGTTACAGTAAGTGCCACGCTTTTAACATTTGAAAAGAACGGTGCCGGTATTGCATACCTTTGACTACTCTCAGGGGGGAAAGCACTGACTACAATAATTATTTTTTTAATATGATTTTTTATTAAATTTTCTGTTTTACCATTTCAAATAAACATTTTACATACTTAAAATATCAGTGACTTCCCTTTTTCTCTTTCCATGTTTCAGGGAAGTTTTTAATGTGTGACATCTTAGTGTATTTTTAGTCTTTGTGGAAGCCGCCTAGAGTGGCAGGGTACAAATAATATATTAATTATTATTATTATTATTACTACTACTACTACTACTACTATACATATTATTATTATTTTACATATCTTATATCCCTGCATATTTCACAAAAACTATACCAATTGGTTTTCCATTATTACATCCATCAAAACTTATTTACACTGTTGAATTTATCTTAATGCTGCCAGTGTTTTCAGCTGTACACAATCATTTTTCACATATTCAATAAACATTTTCCAATCTTCTTTAAATGTATGTTCTTCTTGTTCTCTTATTCTATGTGTTAAATCTGCAAGTTGTGCATATTCTGTCAACTTACGGTAAGTTGCCCATCTACTTTGGTTGGGACCTTGCTCATTTTCCATTTTTGGGCTAACAAAACACGGGCTGCAGTTGCATACATAAATAACCTTGTTTCATACATAAAAAACAAGTTTTGTTTTGTTTTTTAGTGGTAGTATACAAATCTTAAAAAGGTCTCAAAGCAACAAAGATGAAAACAAACAATTAAGATTGATTTTAAAAGGGAAAACAACAAGCAATACAAAAGTCCCCAAATGCTCCACTCAGAATAATACACTGAGAAGCGAAAACTTGTGGCATGTGATATGGATGTTGCCTGGAAGTGATACTCCCAGGCTGAACCCTTTGACCAGGGGTCAGCAACCTTTTTCAGCTATGGGCCGGTCCACTATCCCTCAGACCATGTGGTGGGCCGGACTATATTTTGGAGGGGGGGAAATGAACGAATTCCTATGCCCCACAAATAACCCAGAGATGAATTTTAAAGAAAAGGACACATTCTACTCATGTAAAAACACTCTGATTCCTGGACCGTCCGCCGGCCGGATTGAGAAGGTGATTGGGCCTGATCAGGCCCCCGGGCCTTAGGTTGCCTACCCATGCGTTTGACTGATCCAGAGAAGCTCTGGTGACTTGGGAGAGAGCTGAAGCAGCAGGCGACAAAATTTTTAAAAACCCACCCCGAAAAATGTATTTAACAATGTCTATCTCTCACCTTCACCTTGCCAACAAAGGTCTGTAGAGTTAAAGCTATGGTTTTCCCAGTAGTGATATATGGGAGTGAGAGCTGGACCACAAAGAAGGCTGATCGCCAAAGAATTGATGCTTTTGAATTATGGTGCTGGAGGAGACTCTTGAGAGTCCCATGGACTGCAAGAACCTCTCCATTATTAAGGAACTCAGTCCTGAGTGCTCACTGGAAGGACAGATCCTGAAGCGGAGACTCCAATACTTTGGCCACCTCATGAGAAGAGAAGACTCCCTGGAAAAGACCCTGGTGTTGGGAAAGATGGAGGGCACAGGGAGAAGGGGATGACAGAGGGTGAGATGGTTGGATAGTGTTCTCGAAGCTACCAGCATGAGTTTGACCAAACTGCGGGTGGCAGTGGAAGACAGGAGGGCCTGGCGTGCTCTGGTCCATGGGGTGACGAAGAGTCAGACACGACTAAACAACAACAACATCTCTCACCTTTGAGATATTGCGGGACGAGAGTGGTGTGCAAAGTGCATCCAAGCTGGAGTGTCCTTCTGTCTCCACATCCGGCCAGAGCAACAACTTGTAGCGCTCCTAATCCGGCAGAGAAAGGAGCAAAGTGCCTGATTTGCCTGATCCAGAGTAGCCGGCAACTGTAAGATTACGGTGATTTTGAGGAGATAAGTGATCTGACATAATCAACTCTTCCTGGCTCTGCTTATCTATGTTTTACTGGTTTCTCTGTCCTGGTCAGTAAATGCCTTTGATGTATTGCCTGGCTTTTTGTCTTTTGGTGCACAGTAGTTCGTAGAACCCGTATTAGCCCTACCAGGACACAGGTCTATAAAATATTTAGTTGTTGTGCATGGCACTCAAAAGCTCCACATGGCCTTTTGTGCATCTACGGCTACTTGGGGGTCACTTTGCCACTTCTTTTTTTTTAAATGATTTTTATTAAGTTTCTTACAAAAGAGAAACAGAAAAAAACTAAGAAATAAAAGACAAGATCACAAATATAAACAAAAAAGAAAATAAAAACAAGGTACCGGTAGATACCTAAACCACACAAATTAATTAATTATTTAGACTTCTATCCCCATAAACATATTTTGGTCTTCCTCTGAGCCCTCCCATATGAATTTCCTTGTAATTAAAATGTAGCAGTTTTCTGATATCATTTTTTGAAAGACAGTATTCCAATTAAAGTAAAATTTCTT